TCCTGGCGACACGCCCACTTGAAAATTCCCAAATAAATCGTCGGCTCGTTCTGCATCTTAATTTTTTCTTCCACAAAAAGACAATTCAGTATGTGAAACATGTTTTGGTAAAGTCTCGACCACGTTGCCGGCTTCGTCAGTGGCGTGCATTGGAAAGCAATAGCGGTATAGACAGAGGAAAGAGCTATCAGCAGGATCAGCAAGCGGGGGGTCCTGCAAGACCGGCTATAAAGTAAGCAGGCCTCCTGCGGAAACACAGTGATACATACTTAAGTGCACAAAGATGAAGTCCCACGCGTGTTTATTGGTGCTCAGTGCACTCATCTATTCTGGTACGTACAAGTGATGAATTTTCGGATTATACCGTGACAGTGATTTTGTGACGCGACTTTCAAATAAGAAATTTCTAGACGCGATGCATATTTGTGACACCTTCAAGAGAAAATTTCTTGTTTGATCACGCAGATGTTTAAATATCGGACACAAATACAAATTAATTAAAACAAATTTCCAGTTTTTCTAAAGCGTAAACAAGTAGGTCGTGTTATAATTCTAAATTAGATCAATTTAAGTGATGCTTTTATAAAATAAAAAATCTCGTGCAATAACTTGAATGTGGTAACAGTTATTGCCGAGATAATGGCATTTCATGATGCAGGAACTCGTAGTAAATACTTTTACAATTAAAAATCGCACAAGTCAACCTTCAACTGCTCGAAAGACTATTTTGCAATAAATATTTGCATACGATTATTGTCTTCTATAAATAAAAGCAATTCAAGTGGAATTTCGTGAATGCACTTTCAATTTGTTAATTTCCGTCTAACAAATGGTCAAAAATTCAAATTACTGAATAAATGATCAACTTTCAGTTGCACGAATTGTTAGTAGGTTAAAGCGAAGGCTAATTTTGTTATTTCTAGTTGCAGTTGCGAAAAACATTTATTTATTATGTGACAAAATCCAATTCCGGCACTTACGTCGCGTGCCACAATTTTTTTCAGAAATTTTCTTACATTACTACTAAGCCATAAGATTAAATAAGAGTGCTTAAATCATTTATAAACATCGAATTACGCAAATCTTGAGGTTAAACTCGACCAAATCAAGTATAAAAATATGGTCTCGCTTTCCGATGATAAGCCACCCATAAGTAACTTAATTATTTAATCAGTCACCACCTATACAAATGCACCGTTCACTTTCACAATAGCACCGCTGGATTTAGAAAAACAGGAACTGCTTTATTTTATCTCCAAATCGCAAAGCTTTACTATTATGAAATATTTTAATTTAAAATAAAAGCTTTGCACATATTTAACTTACGCATACATAACGTATTACATAACAGTAATGTCATAATTGCATGCGTATGAATATTAGGCTTTGAGGAACTTTCTCTCGTGCCTTATTAGCCTCAAAGAAGTTTTTTTTTTTTTGGTTTATTCTCGTACTGGAACGCGACCTTCAAAAAAAGAGAGACATTATGATAGAAAGTAACTATCACTTGCAATTATTCAAATTCAGTGGAGCGACTAAATATAAAAATGCGTGAAACGACCTTAACCTTTCGAAGCAATTTTCACTGGAAATAATTCCTTGGAAAGCTCTTCAAATGATGCAAGCATGCATCTTCGACTTAAATGCACCCGAGGTGTGTTCGATTTGCATGGTCGGGTGAAAGACCGCGATGTGGAACACTTTTCAAATTCGCTTTTAGTCGACAAAAAAACTTTTTTGTGGCGCAATCCGCCGCTCATATTACCTTTTGGTCTTCAGGCGCAATTGCAGGATTCCACTTTCCATTTTTAATGCGGTCTTGTAAATGTCGATAGGTTACCGAAAATGTCACTTTCAAAACCTGATTTAGTTTTTTTCCCAGTTTTGGGACAGGAAAATTTCAAATGTCCGGACGATTTCGGATTCTACCCACACCACACCTCATGCGATAAATACTGGAAGTGCGATAACAACGTCGCTGAATTGAAAACGTGCGGAAATGGGCTTGCTTTCGATGCCAGCGATCCCAAATTCTTGACTGAAAACTGTGATTATATCCATAATGTCGACTGTGGCGACAGGTCGCAACTTGGTAAGTCGGAAAAAAAATTACAAACGTCTTGAAAGGAACAAAAAATCTCGCAGAACCACCAATCTCGTCGCCTCATTGCGAACGACTTTACGGAATCTTTGCCGATGAGGCCAAATGCGACGTCTTCTGGAACTGCTGGAACGGTGAAGCTTCCAGGTACCAGTGCTCCCCCGGACTGGCCTACGACAGAGAAGCCAGGGTTTGCATGTGGGCCGACCAAGTACCAGAATGCAAAAATGAAGGTAGAAAATCAAACCTAACACAATTTAACATCTGAAATCGTAAAAAACCTAATTTTTCTCAAAAACTTCCCAAACGACAATTACAAACAAATATCCATTTAACATCTTTTGTTAATGTTTTATTCAAAACATTTTAATATTTATAATAACTTAATTGCTATTTAAATATTAAACTTTGAAATAGTTTGGCCTTACCAATGCACTACATTTATAGCAAATATTGCACAAAAAAACTTGCAATTTATTTCTAATTTAAAACTTTTTTACTTACCTGTTTTCATTTAAACAAACAAAATAACGAATTTGACTAATTTCGTTAGGAACGAAAGTGAATAAGTGACAAAAAATTTCAAAATGTTACAAAATCTAAAAAAATTAACTTCCTTGTTACTTGTAAAAATGTTATTTTTAAATATGGTACATACCTATTCATCAATCATTATTTGTTGATTAATAAGTAATAAATTTATAAAAATAAAATAATTTTTTTTCTATCATGTAAGTATCTTCGTGTTCGATTTACACGCAAGTTATAAACGGTTTACAAATAATAACAAGACTGACCGAGAAAGTTTATCTAGGACAACTTGTATCTATCGTTTAACAGTTTCAAACAAATCTAGACTTCTAAAAGAAATTAAATTCTTCTTCTGGAAAAATCAAAATTTTATCCATACTAGACCAAAACTCTTTCCCAATTTTTTGCGATCATAAAATAACACATGTTAACAAATTTTTAATCAAAAAAATTACATTTGTATAGAACTATAACAATCATTATTTTGTTAAAAAAAATTTGCCATACTTATTAAACGACAAAAAAATACCCCACAACAGAATTCTATGAAATTGCAAATATATTTCCAACAGGATCCTTAATTAGTCATTAACTAACCAATCAAATCATAAATCAAAATTTATTAAAGAATTTATCAATAAAGAATTCCGTTTGTGGTAAATATAAATCATCTTTCATTCATGATCTTTAAAATACAAAGTACATAATTATGTAAATAAATTATTTGAAGATTTTTTGCAAATGTCAAGGTGTTATAAAAAATGATAAGAGTTTATTCAATTCATTGTTGTAAAATACCTAGATAAATTTAGCACTTTTGTGGAAATTACAAAATTTGCATGATTTTTGTGTGACCGAACATTTTTTAAATAATTATGTATTTTAAAACATTGAAGTCGCTGGAGGATCTATAAAAAATGCTTATAAAAAATGTCCCTTTCTTCTTTAGAAGTTGCCGGAGGTTTCTCTTGCCCCGCCCCTGGCGAAGTGAGTAACTCCGGTTCGTTCTCCCGCCACGCGCACCCCGACGACTGCCGCAAGTACTACATCTGCCTTGAGGGCACCGCTCGGGAGTACGGCTGTCCCATCGGCACCGTTTTCAAAATCGGCGACGCTGACGGTACTGGAAACTGCGAAGATCCGGAGGATGTGCCCGGATGGTAAGTGTGTCATTTCCGTTCTGACTAACTCGGCCGATCTGTGCTCTAACCCTCTTTCGCACTGTCTCACCCTCGCTTTGTCCCATCCTTTGAGTCTGGCCTAATCCAGTCGGGGGTTCACAGCGAGGACTACTACGGCGATTTGGACTTGAAAAGCATCCGCAAGAGCGAACTGTTAGCCGGGCTCCAAAGCAGCGGATCGTCGAGATCTCATCAACCACCGACGAAGAGCAAGCCGAGGCCAGCACCCGCGTCGCGCAACGCCCCCGAACCCGCCGATAATTAATCCATAAAACCTCATCACCCGTAACCTCATATCTAATGACAGACCGTCATTCGGTAGACTGAGATACTCACTTTTGTATTATTTAATTTAAATAGAATTTAAGTTTAAGGAATCGGGTATCTACTTTAACCGATTGACCTTCTGTTCCTATATTGTAGATTAATTTAAAATGATTCAGAGACGAAAACTTTACTTGCAAAATTTGTTCATTCTCTATACCACGGTACAAAAATACATTTTTTATAATAAATAAAAACTGTTTTTTACCCCCCTTGTTTTTTTTTCAACCCCCAATACGGCTATGAGGAACTTCTTACTTAACATGGCTGAGGCTAACATTTTCAATTTCACATAACAACCTTTTGGTTGGGTGCCATCTTTACACAAATCGGCTATTAAAACAAAGTGTCACATTTACCCGAAATTTTAACTAAGCCCCGGATGACTTTAGAGCTACTTTAAGTCCTCCAGGCCCTAGTTTGTGTATAAAGAAAAAAACTCGCGCAATTAAAAATACTTTCTTTTGGATAAATGTGACCCTTTAAAACCGCAAAGCGAAAGCGTTGTGTAAAAACCGGTGAAACTGTTTGGTGAAGCGTTGTAACAAAAATTCTTCTAAATAAATGTCTTTTTTTCTACAGTGAAGATTACTACAAAGATGTAGACTTAAAGGCTCTGAAAAAATTAGGGTACTAGAGATGGAGTGAAGTGACCTGTACAGAACTTAGTTTAAGTCTCAACGCCTCCAGTGAATGTGTGTGTGTTAAGATGAGCTAAAGCAGTTCAAATTTCGCTGCACGTCTTGTCGTTGATTTTTTGTTTGAATTTGTTTTTTAATAGTACATATTGTATGTTGTAAGAATGAATAAATAAATTATGTAAGTAGCCCGAGTTTTCTTTACAGGGAGTAGAAATAAGACACTTTTGATTTAAAATATTTTTTTAATTATGATAGTCAGGTAGGTATATTTACATCATTTTTTAAATTAAACTATACAGTAATATCAGGTATGGCATCTTTAATTATTTACAAACACAGTTGAAGGACTGTGATTCTTTTAAAAACCTGTAAAAAATCATAGTGCATGTGAATTTCATAATTCTAATACTACAACTTATAATATCTAAAGACATGAATTGGGTAAAGATAAATTAACAGCCTTTAAAAAATATATTAAAATATAAATTAGAGCATTTTTTCTAAACTGATGTTAATTACAATTAAATTCAATAAATATTAACATAGCAGAAAAACGAGAAATTCAAACAAGCCTCGATATTTTTTAATAGAGAAAATTAAAAAATATGAAACTTGGACATTATTGACATCTCATCGAGCCAATCACTCGACAAAATATCAACAAACTACGAAAAATTCATAAGCGAGCAATTTTTGTTGTAATAAATATCAGTCCTATAATGAATTTTATTTAATCTTAAAATCATTTAATACTAAAATTATTTATTTCTAAAATAAATCACTTAAAAAATTAATAATACACAGGACCAGCAACCAACATCCTGACGGATTAAAGACTAGTAATGTAAAGTGACTATGTTTTACAAACACAGCAGAACACACGATTATAACTAAAAAAGTTTGCCATTTTCAAAGACAGTGACGAGGATTATATTTTGCAAAAATTCAATCAAAGAATTTTGTGCCGCAACAAACAAAAATCGACCTTTAGATCTACTTATTTAGCTGTCACTGCCGTCTTTTGTTTATCACGACTGAATTCATTTAAGCCAACCCGAATGGATCATTTTTGAAGCACCATTTAAACAAAATTACGAATTTTCTTCGTTTATGTAAAAGCCGCATTCAACGCAAGCGAAACCGCTCTAAAACGGTGTGAATTAGCTTAATCAAAATCAACATATTTCAAATTGTAAATTTGATCAAAAATAAATAAAAAACCCATTTTCACAAGTGTGCTCAGTTGATGCCAAATATTAATAAAAATAATTTGTTTTCAATGTTGAATTTGAAAGTTGAGAGATCAATGATTATATTTTTTTCGTTTTAAAGTTACACGACGATGCCCAGTCTTCGATTCGCATTTAAAACGTGCGTTAGGAGTGTTTATAAATTTAATTATTATTTAATTAAAAATTGGTGTCATACAAATACTCCGAAAAGAGTAAATTTTATGAAATAATTTTCCGACCGTTAAATTTCTTATTCGATATAGATTTCGACAATTATGCAGTGCTTAAGACTGATGACAAGTCAACTAAATAATGTTAAATATTGATCTATTACAAAGCTTATTCACACCGTGCAACAACAGTACAGTGAAGGCAATTTCGATATTAAAAATTGGCGTTTTTTTCTCTAAGTACTCTGAATTTTTTGAGATGTTATGACACGTCGTTATTGTGGAATAGCCGCCTTTGGGGCTCTGGCGTGTAGTGAAATCTAGCCCGTAAATGTTGTGGAGAGCCTGGCACAGACGTACTTTCGGATAAGCGCCTGGGGGGAGGCACCGGGGGCGTTGGCGATATATACCTGAGTTTTATATGAGATTTTTTCTTTCACCTGAAAACTCACTTACCTTCTTGAGAGACTAGGCGAATTCGTTTCTAAAAAATTCCGGTGCATCGCTAGAGGACTTTGATTTTCGCTACTGATGGTTCTATTGATTCTAGGTGGGGGCTCAGGGCTTTGATGCCTTGATGATCTTCCACTCCGATCACCGCTCAGCTGCAGCTTAATGTAGGAAGCAAATCGCTTCTTTCCTACATTTGCATTAATGATTGTTTTTGTGATTGTGAAAAATTTCTTACCCGATTCTTCGGCTTCCTTCGCTAGTTGTTGCTGTTTCTGCTGGTGGTAGAACCTTTGCAAAATTATAGGACTAGTATTTCCACAATTGTATTGTTCTTGACTTTGAAATTGCGACCTGAGAGGCAAGGGTGATGCACTTGGCGACCTCCAATGACTCTCGGTGACCCTCCTAGAGGCATAGGGTGACGCTCCCGCCGCTTCCGGTCTTTGAAACTCGTCTTGTTCGCGTTGTTTCGCTGCCAGATGGTTCTGATATGCTTTAAACGGCGAGTAGGTCTTGAAAAGACGATCATTGGGTTCGGTGGTACTTTGGTGGGGCAAATCGTCTGTCCTTTGGTTATCATTTCTTTGGTGATTCAATTGGAATGTGCTTAAACGTGAATTGTGCCGACCTTCGGGTGGTAAACTTTGATAAACCGGAGGTTCTTCTTTTTTAGGTTCAGGTGGTTTTAGCGGTTTGTAGGAACACTGCGCGTTGCCGTTGGTAATATTCGTCAGGAATTGAGCAAGATGTTGGGTATTTGGTGGTTGCCTTTGATGCGAGGTAAAAAAACGACGTAAGGTTGACTGTGCGAGGTTTGGTCTAACAGGAAAAAAATTGATTATAATTGAACTAAACTCAAAGAGTAGAAAAAAATAACAGGCAACTTAACAAAGTTAAACTTACTGTTAGTTACCTTAGTAAACGCATGCACGGTTTTAATAAAAACCACCACTTTCTTTATTAATCACTCAGAAAACACAGCAAGCAATTAATAAAAACTAAAGTAAAAGAAATTAAAAATCAAAATCGAAACTAACCATGCAACATACCTAGGCGCTGTTGGGTTGGCTACAGCGTCTGCTTCCTTAAGTGCATTTACCACCCACTCCCCTACATTCACCTGTTTTACTTCATATTTTTTGATAAACGGCAAATTTTTCAACTTCGCGTATTTAGGCCTCTGTTTTTGATCTTTAATTAAACTAAAACCAACATTTTAGCACCGTCAATTATCTATAACGTTAATCTTACCAAAATTTAACAAATTCCCTAAATTCAGGACTAAAAGTTTCAGGTAAACTTGGTGCATCTTGTCCTAGAACTTTAGTCAAGACTTCAAAATCAGTTGTACAATTGGGATAAGGAAAAACTCCCGTCGCTAATTCAACTAGAGTAATGCCTAATGACCAAACGTCGGCACGTATATCATAATCAGGGTTTTTGGGGTCAGGTTCAATGCGCTCAGGCTATTATATTAAACAGTTAAAAAAGTAATTAAGAAGTCAAAAAAACCTTACAGCTAGATATGCAGCACACCCGGCGCTCCTCGTTTTTGCCATAGAGTCCACTAAACGTCCACTAATACCAAAATCACACAATTTTATATGGCCTTTAGTGTCAATTAAAATATTTGATGGTTTTACATCCCTATGTATCACACCATGCTTATCTTTTAAATACGATAAAGCCTCTACAGTCTGTAACATTTGATCAGTCTTGTGTTGCAAAGAAATATCTATACTTACAGCAACTGTAACTTTACCCAATATTTCTTCAGGTATAGGTTTACCTAATCTTTTTAATAACTTATCAAAACACGTAGTCATAAGTTCCATGCATATCCAGACTTCTGAATCAGTTATAAAACAGCCTAAACATTGAACTATATATTTACAATCGTGTGATTTTAGAACTACTTCAATGTCCATAATAATCCTTTTATTTTCATCGTTATTGCCCGAGCGTCGCATTTGCTGAAATGAAAGTGATTGAAATAAATTGTGTTAATTTTTGAGCCTTGTTTACTTTGACAGCTATGATTTCACCACTTGGTTTGTGTCTCATTTTAATAACGTGTCCACAGGTTCCAAAACCAAGTTCTTCAAGTCTTTCCATATCTTTTATATCAGTTTCATATAATTTGTTGCTGATTGTTAAGTTACCACTAATTTTCATGATTTCTTTCAATTTCCTATCAGTCTCTAAATTTTCACTGCTTCTTGGCGTAAAAGACAAATCTCGTGGCCTGCTAGGGACGGTGCCCACTAGGAATACGAAAAGATTACTCTTATTTTCCTTCTTAGTTTATTAAACAACTTACAAGGGAGACTTGGGCGACTGTGAGGAACATCACCATTATTTCTGGCGATACTTTGACCGGACATTTGAAGATTGCGTGGAGGATTGTTTCCTAGTCTTAACCGATCTAATAAATTATTTATTTTCTGTTCTTGACTAGACATAATTATACTTACTACAAAGTCAAAACCAATGACAGCTATAACCTGAAACTTTTAGCTGCCAAAGGAAAATCACTATAGGTTGGACAAACTGGGAAGCCACTTTGGTGACTTCCAACAGTTGGTATCAAGCATCATTCAAAAAATATTGCGCCAAAAAAATAAAACTCAATTTAGTTTATAATATTTTATTAAAAAGAAATTAACTTATAAAGTGTATACAGCTATGTTTGGGCATGTTTCGCATTATGATGTCTCTTTAATTTTTGACTTTCCGTAAAAGATTTACCACAATTGGGAAACTGGCAAACATAAGGCCTCTCCCCAGTGTGACTCCTCAAATGGATGATCAAGTGGTGCCGTTCAAAAAAAGTTTTAAAGCATTCGTCACATTTATGTAAGCGCAAACCCTGAAAAGTACACAAAAAATCATTATTTGCCCATTCTCTGAATAGACCATTCTTGTTGACATAAAGGGCAACGATTGTTTTGTTTGACCCATAAAGACATGCAACAATAGTGAAATGAATGGTTACACTCCCCCCACACAACTACACAATCTTGTTTTCCGTATGAATCTTTTTTGCTCTCTGCTTGACATCGCAAACAAGCATCCATTACTTGGACACGACAAATTGCACAAGTGTCGCATTCTACGTCCCAGCTCCACATTGCAACGGCGTTCCATTTCTTCAAAGTGAACATTTTCTCGTTTTTGGCCCCCTCGCCGTCTAGGCGTTCCGTGTTCTCGTTCTCGTCGGCAATAGAGCTTGACATTGTGGCAACTTAGATTCTGATGTCACAAAACGAGTTATAGCTTAACTTTCAACGAAAGGGCGTTAATTAGTTGCCAAACTTTTTATCCTCTAACCTCAATTTTTATCAGATGACGTTTGAGTGACACGCAGTGTTGAAGAAGTGAAATTTAACAATAATAAAAAATATCCCTTCAAATTATGAACCGAATTTATTGTTATGCATTTAAATCATAAAACGATATTTTTATTACGAAGCGTAGCAAAACAAAATTTAAAAAAATACCTCCGTGCGGAACGCTTTTCATTTTAGTAAAAATGCCCACCTGGTGATATCTCTGATGCTTCAACAGCTCTTTTTTGGTATAAAACGCTGAAGGGCACGACTGGCATTTAAATTCTTTAATCCCCGTATGGATTCTTTCATGTCTTTCTAAACTGCACTTTGAAACAAACGCTTTGGAACACTGTGAACAATAAAATCTGACTCCTTCATGATGTTTTTTTTCATGTGCCCTTAGATTACTTCTTACAGAAAACCCGATATTACAGATTTTACATATGTAGCCCTTTACTTCCAAATGTATTTTTTCATGGCAGGTTAATGAATTTTTTGTTATAAAGCCTTTGCCTGCAACAATGTTTTACTTTTGTTTTGCATTTAAAACAAATAATTGTTACCACAAGTTACACACAAAAATGATCGTTTTCCCTGATGTTTTAGTTCATGAGTTTTTAATGTGTATGCAGAACTAAGAATTTTTTTGCAGTTGGTCCAAGTACAAACGTATTTAGCTTTTTTATAAGCTTCCGAAGTTTCAGTTTCTGTTGTATTTTCAAAAATATCATCTACAAAAATTTATTTTTCATTCTGTTATTTCCATCAAATGTAGGAACCTGAATTAAAATTTTTCTCATTATTTCCATCCTCATTTTGAGTATTTCCCTCTTCAGTAAAACAATTATGAGATCCGTACTCCTCTAAATTACAGAACTTGTTATCACATTTAGGACAAGAAACATCTGCTTTAATTTCTTCCAGACTAACATTTATTTTATGTGAATTTAAATGATTTTTAAGTAAATCGTAATCATTGAATTCTCCTGGACACTGATCACATTTAAAAACTTCTTCTGCTTTAATTTCCTTATGTTTATTCGCATCGAAGTTTTTTAAAATCTTTCTAAAACACTGATCCACTTTGCGAATGTGTTGTTTATAAAGTGAAAAACATTTTATAGTTTTTTTACACTCCTCACACACAGAACGCGGTAAAAGTTCCATTGACTTATCATTCACCTATAAAGAATGTTCATTTTAATTATAAATTGTGCAAGTTTTCATTTATCACCTTTACTTTTGTGCATTCATAAATTTCTTTCACCAATTTTTTATCTGTTTTTATATCGTGCTGGCCTGGCTTTGTGTGACACAAACGGCAGTTCTTCATTCTTATTTGCTCAAATAAAACCATTTTCATCATTTTAAATTGAAATATCTGGCAAAAACCTAGCTAAAATAATTTTTTTAGAGTTGACTGCTCTAACCTCACTTTTATATGCAGGTAATATCTACATATCTGTTCTGTGCAGGTAATATACGGCTGTCCCATGGAGATAAATAGTATTTATTATAGGTACTAGGTCCATGGGCTGTCCCACAAAAAGTGGAAATAGAAGAATATGAAGCGAAGTAAGAAATGAAGTTCTATTTAAATTATTTATTTGAATAGTTACTGGTAAATAATATGCACATAAAAATAAAATACACTGACTGTACATTATAATAATACAGAACAGTATGATAGTGGCAAACGTTAGTAACGAACTAAAAAGACGATAAAAATCTTATCACACTGTCCTAATAAACTTAAGTTAGATGGAATTTTTATGTACACCTTAGAATACAGCAGATAAAAATTTCAGTATTTAAATAACATGGACTAATAATAATATTTATACATCAGACTGGAGTAGTGCAAGCGTAAACAAAAAACAATCCCAATACAATCATCTATTATGATAAATAATAATTATTTAGTATTTATTGTTAGATTAATATCTCAATACAAAGAAAACTCGCTTAAAATATACTTACGAACATGATATAACAATTTTTTGAACTATTAGTACAATCTAACTTAAACACTTCACAAAATAACAAGTGTAACCTGTCAGTCTGGTTTTTTAATAAATGCACACGATTTTTAAATCCTCAATCACCTCTAATCTTAATTTAATAAAAAGGATCGACGTAAAACTAATCTAGTTTTTAGCAAGCAAGCTAACAATAGTTGATTTTTTATTTTCAGTAAATAACCTGAAACAAAAATTCTCCCTTTAGACTTTCAAAATTTAAGTAGCTTATCAGGTCACCTCAATTTCATTTAAATCTTAGAAAAGACAAACAAAAAATGAAAAATTGTTTGTTTCATAGATTTTCTTAATTATGATTATTCAGTCTGTGTAATAAATATATACACGAGTTAAGGTAAATGCTTGCTCTGGATCTACAGAGGCACATTTTGGAGTATAATGTTTCTACAAGCTTTCTATCCTTCTGAAACCGACGATAAACTGCTCCTTGTTGACCCCATACCGATCTTGCAACTCTCCTGACTCAAATCGGGCAAATCTGGTGGCAACGCCAGGGGAGTGCTGATCGGTCCATAAACTCTTTCCTGTTCTTCCAACTGCTGAGCAAACGCCTCTTCCAATTTCTAAACCCACAATTACTCAATTTACGACACAACAAAAACAAAAAACGAAACAGGGATCTTAGTATGAAGCAAATAAGCAAAGACAGTCTAAACAGCAGAATCATCATCGGGATTCGAGGGGAGGAAAACACTAGCTCTGCTACTACTACCGCTACCATGGGTCCAAGACCGAACCCGCCCCCAAGTAGGTGGTGAATCTCTAAATGTGGGAGTGTTAGGTGTGGTTAGTGGGAATTGAATATCCTGATCAGTTGATGACGATGTACTTAGTCCAGTTACATGCAACTTTGGTAAGTATTTGATGAAATCCGAAGTTACCACCTCTCTGTGCATCTCCTCTTCGAGTTTCTATAATGCGTGCAATGTTATTAGAATGTGCATGCGAAATAAAAAACAATCGTGCATAAAAGAAAAACAATGACATATCGATGATTTACCTGTTTTCGCGGTTTGAGTTGAGCTTTCCATTCTTTTAATTCTCGGCTGAAAGCTTCTTCGCGTTGCTTAAGTTTCATCGTTTCGTGCTCTAGGAGCATTTTACGTTTTTCATTCTGGAGTTGTTCGAGTTCTTTGATAGTGGCATCGCTCATCGCGCGGAGTTCTTCGAGTTGACGTTGGTGTTTTAGTTCAAAGCGTTGTTGTTCGGCTTGGTAGCGTTTTTTCTCCTTTTCTTGAAACTGCAACGATTTTCAATTTTCAAAATTATGAGAATGACAAATTGGTAACACTTAAAAACATCAACAAACCTCTTTGAACTTATTCTTTTCCGCTTCCGGATCGTTCGTTCCCGAAATCGATATCCTCATCGACTCCCTGAACATCAACTCTCTCGCCTTCATCTCCGCCCTGATCCTCTTCGGTAGCGACCTCTTTTCCGCTGCTTGTTTCTTCAACAACTCCTCCTCCTTCCTCGCCGCTCTTCTCTTAATCTGCTCCTTCTCCTTCTCATGCCTCGTCAACATCTGATGCCTTTGCAAAATAAATATCTCTTTAATCTGTCTCTTCATTAACTGATGCTTTTCATGAATCTGTCTTTCTTCAATCTCCCAAAGCGCCGCTTCACGTGTTCTTGTCAACTGCTGCTTCTGTTGCAAAAACTGTCTTTCCATCAACGCGATTTTCTCACGATGCGAATCACTGAGTCGTCTCAACGAACTCTCATGATTCTCGTTTAGTTTCTCCAAAAAGGCCTTTTCGCGCTCGAGGTGATCGATGTCCATTTTCTCCTTTCGGAGCTTAAACTCGGCCTTGCGACGCTCTTTCGGTAACAAATCAATTTCTGCCTTGAGTAATCTCAATTCTTGCTTAAGGCCGTCTCGGAAAAGCTTCAATTCGCGTTCTTGCTCCCCTCGAATTTTCTTCGACATTGCTCGCAATTCGGCATCTTGATGAGCTTCAGCTTTTTCGATTTGCATCCTCTGTTGACGACTCAACATTTCTAAATCATTTTCATACGTTCGTTCGAGATTCGCTCGTTCTTGTTCGAACTTTTTCTCTTGTTGTTCCAATGTTAAATTCTCCTTCATCGCCAGATCCTGGAATTGTTTCTGTTCTTGTTTTTGCAAATATTTCAATTCGCGTAATTCCTGTTTCCTGTCGTTGTGCAAATCTGCTAAATTGTAATTGTCTTCATCGGGACAAATCACTTTGCTTGTTGTGGTAGTTATAACAACGCCATCTATAATAAATTTCCTTGTCCTTTTCCGGGTCTTGCGATTGGCGATTGCTATAGACGTCCGTTTTGTTTTTTGGGCTTTTTTCCTCAAGACTACCCCATCATCGTTTTCATCTAATTCCGATAGTCGGTCATTTTTAGGTTCTTTTCCGGTACTTCCCCGACTTTCGTGACTAGCTATTGAAATACTTTCAATGTCTGAATGTTCGATACTTTTGGCCGAAACCGGTCTTCTATGCGAATCGTTACTCCGAACCGATCCACAGTCACTATGTGACCTATCAGATAACGCAGATTCGTAATTGTCGAATCCTTTCCCATTTAAAACAACTTGTCCATTCATTTTTGCTTTAACTTCGTTTGGAGGTCCGTCGAGCGTTATAGAAGTTCCACGAACCTCATCACTACTTCCGGTTTTACATGAAGAAGCGTTCGATAAATCACTCGTTGAACTTCGGAAATTATCGCCCGACTTGTCAAGATATGATGTCGAATCTTTGACTTGGACTTTCTCTTCGTCGATTTTTACAACAGACACGTGACTAGTATCCAAAAGTCGGGAATTGTCGTCGGATACGTCCAGACCCGAATCGTTTATAACATAACTCGAGTCGACGATTAAGACCTCGCTCTCGTCTAATTTTTTCGCTTTGAGGGGTCTATCGCGGAATTCATTAGGTGGAGGATACTCCAAAGAATCCAAACTTGGGTAACATTCTTCATCAGATGATTCTACGTGTGTTTTGTTCGTTTCATTCGCGACTATCACGACTTCGTTTGTACTATTACTGGGAGAAGTTGAAGATCGTGACACGCACTGAGTATTGTCGATAATGACGGGCGGATGTGTCGTTACTACAGTTACCTGTAATCACAAACATGAAACAAATGACAATGACCATCTTATCCACCTACCTGACTTATATTCGACGCTAGACTGTTTGAGGGATCAGGAAGATCAGAATTGATGGTAATAGTGGAAGTGTTTAGTTTATTTCGTTCGGATTGTGAGGAAACCACGACAAAGTTATTAACACTGTCTTCAGATGTCGCAGGTGCGCTGACTGTAACAGCGTCACTCGCTACGTCACCTTCAGATTGTCTCTTTTTCAGTTGTTTTTCTAATACTTCTTTAATATTATCGACGTTGTCTGTATTTTTTTCTGGTTTTTCGGGCTCGCTACCTGGATGAACTGGACTAGAACTTGGTGGAGTTGCTGGAGGTGTAATGGGCGAAGATGGAGGCGTTGGTAGATTGGGAATAGCGACAGGTATAGCTGGTGCTGGAGGTTTTTCGTTTGACGAACTTGGTTGAGGTTGAATGGGAGGAAGAGGTGCTTTGCCTTTATCTCGAGAGGTTTTCCTCTGGACTTCGTCTTTCTTCTCCAGCTGTAATTATTTTTATAAATTTACAAAATTTAACTGATGACGATAAACTTACCGGTTTTTTGTCGGCTTGAACATTGCTTGGCGTCGAAGCTGTCAAATCTTTAGCATTTTCTTCTTCTACAATAATAACGGGAGATTCTAGGTCATTTACTGCAATTTTTCACAAATCAGTTTTTATTTTCATTAAATTAAACTACTTTACCTTTATTGTCAACTTCGCTGCTCTTTACAGAAGTGGAGTCATCTTCGATATCCAGAGGAACATGAGAAGTGCGGTTGTCCTAAAACAATTTTTATTGAATTTTCCAGTTTGTATTATTAACAAGTTTCTAAGCTAAAATCTAAGCGGAAAAATAGCCAAAGCCAACAGATTTTCTCACCTGGGCCAACATGCCAGGCGAAGGAGGGCCCGGAGAGCCGCATGCATAACAAACAAGCCGTGATAACATAAATTTTCAAATTAGAGGAAATTTTGGGTTTACTTTAATTCTTTATTAAACTACCAAGATAATTGTACCAAATGGTTTTTAACATAAATAGGAATAGTACGAGTACATACTTGGAAACTAAAAAATAAGCTAGCAATTGTAGTTTAATTAAAGCTTCAAAAAGAACATTTTAAAACAAAAACCTAAAACCTCATTACAAATTAAAAAAATTTAAATCGGTCACTGCTCTCCAAGTAATAAAGACTTTATTATATGTAACTGTTTATGTTTAAATAATTTGTTACATAAATATTTACAACCTTTAAACTTTTTTGTTTTCCTAACATCTTTAGTACAGTTCTTGTATATTCGACTATCATAGAAATAAAAAATTTGTTTGTTTGCAACAATAGATTTTTAAATTAAAACATAAATAAGTTAATAAATGTACAAAATGTTTTTCTTTTTTAAAATACATGTAAAAGATACCTCAGCCAAAATTCAAACTTCTCTCTTGCTTATTAGAATAAATTAAAATTTTTGCATTGTCTGGTGTAATTTGAAAACAATTACATAACACAATATTATTTTGTTTTTATTCCTCTTTGGTTACACTACTTTACGTACCGATAATAATTATTAATTTTAAATGTAGAAAAGCAAAAAAAATTGTTAAAACTTTCGTCTGTTATTAAATCATTTGTTGTCTTATGGAAGGGTTAAATATACAAAAAAATGTATTAAAAAAAATCAAATCCTTTCTAAAATGCACCCTCCACTAGCACCCCCCCCCCATCCAGAAAACTTACCAATTCTCTGATAAAGTTCTTTGTGCTTGCGATGTTTCCTACCCCGCTAAGCATGAAATTATGTACAAAAGCTTAAGAAACGAGTTACTGTTACACCAATAGTGCAACCCGATAACCCCACAATGATCCCTCATCCTTACCTCAGGATCATCATCTGTCAATTCTTCTTCGACGACCTCCGCCTTATACTCCAACAACAAATCCCTGATAGGTTTCGAGTCTAACGTACAATTAATAAATGGATGCTTCAACAACTCATCGCACGTGGGTCTCCTTTGTGGATCCTTGACCAGACAATTTGATACGAAATCGTTAAACTCCTTCGACCATTTCGACGGCTGTTCTAATTTCGGCGGATCGGATTTCTGGATTTTGAGTAATACCCTCATGGGAGACATTTCGTGGTTGGGCGGCTCCATCTGGGCGAACTCGATGAGGGTTATGCCCATGGACCACACGTCCACTTTGAAATCGTACGGATTGTCGCGGAAAGTCTCGCAAAGGACCACTTCGGGGGCCATCCAATATGGCGTTCCGATAAACGTGTCGTGTTTTTGCATCGTACTTTTATTTTTAGCGGATACTCCGAAGTCGGCTGGTGGAACACATCAGATGTTAATTGCCACCAGCAAAGTAAACAATAATAAAGCTACATGAAGCAATTTTTTTGCAAACGAACAAAAAAAATGCAAAGTACAAAAGTAATTTTCCTAAGTAAACTCAGAAACTAGAAGTTTTAACGCTATTTTCGAACAGTAGGTATTTGTATGCTATTATAGTAACCCAACCACTAATTGAGTTTTGATTTTGAAAGATAGTAAAAAGAACTCTGGTAAAAATCAGACAGTGACAACTTTCAAAGAAAAAAAAACAATTAAAAATAACTAAACACGTGATGATTAATAATATTCTCTTAAACTGATTTAACTGTTTGTTAAATAAGTAAATCAACAAACGACATTTGTTTACAGCCCACTGACCAATCGTGCATAAACACCAGTAGTTATTTCTTTACTTCAGCCGACCTGACTAAATTTTAATAATTTCCTCTCTCTATTCTTCCAAAAATAAAAAAATACTGTGTGATACAGTGCACTTTAACAGTAGTCAAGTGTTTGTTAAGAAAAAGCTATGACCTTTGGATTAAGTCAGGTTAAGTCAGTTAGGCTAGCGGCTGAAAATACTTTCACTTCCGCCAATCAACAGTTTTTATTTTTGTTTATTTTTTTCTAGGTAGTTCCAAGCATACAATTACACTATTTTATAGTGTCGCAAAAATGAACTATGACCTTGCTATATATATTTCAATTAACCTAATCACTTAACCTACAACAAGTCAATTTAAGCTCTAAAAAAAGAAACTGACAAACGCTTTAACTTTAACTAGTACATCTTTCATGCCTAAAGTGGCAACAAAATGTTGACATAATGCAAAAAATTCGATTGTTTCCATTTGAACAACTGTATCCTTCTCAGTTTCAGTGAATTACCTTTACTCAATATCCTGTATACAAAAATAATTTTAGATTTGAATGTATTAGCAAGAATTTAAAATTTCAACAAATTAATTTTTACAATTCATGAAAATTGCGAGAGGCCTCATTTCACTTCTAGTGAGTTTAAAAACAAGATAGCTATGTTTTGAAATTATCAGTACTCTGGACCACCTGTATACAACGCGCTAATAAAAATTGTGATTTTATGTATTCAAAATGAGAGAGAAAGTGATTTTGTAAATATTCTCGCGAATTAATGAATCATGTATTACATATTCAATGATCACGGTGTATTTTTAGCTCCTTGTCAATCACAACTCAGGATGACAAAAAAATCGTGTAAATTACGACAGGAGTCGTTACTATTGATAATTTTTTGCCTATTAAGTTTATAAACCATAAAGCGTTCTTCCTTAACCCACTGTATACAACAATTCGACTCTGTAACCTAACCTTGGCGGTCGTAACACAAAGTAATAAAAAATTATGTTTGAATAAAATTTTGTTTTAGCAAAACGTGTACATACATATTTGTTTTTGACCTTAGCATCTCCTTTTCCAGGCAAAAATAATCTTATTTAAGTGACGAGTTGCCCCTGATGTCTTAAATAGTTAATTTTTTTAAAGATTAAATTGTAGGTTTATTGTTATCAAAATCAATTGATTAAACAGTGATCCATCACGTGTAAATCCTTCAATTTTTTACAATTTCGGTCCAACTTACCCAATTTGACCCCTCCTTCCATGGTCAGCAGCACATTCCCCGCTTTCAAGTCCCTGTGTATAACGTGATTTCTGTGCAAGAACTGTAATCCCTTGCACATATTTTGGCACACATAAGCAATTTGTAATTCAGTTAGAGGTTTTTCTAATTCAGTCATAATACTATCTAAGGCCCCACCATCACAGTATTCAATTAACATCCAGAGTTGCTGGTCTTTCTGAAAAGCCTCGTGCAACTCGACAATATTTGGATGTTTACACTCAGTTAAAATATCAATTTCTATCATGAAATCAGAAAGATCGTCTTCTCCATCAAGTCGGCACATTTTCGCTGCGGCCAACTGTCCCGTATGTTTATGTTGGGCTTTGTAGACTTTGCCGTAAGCCCCATCGCCCAACTCCCCTATCATGTCCCAAAACTCCTCGGGGTCGCATTCCATACGCACGTTATTGAACACTTTTTTCTTTTTCGCATCGTTACCACCGAAATGAAGCACTTTTTTAATATTGTTGAAGAAAGACATTTTGATTTTTAATGTTCACGAGATTACACACAAACACTGCACTCAAGGAGCTGGAACGGTGTCCAAAAGCGATTTTCTTCTCCGCATTTTTGTTTATTTGTCTGGAACAGAGTTTATTTGCTTTACACTTTTGTAATTTTCATACGTAAATATGTGTACACTGTGGATCATAAGAGGATCGAGGATATTTATTTCACCACAAGGACGTGAATGTCATGTTCGAGGCTGAAAATCGTAGAATTTTCAGGGTTTTGAGGAAACGAGGATTCACAAATATGTGTTCCATATTTTGCATGATGAATATCCTCATATTCAGTGAAAGGAAATGTCAGAATAGCAAGTTTATGGCCAACAACCTGTCCAACTATTTACCTCGATTCTAACAGATTTTGTACTTACTTTACGAATCTAAACCAGCTTTAAAAATGCAAAAACCACTGAAATTTTTATTACACCACTGTAGAAATTCACCACAGATTTATCACACTTGTGTATCTTCATTTTTCACTAAACCGTCAGCCATACCATTTTTTCCCTACAACCAATCCCCGGCCCCCTTTCAGCACCACGCCTGAAGATGACATCACTGCACGTCAAAGAAAAACCAAATTCCCTAAAAAGCCAGTTTCCACCACTGACGCGAATCCACCAAAGACAATCTCAAAATCACCTACAACTCTTCTTTACACAAATTCAGGGTGCAAATAAAACACGTCAATTCGATTGTTCTCAAGTTTTTATTTATTCTAATGAGGAAAAACAAGTCGAATGTTAATAAATTTCGAAATTTGAATTCAACAGTGTTGCCAATAGTGAAACAATTGAAAACATCACGTCACGTTTCAATAAAAAATAATTTATTGCAAACGTTAAACTCAATTAAACTTGATTTAAATTAAAACATTGCTCGTTTCAATTACGAGCGCCCCATCCAAATAAGGTTGCATCAGTTAATAATTCAATAAATTTTGAGGTTATTCCATAACCTCGGGCATTTTCGAAAAATAACCGCAACCCCCTCGTGACCTTCGTGATGCTTATCACCCGTTATTAGCTTCAAAAATGTCTCAGCCGCCGGCTAGAAGTATATGGAAAGCGGTTTTAACGAATTTCATAAATTCCTTAAGGCCCAGACAAATCAGAGGCAATTTGGTCGGGAGTGATTATTTCGGTAACAAATATTACGAAATTCCGGCTGATCCCTCAATTGGGAAAAGAAAAGCATCGCGGTGGTTTGAGCCCCAAAAAAAGGATGATTTCCAACAAGAAATGCCGGCTGAATGGGAGTCTTGGTTGAGGGGCAGGAGGAAAGAGCCTCCTAGTGATGATGAAGTAATGAGGAATTACGCTTTGATGCAGACTAAAAAACAAAATGCAATTGCGGTGGATGCAAAAGGGGGAAAGATGACGCCTGCCGAAAAGGGGATGGAGACATTTCCTAAAAGGCCAGAGTTTGAAATGACTCCAGGGTACAAGCAAAATAAGTGATTGTCAATTGTAGAAATTGTAAATACTGTAGATAACTAAAATAAATGCGATTTAACAAGATGTTTTCCTTTTATTGTAAAGAAGCGGTTTCAAAATAGAAATTGTATTTTTGAATGTTTACTTACAAAGAATGAATGTTTCTTTTTTTGTTGGGTAATAAAGACAAAGCCATCATTTTAATTATGCTTTATTTACAAATTAAAAAAGGCAAAGTTACATATCCCATTGCAAAATGATTTCAAAATGTACAGTTTTTTTTAGAAAATTGAATTGATATAAATAAAGTACATAATTTGCACCATAAAACTTTTAAAGTTTAATACTTAACAAGAACAGTTACTCCTACACAGTAGAAAAAACAAACATTACTCGTTCCTAACACTTATCCTGAAAAATCACTATGATCAAACAACGTTTGATCATAGAGTGATGCTTGTACCATTCTTCCTCCGAAATACCTCCCATTAAGTGCATCTCTGGCATTCTCCGCTTCTGTAACCAAAAAAACAATTAACAAATTTTAAAACTATCGCTTATTCCCATACCGGGTGTCTCCGAAAACTCTACAAAAATTTTAACCACGACATCGGACGCATCATCTTCTTCTGATTGTTTCTCATTATAAATAATCACCCTCTCGACAGTCCCATATTTACTGCATTCCTCTTGAATCTCCTCTTGCAACGTCTCATCCACATCTTCCGGCCCCACCATATTCCTCAAAATTACTACTTTCGAATCGACCTTCCTCATCAACTTCTGCATAACAAAATGCCTAGCATTTTGTCCCTTTATACTCATATTCTCCTGTTGCTGCAACGTCTGCGGCTCATTCTGATCCAACAACTTCTTCTGTAACTCCTCCTGTTGTTTAATTTGCGCTTCCTGCGCCCTTTTCAGCGCTTCCTCTGAACTATTCCTCGCAGGCACTGCCGGCTGAGCCAACGTAGGGGTCACAACCGTCGGAGGGGCAATCACTGGGGGCACCGTGACTACCGGCACTATCGTCGGCTGAATTGTATTATCCGGAAGCACTTGCGGTATGGCCAGCCCTGGAGGCGGAATTACGGCCGGAATCACCGGAGGTGGTGGCGCAGCCGCTACCACCGGTTGACTCAACTTGGAGAAACCCAACGCAGCAGCATTGCTTGCCACCGCGTCCATGGCTTGGATTTTGGCAGTGGCGGCGGCTGCGGCCACCGCCGCCGCCGTTGGCATCACACTGGAACCGGATGAAGGGCCTAGGAGAGCATTCGGGGGAGTTATGGCCCTTCCAACACGCAAATACTGGCCCCCAAGATCGAACAAATTCATGCTCGCGATCGCTTCGTTCGCCGACTGTGCTGTCTCGTACTCGATAAAACCGTAGCCTTTGTGTTTGTGACCGGAGCTTCCCTGCGCAAGTTTACAGTATATGATGGGACCGAATGCCTCAAATACGCTGCAAACATAAGTGCATTAGGTGTGTTCCGGACAAAAATGGATACATCAACTGACGTTTCAAGAAAACCGAAAGTGAAATTGAAAGAAAAAAAAACGTTTATTATTGATTTTTATACCTTTTAATGTCCTCTTCTGTCAAATCTGGATGTATGGAGGCGACATAAATGCGGTTATACTGTTTTGCTTCTTCTTGTATTTCGTCAATGACGGCTTGAGCTTGGGGCATATTGCTAGGCCGTCCAACGACTTTAATATTACGTCCACCTATCATAACTCCGTTCATTTGTTCTAATGCTAATTGAGCCGCTTCTGGTATCTCATATTCAACAAATGCAAATCCTTTGTGTTTTTGTGTGACTGGATCCCATGACATATTGATGGATTTTATTGGTCCAAATGGTAAAAAGGACTGCCTAATTGTATCCTCCTTGAGTTCAAAACTGATGCTTCCAACGTATACCCTAAACCCAGTACCTTGTCACCCAAATATTCGTCTCATAATGTACATATTAATTAGTTATAAACATTGGACTTATGAAATGGTTAATTATATCAAATTTTGATTGTTTTATTTTTAAAATAATTTCCAATGTGAAATTATTTCAAAAACAACAGAATAAGTGAAATCAATCAGATCTTATCAGCAAAAAATCACAAGTCGGAGAAAAGAACTTTTCTCAACAACTTCAACTGAAAAATGATCATCATTTGTAATTCTTGATGGACACAAGCAAATCATGCATGCTGATGATAATGATAATTGTTACATTGTTGCTCTTCAATAAAAGTGCAACAACCAATGAAATGACAAAATGGAAGATGTGATGATAGAAATGAAGGCAACAATGTAAAAATGCAATGGACGATGAAGCGTGCTAACCTGCACATAAGGGCGAGAGCCTGCTGACGCTGGACCTGAGTCCTCTGACTAGCCATTTGCTGCAACAGAGGACAAGTGGCATGTCACAACTAGAAAACGCAAGCTTGGGGGCGAGCTCTCGCCCCCTGAGCGGGCGCGTGCGACAAGCTACGCACTAACCTGCACATTAAAACTAACACTTGATGTCTCTGGAAGGTCTTATTTTTCTGTGAAGCAAAGTCTCATTAGTAAAACCACACACTGCGACAACTAAATCAAAATAAAATCGAAACTGAAACTAAATCTAATCCTCAACAGCTTGACCCTTCTGACAATAAAACAACTTCCAGCAAAAAAAATCTATCCAAAAACCCAACAATGACGTAATCAGAAAAACCATGTCTACCAAATTACTAACATATAATTCTTAAATATATTTCTGTTTACATCATTAGCTTGTCACTTTTTTCCTCCTTTAAAAAAAATATACCTGTTGCTGATGAGCCAGGGTCTGTTTCATAAGTACCATCCTTATACTCTGTTCCATAGCATACTTTTTCGCTTTGCTGACCTTGTCGCTCTGATCTGATGTTAGTTTTGGGAGGGCGCCACCGAGGATCCCCGCAATCGTATTACTCCTAGCTCCTGGTCCTTTACATTCCAAAATTAATATTTTTCCAAATAAATTACTTTGATTACCTGTGACAACTTCTCCAATCTGTTTAAGATCATAAGTTAAACTAGCTTTTTGTGATCCATCTAAAACAAAATTCAATGTGAGCAAAATAATTGACAATTTAACGAAAATCATGGATCAGTTTGTGTAGAAATGTTCTTGCTTTACTTACAATTTTTGAATAATTTCATTTTTAATGTTTTGTAATGTAAGTAAATACTAAATAATTCAGTGATCAATTACTGGAACAAAAACTTAATAACATTTGACATCCATTGTAAAAAACTTTTGCAGCTCAAGAACATTTAGTGAAGATCCTGAATATAAAAATACTGTCAATCTCTTTTTTTTTTTAGTGCTCAATATTAAATGCGAACGTTGACGTCTTACTGATACAACATATTTGAAGTTTTTTGTGATTATAAAGTTTGCAACTTTGAAAAGTTATTACTACCCTGCCACAAAAGTGGTATAATTAACTCTTAAAAAATTATGTACATTTTGTTGTTCTTGCACGTAGTTTGCAGTCGGCGGTCAAGTCAAGCCTCTAGTAACGCAACAACTCGAATCTGGTTGCACCTAACTGTATCTGGAAACACAAAGAGAAAATAGATACGTCTAAAACAACCCGATTGTCCTGGCGATAATCAAACGAATGTTGAATGAGTATGTGTTTCGCAAGAGACAACCGCAAAAATCTCGTCAAAAACTCATACTCAAACACATGTATAAATTCTTTGGTTTTCCTACCATGTAACCGTGTAGGCTACGGTTACAGCATTTCGTTCAACTCCACGTGAGGCTACGTTCTGGCAGATCTCATTTCTGGAACATCTCAAGCAGACATCGCACATTAGTATGGGTGTCCCGTACTTGAGGCTCTATACCTTACTAATAACAATATTCAAAGTTAATACTTACTATCAAGTTTTGGAATCTTCGGAGGCGGGTCCTCGGTACCCGGGGCCGGAGGCTCGGGTTCTGACTCTTCTGGAGTGTTCATGGGTTCTGGCTAGAAATACTAAGGTTAAAACACATTGGGGGCACTACGCCTTGTTACTTACTATATTTGTCCCTCCGTTTAATACTAACCGCTCTTGTTGAAACGTAGTCATCATAATTGCACTACCAACAACAATTCAGTCAATAAAACACGAATTTTGTAAAGTTGCACCATAAAAATAGAAAATTTTGTTAATTTCTGAGGCGCAACAAAATGGCGGACACGCTTTCTGTCAATTCGATCAATAATTCTCCTCAGTCGATAAAATCGAACCTGGTCGGTAACATAGAAAACAGCTGTTTCTTGTCATTTCCTCAAATGTCACAAAACATGTCATAATAAGTAATCTTTAAATGTAAATTTCTCTTATTTAAATTAATTTAAGAAGCAATGGATGTTACATTATTAATAGCTTTAGGTTCCGTAATCTTGCTGTTGATCATAAGCGTCGCGTTATTCTTTAAGAAGTCAGAAAAAGCCAAGCCAGGTTAGTAATAAAAAGGGGCTGTAGCAGTCACATTTTACCACTTTTTGTTACAATTGTGTAATTTTTTATTTTATATTAACTCCCTTAGATGATAGGCCAAGACCTGCCCCCAATCGTGCCCGCGAAGGTGTTCCCAGAAGAGCCCAGCTGGCTAGAAACCGAGGAGCAAGACTCCGAGCAAATGGTAACAGATTAGCCTCTCACATCATTTTCTTTACTTCAATATATATTTTTTTTAGCAGTACCTCAAGAACAACCGCCTTCAGATGACGAACTCGACCAAAACGAGGGCCAACGTGATATAGAAGTCCCAGACGGGGCCAAAATCGGGGCTAAAAAGAAGGCAAAACTTGAGGCCAAAGCTGAGAAGAAAGCCCAACGTGAAGCAGAAGAACAAAGTCGCGCCGAACGCAAGAAAAAAGAACAGTTAGCGGAAGAAGAAAGGAGGAAAGCTGAAGCGAAACGCGAAGCTGAAGAAAAACGACGCGAAGAAGAAGAACGTAAAGCAAAGGAGGAGAAAGAGAGACGCGAACATGAAGAGTACCTGAAGATGAAGGAAGCCTTCTCTGTTGAAGAGGAGGGTTTTGAAGAGGGGGAGGAAGGAAATGAAATGAATTTATTGCAAGAGTTTGTTGCTTATATTAAAAATAATAAAGTCGTGGTTATTGAGGATTTAGCCGCCCATTTTAAATTGAAGACGCAAGCGGCCATTGATAGGCTCAGGGATTTGCAAAAGGATGACATCCTGACGGGGGTTATAGATGATAGAGGAAAATTTATTTACGTCTCTCAGGAGGAAATGGAGGCTGTTGCTAAGTTTATAAGGCAGAGGGGACGAGTCTCGATTGTGGAACTCGCAGAGAGTAGCAATAAGTTGATTAATTTAGCCCCAGTAGGGGCTAGTGCTACCTAAATGTACATATTGTATGTTTGTAATAAAATTAATATGAATGTAATTTGGATAATTTTGCTTCATATGAAACTCCCGTTTTGAAATAAATCATTTTATTTCCATAATTGGTCAACAATTTTAAGATCCTAAATAGTAATTTATTCGCTCATTTCTTCCTCTTCTTCTTCTTCCTCACTTGTGACATCTGGTTCCTCAGCTTGTTCTTCACATTTGGGACAATTACAAGCAAAGAGGTAATTCTCCATCAATCCTTTCCGTCTGGAATGCCTCGATCTGTGCAAATTACACTCGTCTAAATAGCTGATACAAATTTCCTCCCCTTCCTGAATATCCCTAACAGCCACCAAAGACAACCGATTATTATTATGAAGGTACGTGGGTTCGGCGTTCGGAACACAACTGTGATTACACGCACTTTGCAAAGTAAACAGCGCGACTCCTTCATTATTTAAAAAATTCCCCGAATGTGAATCCATATCCTCATACAACTTATCAATAAATTTATCAAGAGCGCCTCTCTCGTCATCAGAAATGGCCAAGTCGGAGGTTCGAGTCACCCACTGACTTATCGCGCTAGTCCCGACGCCTTGGCCATTCGTCCCGATGAGAGCGAGGAGCCCCTGGAACCCCGCCGGGGTCAAAAACTGCTCAATCCCTTCATGGGGGACACATTGGAGGAGCAAATTATGCAATAGTGATAGCTGACTCGCGAATTTCTCGCCGAGTAACTTATGGGCGAGTTCGGCGTCCTCGTTGACGGTGCGGTGGCAAAACTGGAGGGTTTGCTCAATGGCCAGTTCGCGATTTGGGGACTGGATGATTCGAGCCAAAAGTCGGACGATTAGCATTATAGTGTTGGTTTCAGGAGGGTAATGAACATGTCTGAAGAAAAAAAATTACAAAAAACTGATTAAACGCGATTACTGCGTACTTCCAAGCCTCGTTGAGTTGCTCGAGAGGGTGGAAATTGTTGCGTTCGGTTGTTTGTAAGCAAAGTATTCGGTGGTATTGGTTGTAAGCCGTTGTTTGGCACTCAACGGAACAGTAGTCGGTGCCGCAGAGAGTGCATGAAGTGAATTTGCTTTTATCAGTTGTGCAACATTCAGGGAAGGGTAACTCGAGGTCGGGCTTCCCCGTCAAGCGGCGTGCGTTCTCCTCAGCGGTCTCTAAAGGCCTGACAACATTTAGATTAATCATAAAAAAAATAAAAAAACTTGGTGCAATTCTGGTGATATCCAATGCTTACCTCAAACAATGATCGCATGCTTTATACTGATAAGCCGCATTCCAGGAAAACTGGCAAGACACCAAGGGGTCCTCTTCGAATATGATAGAACCGCTTTTAAAGCACTTTTTTGAAAATAATCCTTTACCCTGAAAACACATGCAATTTATAAGAAATTTTGGGTAACAAATTAAGAAAAAAATACTTTCGAGTTGTCGACAATGCGAACTTCCACGTCCATTGCGACTTAAATTCTTCCGGGAAACATGTGTGATTCTAAAAAGTGAGGTTATGTGATGGATTTGTTTTAGTCGAATATATTGATAAAAAATGCGTTCCAGATAATGGATAAGTGTGGTAAAAACTCACTAAAATTGTGTTTTTGGTCTTTGTAATGAGTGTGAAAAAAGTGTTTGTAACTGTTGGGACCACAAAATTTGATAAACTCATTGAAGAAATATCCAAAGATGAATTACTGGATATTTTACATTCTTTAGGGTACAGTTTTGTTCAATTTCAAGTGGGTACAGGAAATTTGAACAAAAAAAATCACCCAAAGATTCGCCTCAAGTATGATCGATATTTTGAGAATTTTGCCCAAGAAGTTGAATCTTCGGATTTAATTATAAGTCATGCAGGTGCAGGGACATGTCTTGAAGTTTTAAAGAAACAAAAACCTTTAATTGTTGTAATAAATGAAGATTTAATGGACAACCACCAAACTGAATTGGCCAAACAACTGGCCAATGATGGGTATTTGAAGTGGTGTACACCAAATACCCTTAAAGACACTCTTTTGGAGAGAAAGTTTTTACAATTTAAAGTTTACCCAAAACCAAATTCACGTTTATTTAGTCAGTATTTGGATAAATGTATGGGTTTTGAAATAAGTAAATAAATGTAATAAAGAAATGTTTAATAAATTACACAACTTTATACAAGTTTTTTCGCCTCAAAGAAACTCTTTAGATGTTTCATTTGCCACGCCCCCATTGCCAATAACACTGCAGTTTGTGTGACAGACCACCATAAAACTCTAGAATTTGTGCTTTCACTGGTTTGGCGGAAGCGCTCTTCTCTGTACTGTAATAAATAAAAAAAGTTAAACTACAACAAAAATTTAATTTCCGTGTTACCCTTTGATAATTCTGTTCTTTTGTGATCTGTTCAACTTGATCCAACAATTGCCTAACTCTCAATTGCAATTCAGACAACTTTTCCTTTTGCACAACCTCACCATAGTTGACAGCATGTTCTCCAACTTGGATATCCAGATGGACCCTCAATTGAGACCCACTAAACCAAGCTGAGCTGTTTGAATACATGCAAATGACATGCTCTCCAGGCGTATGTGAAGTAAATGAGATTTTTCCTTCAGAGCTGTACACTCTTGACAAGAGGATTTTGTCATCTGGATCGCGAACTTCCACATGCATGCCGATCCCTGGAGATGACGGCATGAACCCACCACTTCGGGGGTCATAAAGCTCCACTTTGTAATTGACTGTAACAAGGTTTTGGTGGAGGAAAGCTGAGAAATTAAAAATGTTGGGGGTTACCTATGACGTTCGTTTCATCGGGAATTTCTTCAATGAAACATTTTCGCTCTGTCTCACCAATGTGGAAATATAAACTATGGCCAAAGCCGAATAATGTACAAACTAAAAATAGGCTTAAAAGGGGCAAATTACCCATTTTTATTTATTTTGGTTTTTCTTGGACACGTCACACTTCGGCACCATTCGGATTTTTTTACATGCTAGATGGCGCTTTGCACGGAGCTGGAAATGAGGGAAATATTCAAATTATATAGCAAAAATGAATGTTAATAACATAAAAAAACAGAATTTGTCGGCTTTAATACTATATTTTATTTCCTTAACTAAAAATTTATCGATTTTTGATGGCAGTTTTTTTTGTGAGATGAATCAAGTCCCTAAAAAAACAGCCTGTATTGATGTCCTTGAAGTTTTCGCATGCGCATTAGACCCATTTTGACAATTTAACCTTAAAGTTATTGACGTTTATTGTTATGGCTGTGGTTTGGTAATTGGGATTGCTATCCTTTTGGGACATTAGATCAAAGATTAAAAACCATTTTCTTTTATAATTAGTGTGTGATTCAATGAAGGAAGCTTCTCCTCCTGTATCAGCGATGGCCACACCGACCAATGGTAGTGGCAACTTAGTAGATGAATTTGAAGAGGCTTTCCAGGTATTTTCAGTGTTTTATTTTGAACAAGATTTGTATAATATTATTTTTATGTCTGTGGTTTGATATTTGAGTTTGAAGCTAAATGTTGTCTTTGTTACAGCACTGTCTTAACGTCTTAACAAAAGAAGAAGCAGTTCCCAATTCCGACAAAGACGAAATGAAAGTGGAAGTGGAACAAACCACCCTGCGATTCATAGATCTTGCCCGGCAAATGGAGGCATTTTTCCTCCAAAAACGTTTCCTTTTGTCGGCTTTGAAGCCGGAAATGATCGTAAAAGAAGACATAAACGAGTATCGTCTTGAACTGGCGCGGAAAGATGAATTGTTGAAACGCCATTATGAAAAAATCGCAGTTTGGCAAAACCTCTTGGCTGACTTGCAAGGTTATGCCAAAAGTCCGGCTCAAGGTAGTGCCACGCCCACATTGAATAATGGAGGTTCGGTTCAGAGTCCCATGGGTGGCCTTCCCGGTAATCAAACGCCGAATCCTATGATGGTTTCCGGGATGTCAACAACGATGCAACAGCAGTTACAGCAGCAGCAGTTGCAACAGATGCAACAGCAACAACAGATGCAACAAATGCAACAACAACAAATCCAACAGCTTCAGCAACAGATGCAGGTAGACCGACGTTGATCTCATCAAGAGCATGATTGTTGTAGATATTTATTTGTAGTGCATTTTTTTTAAGTTACGAAATTTTTTTTATTCGTCTAATGTAATTTTTTACGGAAATATGTAAGCATTTGGCAGTGTAAAATTTTTAGATACAGTTTATAGTTCTGCCCGTATATTATTCTATGTATATTTGTATACTAACTCTCAGGGTTTTTAGAAGTGGCAATATAAAGATCAAATGAATGTGATATGTACAATGTAGGATTATTGTACGAAAAAGTAGTATACGTTGTCAACTTGCTCAAATGTGCCTTTACTAGAAATTTTGTTTATCGATAAATGTTCATTTACTTTCTCAAGTTTGTCTAACAAAATTTATAATTTGTTGCAAATCATATATAATGTAATTTCCAATCTTTCTGTAAGATTTGTAAGACTGTTTACTACAATAAATGTTTCAAAAGCCGACATTTGTTTTTTTCCAAATTCTCGCTTCAAAACTAGAGGGTTGGTATGCACTATATCAAAAATTTATATAAAGTTTAATTTCATCATCTAATCGCAGGTACCCCCGGGGATGGCGAGCAGCGTGGGCCCCGGCATGGTATCCCCCCAGCAGGCCATGTTCATGCAGCAACAAGCCATGGGCGGCCCTCGAGGCCCTTTTTCTCAACAAGGCCCCGGTGGAGTTCTCCAGGGCCCTCTGGCGTACCTTGAGAAAACTACGAGTAATATAGGTACACTCCCATTACGGCAATTCTCGATCATCATTTGTTTTCTCTTTAGGCATGACGGATGGGCGAAGGTGACGCGGGCGCGGGAGGGGGCGAGGTAGAGGCAGGGGTAGAGGTAGAGGTCGTGGCCGTGGGTCTTTGCCGGATTATGTATCCCCGTAATGTTCCCCCTCCCGAAGTTGGGATATGCACCCATATCTCGACACGCGGCAAGGCATTCCAAGGGGACTCCTAATGGATTTCATGTGTAGGTAGTTAGTGGTACACCCTTAGATTAGATGTTGAGCAAATTTTACAAATAAGCAATGATTAAGAAGTATTGGCGTTTTAACTGAGTCACCGAAAACAGCCGGTGATAAAAAAATTCTTGAGTTGGCTATAGTCATCTGTCAAACATTTTCCTGAGCCAACTGAGGAAACAAAAATTTTCTTGACGTGGACCCCATTTTATTAACTAATTAAACATATTGATTATATAAAAACCTCTCACATAAATGATTTATTTAAGTATTATGATGCCAAGCGAAAAACATCGTAGGAGTTGTATAAAAGGAGCACTGCAATATTACTTTTATTTCAGTTTTAACACTATAAAGAGTGCTTTTGCACGTTTTCAATAATTAAACGTACTCAAATAAAATCGTAATTTGTAAATTTATAAATTTAAAGTAAATTACCAGCTAATAGTCTGCCATGAAGACCAAAGATAACACTACATATAACTTAATTGTTATCAACTAAATTAGTTTTTTTATAAGGACTCGTTTTTGTGTTTTAAGGCACTTTATAAATTACCTTTGTTATAAAGAAAATCACTTTGGTCTACATGGAAAACCCAAAATGCTAAATTTATAACCTAAGCGCAACCAACCACACTTAAACTTTTGCAGCACCTTAAATTAAGAAATTTAAAGGACAATTGTGTATTATTTGAATAAAAAAATTGTATCGTGCTGATCAGTTTGCATATGTAACGTTACCGAATTTCAAAATTGTGATATAAATTATTAATAAAACAAATTATACTCAAACAATTTTATTTCTTATATAAAAATCAACACTTGGCTTGCGCCTCTATAAACTCAACCAATGTTCTCGTGGGCCTCCCTGTCATCCCTTTGCCTAGATAAGGAGTTGTATCATCAGGCCCCATAACCCCTGCGATATCCACATGCAACCAATCGGTTTTTTCCGGGACAAACTCTCGCAAGAAAGCTGCAGCAGTGCAACTGCCACCACCTTTACCCTTCCCTACGTTATTCACATCATAGGCAACATTATCGGTCATTTGTTTGGTAAAAAACTTCCACAGTGGCATCCTCCACACCCTATCACCACTTCTCGATCCCGCCTCCTCCAAAATCTTGTACAAGTTATTCGAATTGGTGAAAACCCCCGACGCTGAACCCCCTAGCGCCACCTTCATAGCCCCTGTCAAAGTGGCAATATCCAAGACCCACTTGGGACTAAAATTCGCACTGTAGGACAACGCATCGGCTAGAATCAAGCGTCCTTCAGCATCAGTATTATCAACACAAATCGTTTTTCCATTTCGAGCTGTAATAACATCACCCGGCTTGAGGGCGGAGCCCGACGGCATATTCTCAGTCAAAGGAATCAAAGCTTTGATATTAACTGGTACTTTAAGACTCGCCAAGGCGTATAAAGTGGCCACAACACTGGCAGCCCCCGACATATCAGCCCTCATGTGATCCATAGCCGCTGGCGGCTTGAGACTAATACCTCCAGTATCGAAAGTAACCCCTTTTCCCACCAAAACAAACGGATTCGAGTCACTGTTCTTGTAGGACAACTCGAGGAACTTCGGAGGTTCAATTGAGCCCTGAGCGACGGCCAAGAAAGCCCCCATTTTCTCACTTTCGGCCCACTTTTTATCCCGGACTTCGACTGAAATTCCCAAACTTTTCGACAATTCGAGTGCCCTTTCGGCGAAAATTGTCGGAGTCATGTGATTCGAGGGAGTATCAGCGAGACGCCGGGCGATGTTTTGGGCTTCCGCTTTGATTGATCCGCGGTTCCATTGGTCACACTCGGTGGAATTTATTTGGTGGAGGGATATTTCGGGCAGAGTCTCTTTTTTTGTTTTGAAGTCTTGGAATTTCCAAGTCGCGAGGTTACAGCCCTCGGCTGCCGCCTCGGCATCTCCCAAGCTTTCAATTTGGATTTTTTTTACCCCGGCTGCGTCTAAAGCCCTACAAGCGGCTACAGAATATTAAATTCAATTATTTTGCTCAAAAATAAATAAATAGAATACCTGCAGCTGCGATTCGGACTGACTCTCGTTCCTCCGAAACTAATTCAAGTTCGTCGTTTGGTTTAGTTTTTTTTCCTAATCCGACTACAGCGATGGACTGAAAGTCAGGTTCGAGGCCCCAAAACACGAAAGTCTTTCCGGCTTTTACTTTATTACCTGTGCTGTAATGTGAAGGAATTAAAATCGTTTTTTAGGCAATAAGAAACTTTATTGCTATTATACAACTACTTACAACAATAAAAACATTTATCTAAATGGATCACAAATTAATTTAACAATTTATTTATAGAGAAAGACTATATCGTGAAATCTATATGATCACAATGAACATTGACTCTCCAGACGACACATATAAATATAGTGCAATACAATTACCGCAAATTAAATGAAGAAATTCAATCACATTTTAGTTCATTTTAAAAAATATAAAAAGGGTTTTTTCAGGCAGTAAAATGCCGGTTTTTTACATTATATTCTTTTTTTCTATGCACATATATACACAAAATACTCCAAACTTATATTTTTTATTACTTTGAAGCTCGAAAAAATTCTACAAAAAATATTTGGGTGTATACTCTTCAATTCAACATTCGAAGTAAACAAGAGCAACACATACTATGGAACAAAACATAGTAACAACTGCCTTTTTTCCTTAACCAAGTCACTAGTGGGCCAGACTACACACTAAGAATAACATGATTACAACACAAAATTGGCACATATATTGCTAAAAATACTTACGCTAATTTAATGAGCAATATTTTTTTTTTTTGGTTTTATACTTGTGAAGTCTTGTGTACATCGAACTACGACTGGTTTTGTCTCACACGTATCATATACTAATAGCTAAATTGTGCGTATGTAACTCTGAAATTTGGCACACTTGGGCATTTATGAGGTGGAGACTTGTCAGTTGGGAGAATGATATTTAAGAGCGGCACTACGAAACAAGGGCACTCACTAAAAGGGAACACTTCAATCCCATTTCCGGCCTCATCACTTATACACGATTTTTTCCACTGACTTTAAAAGTTTGACCTTTCATTAATGTTTCATTGACAAAAATATGAAATAGATAAAACACAGGTCATAGATTGAATTAATGAGGAAAATCAGGATTTAAAAAAATAAAAAAAAAATTAAAGAAAAACGTTATAAGTGATGAGAGGCGAAGCATTAGACAAATATAAATAGTTTTCTTTTTCTTTAAGTATAATAATAATTAGTGTTTCCCGTTAATTTTTTCCCTCAATTTCTTTAATAAAATAGTTCTATTATTATTAACATTGTAATTATTAAAAAATGACGCGTTGACACCAATATGCTTTTGGACTAAAGTACCGTGCATTCAATTAAAGTTCTGATCACTGTAATTAGAAATTTAATTGAAAGCACGGTACTTATACAATATACGAGTAGTAACGGAAATATTTACTGATAACTTTGCATAACATATTATAAAAAAAAACGCCCCCAACATTTCTATTCTCTAGATTTGTAAGTTTAGTTCAGTTCAAATAAAACATTAAAATAGTAAAGCAGCAGTGGTGATCATTGACTTTTTGTTAAACAACTTCTATTTTTGATAAATTAAAACAACAAAATTAGGAAAAACCGATTCAAAAATAAAAAACCTAATAACATTATAAAAACAGTTCTACTATGTTTATGTTCTTAACTTTCAAGTTCTTTCATAAAGCAAAGTTTTTTACTTTAACTCTTAGGAGTGCCATTTTTTTCAATTTTCATTATGCAGTCCAAATTATAAATATGTTTTCAAGCAAAATTCTAGAAAAAACAAAAAAGCTGAATTAAGTTTCCAATTGAAGAGAGTGAAATAGGTAAACCTTATATTTTCTATTAATTTATTCTTAAAAATTACGTTATATAACTTTAAGATAATTATAAATATTAAATAAATAATTATCGCCGCTCATTGGCAAATATTTCCACCCTACCCTGTATATTAAAAATAAAATAGTTCACCAACCAACTGTTATGGTTTTTGTTGCTAAATTCGATTTTTTTCTTTTGCACATCCTGTAACAAAAATTAAAATCCGGGATATGCCAAAACTGCTGATTGTCCTAATGCCATACTATTCTATCGCCTAAACCAATTCCAAAATATTAATAATCCCTTGGCTATTTGCCGCAACGACAACATTTGAATTCTGTTTCCAACAAACTGCCGAAACAAACTCATTCATATCATCCTCCCGCCTTTCCTGATCCAACACCCCTTGGATCGCTTCAAACTTATAACTAAACAGCTTTTTACTCAAGCCTTTGTAATAAATATACATAGCGTTATTTTCCGAGCCGCAAGCGACATAATCGCCATCTGTCGCCAATCCGATAAAATTCTTCTCATTAATGTGCCCCACAAACGACCGAAGGCAATAGGGAGTATTAACATTCCACAATTTTAACTGCGAATCGGTCGACGCCGATACGATATCCTCACTATTGAGAAACTTCACATAACTCACTGCCTTTTTGTGACCCTTAAAGACCGCCACTGCCTCTTTCATGTTCCTCAAGTCGTAGTAATGAACACAATGATCTGCGCTACCGAACGCTAAATGACAAGAACTTCTCGGATTGAATTTAACACAACAAACGTTCGCTTTGGCTTCGAGCGTCGCAATCGAGTGCTCACCGTTGAGCGAGTACAACTTGACGCGCGCGTCATCCGAACCCGAGGCGATTAACCGAGTATCGACTTCATTAAAATCAACACTCCAGCAACGTTTCTCGTGCTCTTGATAAGTCTTAGTACGTTGACCGGTTGAAGCGTCCCAAATCGTAACAGTCCCTTCGTAATCACTACTTGCAAGAATACTCTTATGATACGTGTTCCAACTCACGCAAGAAATTTTCGATTTAGATAACATTTCGATGCAAGGATAATGAATATCGACTGTATCCTTGATGACAGCTCCATAATCAAAAACCTTGATTTTTTTAGTCACTCCGGCAATCGCCAAAAACTCGTTATCTTTGTCGAATTCTATACTCGAAACTATGGTCGAATTGTTGAACAAGTCGCTCGAATAATTTAGCGTTGCAAGGACTCGCAACGAGTTATACCGCGAGAATTTTATCAAATTCTCCCGGAATTCATCGAGACCCGTATTTATGGTAGTTTTAGTCTTATCAACTCCGTCTTTGCCGAAGAACAAGTCTTTGGACCGTGATGTAAAGTAACAATCGACGAAATCATCAAAATGGGCGTGCATTCTGCGCCTACGCATCGCGAGTGAAGTTGAACCTAACCGAAGCGGTGCGTCGGGATTTGTTTCATCTTTGCGACCAGTGGAACTCCCTATAGTGTCAATCAAATCGATCATTTCCTTCTTCATTGCACTAACATCGGCATTTTCCGCCGCTGAAGCCACCGTCCGTTCCACATCCTCCAAAGTGGGACACTTACTATGAACCTCTTTCAACTTATTATAAACCTCCTCGATATCATGTTCGATAATCGCAATCTCCTTAATAATCTGCGCTTGTCTCTCCTTCTTCTGTTTAAGCAAATGTTTCAAAAACTCCAACAAAAGTCGATTTTGAGCGGCACATGACTCCGCTTCCAGCAACTGTTTCCTCTGTGTCAACACCTCCAACATCACATTGACATCCGGCAGAGTCAAATTTTGAGATTCCGTTGCGACGAAATCCCTCAAACCATCAGCCGACGGGCCGAATTCGCCCGAACTGTCCCGATTCAGCCCCAAAGCCTCAAAGTTGTTTAACCGAGTCTTGTGTTTTTTGATCAGATCGTTCAGAAGGAAATTCGGAAAGATCATGTCTTCGCCGGTCACCGGTGCGTTGCATTTGGGGCACCGTTTCAAGGCTTCGATCGATTTTATAATGCAGGTGTAGCAGAACGTATGGCCACATTTTGTGATATATGCCTCCTCGATCAGGTTGAAACATACAGGACATGAGAAATCAGTAGTTTTCTCCTCGAAGGAGCCTCCCCCGGCGGTCGAACGCTGACGTTTGGGGGTACGAATCGATGAGCGATTTGTTGGTACATTCGAACTACTGTGTGACGATGCGGAACTACTGCGACCGTCGCGGCTTGACGCCATTTTGACGACTTAGAGGTAGTTAAGAGAAAAACATCGACCTGAAACAAGAACTAGGAGTAGTATTGAGGAGATGAATCAATTTTGACGATTCTTGACCAACTTTTAAGCCGACTTAAGCGTGAAAGTGAAGGAAGTCACTGGAAGAAGGGCTGCAATCGTCCCAAGCAGCTAAAAACCTTCTAAAATGACCTGAAAAGTGGATACGAATCGCCTAAATTGATAATTATAACCAAAAAACACTCAATACTACTATTGATACTGGATAAATTGAATTAGGATCAAGTTTCAGGTCAGGTTTTTCCAGATAAAGACCGAAAAAGTGCAATTTTACTTGACTTTATACTTTTACTTTTAAAAAATATTGAATAGTACTTGACAGAATTATATAAACTATTTTTACTGTCAGCAATTCAGATTAGAGGTCAATAATTACTACTTGTGTAAAAATTGATAAAACTTTCTTTTTTGTGCCAAGTTTCATTAATTACTTCCATGTTTTCACTCCTTTATTTCTACATTATGTAATCTTTCACTCGGACTTGACTTTTTTATAAAAGGAACACACTATCCACTCTAATAGTCTACTTACAGTTTAATTTGTTCTAAAAGTCTTCCTTGACACTTCTGATTATACTTTTCAGTAGCGGGGGTTAGCTCCAACCCTTCACATTCATCATCACAGTACACGCCCAAGATTAAGCCTTTCTAAAACGAGAAGAATGAAAAACACTCAAATAAATTCTTTTGAATGATAAAACCTACTTTTTCCGGGCAGGTTGAAGAGCATGATCTAAAAAAGTATCTACTGGTGACGGATAACCTGAGCAACTTTTTACACGTTAAAGATAAAGCCATACTTAATTGTAACACAAAAATATGGGTGGTTTCAGTATGGGGGCGATTTGGTAAAAAGCGATTTAAAAACCGTATACTTCTTGTCTTTGGATAATGTGGAACCTGACTGTTAAAAATCCAAAAATCAACAAATCACAAAATTGATTTTTGACAGGTCTGCCGGGCTGACAACAGGATGACAGAAATGAAAAACAACAGCAGGGGGCGCTGCATACACGCAAAAAATGTTTTAAGAAAGGTTGGGCTTTAGTAACAGTTGCCTTATCTTTGTATTTTTATTATATCTATTTACAGTACTAAAATAACACACTTGGAAAAAATATGTAACTTAAATATGCGTTCCAAGATTGTCTGGTAAAAAAATATATTAAAGAACAAAATTACCTTATTTTTTATGACTTGGTAGAAAAATAGATGGCGCTAAATTCAAATTATGTTTTTTTTTATTTTTTTACTCAAATTAAAACATAATTAAATGTATTTATGTTTTTCAGTAAAAAGTTTTGTAAACTTAAGCAATAGTAAAATAAAATTGTGATAATGTAATAACAACTATATTTCCACTATTTTCTTTATTTTGTTTATTGAGGTTATGAGAGAGTTACTTTGACCAAGTGCTCCACTTTTAGATTATAGTTTTTTGCAGTTTAATCGTGTGCAGTTTATATGTGAAAAATGAGCACTCGAGAGTTGGCCCGGTAAGTAAAAATTTGTTTGATTTTTCTATATTACAAAAATTTTTTCACGATTACTAATTAGATTATTTAGGTTGTAATTAATATCTACACTGTAAAAACAAAAATAAGCTAGTTATTTCGATGTATTTTTGATAACTTTAAACATTATTTTAGAAAACTGGACGCTTTAGAAATAATTTATTCCGACAGTAAGCCCAAAAGAATCACACAACCCTTTGATTACCTCCTCGTCCTTGACTTTGAAGCAACTTGCTGGAGCTCCACCGACTCTAAAAAACATCCGGCTGAAATTATCGAATTTCCTGTCGTCCTTTACGATGTAAAAAATGATAAAATCATTGCCGAATTTCAACAATATGTAATGCCAGTTGAGAATCCCAAATTAAGCGATTTTTGTACTGAACTCACAGGTAATAAACCATTATTCCTCAACTCCCACCAATTGATTTTTCACAGGAATCCAACAAAAGCAAGTAGACAACGGCGTCCCCCTTCAAACATGTTTGAATCAATTCTCGCGTTGGATTTCGGAAAAAATGAGATTATACGACATGGGTTTCCCAAACGATGATAATCAACGATCAAAAACGTGCGCTTTTGTCACTTGGTCTGACTGGGATTTGGGTACATGTCTTAGGAAAGAATGCAACCGGAAAAATATTAGAATTGAGAAAATGTTTCGGAAATGGATTGATATTAGAGCACTGTTCAAGCGCTTTATTAGACGCCCTTTTGTTGGACTTTCGGGCGCTTTGGCTGAACTAGGACTGACTTTTGAAGGAACTGAACATTGTGGACTGCATGATGCCAGAAATACGGCCAGACTTGTAGGGAAAATGGTCGATAAAGGGGTTGTACTCCAATTAACTCGACGTTAATTTTTTAATTTCATTTCTATATTACAACTTAAAATATATTCTTGTTATTCTATAAATTGATTCATTGGGTCTTCCTCTCGCCTCCTCTTCAAATAGTAAGCTTCAATCTCCTCCTCTGAAGGTTTTTTCACTTCAAACATGCTATTATAAGGCCGCTTCCTCTCATCCATTGATAATAAACTCTCGGCTCTCTTTTGATGTTCCTCTTCAGCTTTGAGTGCGTCTTTCAACTTGTCTTTTTCTTCTTTTTGTTTCAATTTTTTCTTTTCTTTATTTTTCTTTCTCTTATTTTTCTTTTTCTTGTTTTTCTCGGACTTGTGTTTCGCGTCTGTATCAGAACTTGATTCGGATGAACTCTCATTTGATTCTTCTTCTTCCTTTGCTTCAGGTACAACTTCTGGTGGTTTGGTTTCCAAGTTACGGCCAGCTTCTCCCAAACAATACGAATTCTGTAAAAAACATAATTAAAAAAGGCTTCAAACAAATAAAAATACGTACTTTAACAAATGAGTGGCAACACTTGTAACCCCATTGTCCTCCTCGCCAGAACGACCCCCAAACCGAAGTGTGATTATTAATATAAACATCTTCCTCATATTTAGATTTGATAACTACTTTTTCTTGTCCTTTTATTATCTTGCCGGATCTTGAGTATTCGACGTAATCTTCAGTTTGTGCCAAAAGTAGCGATTTCGGGGGCGCCTCCAAGTGCTCCTCTCCTCCATACTTTTCCAAAATACTCCCTTGGACCTTTGACTTGAACTGTTCTTTCTTTTTCTCATACTCTTTCTGCAACAACTCCAACTTCGTCGGTTCTGCCAACAAATGAACATCAACTCCTTTCTCATACGCCTCCCAGGCAAACAATTGCGCCGAGGCATGTTTTGTCGTATCCCCTGTGAATTTGACAAAATTCTCCCCTGCGTAATTATCATCTTTATTCGGATTCGGATTCTCCCTCATTGACCGCGTTTTCGGGTCATAATAAGCCGAATTTGGGTCTAAATTTCGCAAATATTTCGCCGTGTCTTCCCGAATTCGCAAATTCCTGACTGTGATTCGTTGTTTGCTGTCAACTTTCGTCCCCGGCATGTCAACCTCGTCCACGTATTTGTCCTCATCTAGTTCCTCATCGCTTTCGTTATTCGCGTTGAGCTTGTCGGCTTTTAACTGACGTTTCGCTTCTTCGACCTTTTGGAACTCCTCGATTACGGCTTTGTGCTCTGAGGGGTCGTAACCACTCCACCTGTCCCGTTTCCCGTCATAACTCAGATTTAATTTCTTTTGGATAAACTCATCCGCTGCTATTTTAGCCCCCGAGAACTTGGCGGCCACTTTGCGTGGACGTTCCATGCAGTCTTTGCGCTTGTGTGTCATCGCGCCGCAGTTTTCGCAAGCCCCTTTGCGATATTTAGTCACAACTTTAGACTAAAATAATAATTAAAAATATATTACGCCAGGGGTGAAGTATATACTTACCGTATCAACACCTCGCTTGTACCACTCATCCAATTTGGAAAAATCATCTTGTTTGTCATCTTGGGGCCTCTGATGCTTGAGAGTAGGTCCAGACGTCCCATAGTACCAAGGAGCTGTTGCAATGTATTGGGGAATGTGGGGGTTTATGTCTTTTCCTTCTTCATCCACAGCCGCAGGGGCTGTACCAGCTTTTCTGGCTTCTTCGAGTTCTTTGGCCTTCCTCCAGTCTTCCCTTGATTTTTTCTTAGGCTCATCTTCAATTTCACTTTTCGATTTTAAAATTTGCGAAACTGAAAGGCCTTGCGTAGTGCTTGCCATAATTACGCACGTAATAATGAAAAACACTTGAAAAAAAACGCAATATTTACATGAAAAGTAAGGTTATGTGATAACAGTTGTCATTCCCGAGGTCAGGATTGGATTGTATACACAGGGATTCAAAAAATATTGCTCAATGCAATATTTTTGAAAAATTAGAAAATTTGTTAAATTGTTCACTAGTGGTTTTTGTTTATTCTGTTGTCTGTTTCCATAAATCCAATACTTAATTAAATTAAAGATGTAAATTAGAAAACATATTAGTTGATATAAAGATGGCGGAGGTTGTTATGGCGCTAAATTTGAGTTTGAATCAAGAGAACTGTGAAAAAAATTCAAGTGAAGGCCCGTAACCAATAAATAAAAAAAATATTATTTGTCTTCCCGATCTAAATTATTCCTGTAAAATGTATATATTTTAAATGAACAATGTCGATTGCAACAGTTATAAGACAAATAAATTGGGTTAGGCCTCGAGTACTGAATGTTTTTAAACCTCGGAATTTCTGTTCCGGCGAGCCAGCGTCATCCTCATCAGGCGAAGAAAAGGTAGGTCTTTGCTTAGTTATTTGCCCCCTTTTTAACCCCTGAGCTTGCAGAAAGGCATAATTTTAGGCGTATACGAATCAGAAAATGAATTGGTATTAACGAAGGCTGCACAAAAATTCAACGATCATGTAGGAGGAAAATTACTCGATTTGATAAAAAAGTGAGTACAAATTAAATTAATTCTCAACAAGAAATACACTACTGGTGTTTAGAGCTGGAAAGACTGTAAAAAGAGGTAACACAAGAATCTTCAACAATGTCGATCGAGAATTCTGGGCCGTGGCCGTGGTCGGTTTAGGCCCCGAAAAGGCGGGCTATAACGAAATGGAAGCCATTGACGAAGGCATGGAAAACGTCCGCGTAGCCGCCGGAATTGGAGCCCAAGTCCTTAGAAAACAAGGAGTGGACAGGATCATGGTCGAAGGCATGGGATTCCCGGAACAAGCGGCCGAAGGAAGTGCCTTAGCCCTTTGGAGGTACCCTTTTGTTTTGACATTTACTGTCATAGTAACCATGGCACTCTTTACTTAGGTACCAAGAAAACAAAATGCGTGAGAAGCAGAAGAAGACTCCAACGCTAGAACTGTTCGATGATCCCGACGGTGAAAGCTTCCAACGCGGTCTCTTCAAAGCGGAGTCCCAGAATTTGGCCCGGCGTTTGTCTGACACTCCCGCCAATCAAATGACTCCTCTGCATTTCGCCCAGGAAACTGTCAACGAGTTGTGCCCTTGCGGCATCAAGGTGCAAGTCCACGACAAAGATTGGATCGAGCAGAAAAAATTCAGCGCGTTTTTGACGGTGGCACGAGGGTCGTGCGAGCCGCCAGTGGTATTGGAAATCTCGTACTGCGGTGGTCCCAACGACCAGAAACCCATTCTGTTTTGTGGCAAAGGCATCACGTTTGACAGCGGTGGGCTCTGTTTGAAGAAATGCAAAGGAATGGATGTGTACAAGGCGGATATGTGCGGGGCGGCGGCGATAATCTCTGCTATTCGCGCCGCCTCCGCTTTAAGTTTGCCGCTTAACATCGAAGCGGTGATTCCCCTGTGTGAAAATATGCCTAGCGGAATGGCAATGAAGTGTGGGGATATCGTGATGGGGATGAACGGCAAGAGTATCATGATAACAGACACTGATAACGAAGGAAGGTTGATTTTGGCCGACGCTATGGTTTACGGACAAGGAATCTACAAGCCGAGACTAATCATCGACGTTGCGAGTCTAACTCCTGGAGTGCGGTCGGCTTTGGGGTCCTCCGCGTCTGGAGTTTTTAGCAACAGTCAAACGATGTGGTCCCAAGTCCGCAAAGCCGGAGTTATAACCGGGGATCGTGTCTGGAGACTCCCTCTATGGAAGTTCTTCACGAAGAAGGTAACCCGTTTCAAGTCACACGATGTGAATAACAAGGGCTTGGGCCAAGGGTCGTCTTGTCTGGGTGCCGCTTTCCTCAACGAATTTATCAGTTGCGTCGACTGGATTCATTTTGACATCACCGGAGTTGGATTTAAGAGCAACCATAAGGTCACACCGTACTACACTAAAGGGCGGATGACCGGCCGGCCAACGAGAACATTGATTCAGTTACTTTACCAATTATCGTGTCCTTCAGAAGGACAACGGGAACTATAGACTTTTTTGGTGGATTTTAGATATGGGATATGACCCACATGACCTTTAAAATTTAAATTGTAATAAATACTTAGGGGAATGTTTTGACTTGAATCGCAATCTGGTCAATTGCTCAAATACGGTTTTTTTGGCTTTCTTTATCATAAATCCTGATAATTTTCTCCCCCTCCCTCTCAAAAAAATAAAAATAACATTCCGAGTTACTCCTAAGTGGTCTATTACATTTTTGTAGCCAGTTTTACAAGAATTTTGAAATTTGTCGTATACCAATTTATTGTTTATTTTATACTCAAAAACTGTCCTATACTGTACATTTTGTATCAATAAAATATAATGCTTCGACATTGACTTATTCACTTTTTCTTATTAAAATTCAGTTGAAGGCAGTTTTGATAAACTGACTTTTTGAGCCACTTTTTAATTGTGATAAACAACAATACATTGTCAACAATTACATCAAAACAAATGTAAAAAGGCACAAAAATAGTCTCTACGGATGATCATGTGAATAGATGCAGGAATAAATTAATAAATCCATTCGTAAATCAGCTGATGCAATATTCAAACAAATAGCATCACCTTATTTGGTCTCTTCCAATGTGTCTGTCTTTTTCTAAAAATTAGTTTGTTTACCGGCAAAGGACCTGTTTGAGTCATTTGGCCCAAATCTTTTAAATTTAACATTTTTAAAATCAAAAACAATTTTATGAATCAAATGTCTGGACTAAAGTCCACTTGTTTGTATTTAATAAAAGTCCTAGACGTTATTTTTCAATAATTTTATTCAGTGGGTAAATAAAAAACATTGCATAAGTTGTTTTTATTTTAAATTTATGTAAAACACTGGAATGGCATTTTTAAAAAGCTAAACATTAAAATTAGCAAAGATTTTTCATAATGCATTGTAAATCTATAGTTTTGAACAAACCTCAAGCACATTCGAGTCAAAATAAAAGTAGTAAGTTATTATTTTCTTAAAGTACGTGACTAGAGCCATGTTTGTAATATTTTTTTGATCGGGGAATTTTGCAAACATTTATGTTAATTGCAAATAATTCCGGAATGAAAAATTTCCGTTCGTTTTTCGTTGTTTCTGTTAGATCTTGTCGCGACTCTTTCCGTTTATTTATATTCAAGGTAATCTCCGGTTCTTTAGAAAATTCTTCATTACCTATTCTTTCAAAAAATAGTTTGAAAGAACAAATCTTTTATTTTTCAAAATATGACAATGTTATTGTTTTAAAAAGAAATCTACCCCTTAGTTCTGTGCATGATTAAGCACAATTATTATTACTCTGGCAATTAATTACAAATTAATAAATAATGTAAAAGCTTCATAGAAGTCGATAATAAATATGCAAAATGGTAAAACTCGTACGTGACGTCACGAACGTTCTTACTCTTATATAAAATCGTTCAGTCTCCAGACCGACTTAGTCTGTTTTTGGCTTTCTTGATATGATTTTCGAAGAGTTATAATTTTTTTTCTCCTGTTTGAAAATCTTGTGTGTCAATGAGAATTCTTGAATTTGTGTTAAATTCCAAATTCCATCAAGTTGTAAGGTACGTAAAAACAGACAAAATTAAAATTTCCAGTATTTATTTTATAATTTTCTTCCGATTGTAGCTTGGATAAAAACCTAAGAACCCGAAAAGGCAGTCGTAGAGGAAATTCCGGAAACCGTCTAGAACTCCAAGTTCTTACCCTCATACACCACGTTCCGTAGCTTATTTGCGGCTTAAAAAATCCCAAGTCACCATCATCATGGTTCAAAGCGCCGTTTGCGATTCCATCTCCAGCAAAGTAGCTGAGGCCTCTTGGGGCCAATCATCCAAGTAAGTCATTACCGAGCAGAAACGGGTTTTCGCTCCGACTTTGCATAAATTTAAAACAGGTTTAGTGAGAAAGTTTTTTACAGAAAAACATCATTCGAAAGCTTTTCGAAAAAGGACGAAGGACGGAAAAACGACAAAAAGGATAATCAGTATGGTGCCTGGGGATCGGTCTTCAAAAACAAGGATCATTTCGCAAGCTTACATCATTGCTAAGAACTACTAACAGTTTATATAATCAATTTATTCGCATTTTGTTTAGATTAGATACATATTTAATGGTTGCTTGTTGAATAAAATTATGTGGTGAATGGCTGGATTATTTTCATTTTTTTCTTCGTTACATATTTGTACCAGAGTTTCTCCCCGATTGTTATAAAAAATGACAGGAGAAAACCTGAAAGTCAGACTGAAACAACAATTCTCAATAACCGGAAATTACCTAAAAATAAAACAAAAAAACTTCCTTGCATATCATCCAGGTTGACAGTGTGGTTGTTTACTTCGACTATGTGTCGATTGTTTTTCCAACAACGGTCTTTCTTGGGGAGATAATCAGTGAGCCATTTTTGAATCAACCCTACTTGGTGCAATTTTTTAATCCTAAAAAAAATTTGGTGTTTTTTTTAACACCCAATTTAGACTTACTCATCATTAATTATTTCTAAATATGGAGTGTCCTGTGACACGACCATTGCTAATTGTTCATTTAAAAATTCATCTTGAGCTGAAGAAATAAAATTATTTCCAAAAAATTTATTTAGACTAATTAGACACCTAAAGCTAAATCGCATCGATCCGAATCTAAGTACTGTTTTTTCATAATATATTGCAACTTAATTTTCCAATCAATATGAACGTGTTTCCCATTCTGAATATCCAAAATCATATGTTTAAAATTCCCAATTTCGACTTTTTTATCGTACAAATACCTTTGCTTTGGTTCAGTAGTGTACTAAAAATAGTTCTAATCAATTCAAAAAGCGATTCAAAGATCATTAAATACTTTCAAAGTCTGTTCTAGATAACTCCCTTTCGTCATACTCCAAGTAACAGTGTCGCTATGGGCCAACAACTCATCAATCGTTGTAATCGGAATATCAATTTTGGGAAAAGTCAAAAACGCGACCAAATTCCCACAATACGTCGTGGCCAAAACCAAAACAACCAACCACCACGCCCCAACAATAATCCTCGCACTATCAGCTTGAGGAAGATGCATACCACCTGAAAAATCACTTTCCGACCTTGTTTACTTTTTTCTAATCGCGCGAATAACTGGTTTTTGTCACCTTGATGACCGGATTTTTCCAGATTTCTCTTACCTTGCTGCAAAAGAGCCCCATACATGTACCAGATACAGTTTTGCACCGACGACAGACCCCTTTTACTTAAACCCTTGTATTCGTAAACGGGGCTGTATTTGTGGATGTAGTACAGTATTGGACCCATTGAAATAATCGAAGCCGAGAGACACAGCCAAGTCTGGTAAATACCAATTTGGAATCCCTTTTAACCACGACAAATACTTAATACTTACATCACCGGTGAAAGGGGACATGAAAAGTAAAGCTCGGCTTAATTCACGGGGGCGTGAGACCAGAAATGTGTAAGTTTGAGTGCTTATGGGGCTAGTAAAGTTGATTAAATGTTTGTTTTCTTCGGTTATAGTGAAAGCACAAGCGCCGAAGGCGACTGATTTGTTACGGATCATGTCTATGATCGAGTCAGGGATGAAATTTGTAATGACTTGTGCCTCATTTTTGGTTAAATTAGACGAGTAGACTTGATCGATTTTTGCCAACTCCACAGTATATGTGAAATTTAAATTCTTTGACAATTCTTTAATGACCTCAAAAATCACTCCTGTGTATTCCAAAACTGAGCCAGACTCGTTCAATTTGATTATTTGCCAAGGAGGGTTCTAAAATTTTGTTCAAACAATCAGATTATGCAAGCAGTACCATTTTTGCAAAAAGTAAATTTCTTTGTGTGTTCTAAACCCAACATTTTACTTTTTGCAAGAATGGAACACCTGACGTAGTAATCATACGTGAAATGTGACTATCGGAAGGTTTCTTTTCCTGAATCCGTGGACAATATGTGGAAACAATTCATCTGACATCGAAGGCCCATCGCTGGGTCTCCAGTTCCCGGCTGAGATGAGTCCTCCACTGTCTGTCCCATTCTGTTGATACTCCCGCCCCCAAGTATCCCCTGTTTTCATCAACCAAGAGGTACAGTTGTCACACTGGCCACGTTGTAATAAATATGTTTTAATCCCTTGCAAAAGGGAGTTTCGTCGGTCGAGTTTCGAGGGTCTGATTGCTTCCCATTCCTCATCCGAAACTTGACTGGAAGTCTCCCATTCGAACAGAATCGCCTCGTCTAAAGCACGAGTGAAAGCTGAGAGGATTTCCTCGCAGTGACACTGAATGCCCCCCTAGAACCACGACTAGAATTTTTTATTTTTAGGAGGCTTACATACTGTGCAAGTGTCGTCATTTATGGTATTGTTATACAAAAACGCAATGTTGTCTCCTTCTGATAACAGTTGCCGGAAACGGTTAATATCTTTGTGTTTGTAATGAGTATTTGAGATTATGTAGAGCCACTGGGTTCGGGTGTTAACAAGTCTGAACATTTTCGCATATTCCATCAAAAGTTCGACGAGTTGAAAGCCGATAATCGCGAGAAAGTTGAGTCCGACTGTTTTGACTGATACCGAAGTGAGGATTTGTTTGACTTGTTTTCGGATCTCATCCATTGGGAGGTGCGTTTCGAGTTTCACAAGAGAAACAGCAGCGGCGTTTACCCGCAAATTTGAATACTGAGCTGTTATGGATTTTACAACTCGAGTCACTTGATCTCTGCCTAAAAATCAAGTCAATTTTTCTCCCCAATAAAATCGTTTATTACTTAAAGTGTCGTCGTATAGAATAAAAGCTGAATTCCAGTTGTAGGTCTGCCTTGTTCGGAGATCTAGTAACAGTTGAGGTAATTCTTCACCTCGTGTTATCAGTGGTACTGTAATTGCCTCATCGGGCGGTAATCTCGGACAGTCTGACTCTAAATACTTCGGTTAAAATTTTTGTTAAAAAAGTTAAAATTGTTTACCAGAAATTGCCATATGTAATAAATTCGCGTCTCTAGCCTGTCGAAATAATCGCCAAGTATCAGAACATGAAGCAATACTAAAAATGGCAGTAACATCTGCAATATTTTTCGGTTAAAATACAGGCTGCTGCTCTTAAAAAAATATTTTGTTTTTATGAGTAGAAATTTGAATTTTCTTTTATTCGATATTTGTTAGTACATAGTATAAAAAATGTTATTTCACACTCCTACGATACACGAAATAACACCAACCTTTGCTTAAAAAAAAGATTGTCAAAATCTATGAATACTACGAAATTAAAATTTTTATAATGCCTTGTTTAACAAGGTTAAAAACAGATATAAAAGTTTTATTTATTTTGTACCCAATGTTAAAGAGTGCTTTTATCTACTAATTTCAGTAGATAAAGTAGTCTTTTATCGTCTAGTGAAATAAAGTAATTTTTATCTACTGTTTATGTTTTATCAACTAATTTTAGTAGATGAAGTAGTCTTTTATCGTCGAGTGATTTTTTATACACATGATTAAAACTTCAAATTTCTACTTCAAAAAATTTAGTAATGAAAATTTGTCACACAGGTTGAACATTTTTCACCTTTCTTGATGTTAATAGTAGTCCAAGAATAATACTGGACGTTAAGCCCTCCGTGTTTCAAAATTTCCCGTTTTGTGTATACTAAGTAGGATTCAATTGCGTGTTTTATAACCTCGTATTCGTTTGATATGAATTCGCGGTCAATGATAACGGCTAAAATGAATTAAAGACTGTTGAATTTGTCTCGATTTTGTTTTAAAAATACCTAAAGTAGCATTCGTGGTGAGGAGTGAAGGAAAATTGTCACCTCTAGTCACACAAAGAAACACACTTGAAACCACCAATTCAAGTAACATTTTATAAAAATCATATTTGATCACAACACCTGCACTTATATAGCTCACTAATATCCAATCTATTAAAACTAATATCATACCGGCCGGAACATAAATCTTACATGTGCCACAGGTGTGCGATATATGAACTAAATTTCATGATTAGCTACGAGGGAGTAAAAGTTCAATAGTTAAAAATTCATGATTGATTGTGTGGAAGTAGTTCACCAGAACGCATCCTTGACAATCGCTGTAAAACTTTGATTGACTTTTTTTGGTCAAGGGTTCGCCGAAGATTAATAAAGTATATGAAACAAAAACTAGTTGTTAAACAATATTTTTTATTAAAAAAACTTATACAGAGCCTTTAGCACTAACTAGTGAGATGTCTCCCACGATTTTTGTTAGCCTGTCGAGAAAAACTTCGTCCAAATTGAGTTTTTTGTGAAGTCTGACTGCCATAGCGTTAGCCTCCTCAAACCCACAGTCGACACAATATTGAATACAAGCCTGCAAAAAATTTCATTTCAATATAAAAAAAATACTTTCATAGCCAGTGGTAAAAAATCATTTTTACGACTGGCTACGCTCGTTTGCTACACAAGACTTGCTAATTTCTAACTTACTATAGCTCGTGAAGGTGCTTTCTCCTCTATACACAAATCAACAAACTTATCTAACGCTTCAACTTTCGGCACTCCTGCAATACTTTGCTGATTCTTGTCTAACTTTTCCATGACAGTACACGCTTTCTCGAACTCTTTATTCCTCGCTAATAATAGTAAAACTTTTCCTAACAAATCCCCCGTCAATGCTGCCTTCATTTTACTATTTTTATAATTCTCTGGATCGTCAAACCTAGAATAAATGTCCCACCCGACATTGGCGAATTTTTCATTTAAATCAGGAGTGAGAAGTTCCTCGTTATTTGTCATCGCATTTAGAACCATTTCAATAAGATTTTCACGATGTGAGTGATCGAAAATGACCAAGTCTGACCATAGTTTTGGTAAGTATTCGATGGCACCATTCACGTCGACTTGGTTGAGTACTTCAGCCATTATCGCGGGTTCGGGTACGTAAATGTGAGGTACGAGTTTGTAGTAAACGTCATTCATGAACTCTTCGATTGGGAGATTAGCGCAAAGAAGAGCAAAATAGTGACGACTAAAATTTTTTTGAATAGAAACATAATATGTAATGTATGTTTTAAATTGCCGTGGAGAGTCAAGAACACATGTCAAGAACAAACTAATAACTCAAAACCTAAATTAAACTAAATGTAGACAGTCAGTTAATCAATGAGTTTATTTATATTTTAAAGTAGCAGGTACAGTACTGGTTGAGATTTATTAAACGCCGATTAACAACTGTGTTGCTTTTCCGGACGTTCCAATGATTTAAAATTTGTAGAAAATGTAATCGATTTCTCTGATAGTAATCTCCATAACGTATTAAAAATAAAAAGTAAACTTTTTGTTTGCATAAATTACATCTATTATGAAATTACATAATTAAAAACGTCAACTAAGATGTATTTATACTTGACGATCCACAGCAATTAAAAACAGATTGACTCATTCAACGTACTAGTAAACCGATTCTTTGTATGAATCCCCTATTAAGTTATAATTTTCGCCATGATGTAATAGACGATCGATGCGTTTACCCAAAGAGACGTCATTTAAGGAGTACCGACATACTTCCATTGCCGTTACAAAAAAATTAATGTCTTTCAAATCCCGAATTTGATGTTCTTTATTCTCTACTAAATTAAGTATATCGTGCAAAATTGTACTCACTGGTCCCCCTACGGTTTTCTTGTTTATTTTTTGTTGTAATTTTTTTACTTAACTTACTGTCTCTATAGAAAGTATTTAAAACAAAACTCCACGACCCCAACGAAGGTTCAATTCCCAATTCTTTAAACTGAGACAATGTCATAAGGGCGAATTTTTTTGCTCCCACTGGAGGACCCATTGTACTAAGTGAGCCAAGTATTGAATTTAGTGTCCCCAAGTTCGGTTTGAGTTTAGCATCTTTCATTTGGTTGAGAAATTGTACGACAAGAGACCATCTCAAATCAAAACTTTCTTTCATAATATTGACGACAGAAATTAAAGAATTGTAAGTGTTAGTATTGAGAGGAATCTTGTTTTGTTGAGATTCCTCAAACAATTGCATGGCCCTATCTACTTGATAGTACTTAGCCATTCCCTGGATTATGGCGCAGTAAGCTTCGGGGGTTTTATTGGGCAAGTCCATAAAAAGTTGTTCAGCAAAATCGCCATCCCTGACAAAAAATTAAAAATGTAAGAGGAGCTTTTCCAGTCACTGGTGACTTACTTCCACGTTTTCCTCAACTTCTCCTTACCCTTATTCGACTGTTTGAACCACTTTTCCTCGATAAACTCATCAGAAAGACCATCCTCGCAATTCTGGTAACAAACCAACTCCAGCAATCCTTGTTCTAACTCAGGGGTGACCTCAGCCCCTTTTTCTTTCAGTAACTTATAAACCATAACGGCATCACTCACTTGAGCTGTTTTTATAAGTTTCTGGAGATCACTAACAGCAACTTCGCTGTTTTCACTATAGACCATCGGGGGCACAAAGGCCTCAATCATGGGATCTGCTTCTTTGTGTTGAAACAAATCGGCATGTTCGCGCCTTATCCAATGAGCCGCTTTACGACCGGCCTCTTGAGACAACGCAAAAATGCGTTTTCCACTGTTCGACAATGGAATCAGATATGGGTCATCATGGTATTTGTAATGGCCAGCTGTTGGGTCCCTTCCAACTGTGCTCTCCAACGCACGGAGAATGTCAGTAGGACCACGGGGGATGCGTTTTGGGATTTCGATTTTTTCGTCAGTGGTGGTTGCAAAACCGGCCAATTTTGAGGTTAGTTGAACTCGAGACACCCTATAACAGAGTTACATAATACCTGAGACGGATAATTGGAGAAATTTACCTCGTGCGTAAGGCTACTTTAGAAATATTCATCATTTTATTTCTTAAAACATGAGATATTTGTGTTGGGTTTGGGAAGTGAGGTTATGTGTTGCGTAATGTGAATCAGAAGTTCTCAAACTTTTGTAACATTTATTCATCGACTTGCAAACTTAATTTAAATAAATTAACACTTTGCATCTCGTGGAGTCCCAGAATTTGCGGGTTTTCCTTCAAAGTCTCGTATAATAACTTAACGGTTAAGGTTTTATCACACTTTCTTTTTTTGGCGCACGAGTAGGCAAAAGCGGCTTGCTGTTCTGCAACTTCCAAACTCGGCTTAGACCTCGGAATGAACGTATCCTCCTTATCCAAAACCTCAGTCTTGCTCTCTTGAGTTTCATCAATTACATTGTGAAAATTCCTGATGAAAGGATCAGGAATTGGTAAATTAAACCCATACTGAAATTTCCCATCCCTTACTTTATACCCCTTCATTCTGGAAATCATCGCTGTCAGAATATTCTTAACGAAAACCTGACACGCGTGTACTATCAACTCCGTCACGGTCTCCTCGGCCCCATCGAGGCCGTTTTCCCAACTTGTCACTGCAATTCTGGTGGACACAAACCCAGAATCGGGCATGAATAATTCAGCCGCCGCGCTGCGGTTTTCGTACTCTTCGGGGGACAGTATCGTGGGGCTCGAGGGCTGGACGTAATCGACATAGTCGGCGCACTCGAAGACGCCTTTGTCGCAGGTGTTTCGGGTGGTTTTTGTTCTACTGGAGGTGCGTTTTGCCAGGAGGGCGAGGAGGAAGTAGTTGTGAGAGCGGATTTGGTCTTCGTTGACGAGGAGTTTGCGGACTTCCGTGTCGAACTCTGTGCGAGTTATGGGGGACTTGAAGGAGAACCACTGGCGGAGGAGGTCAAAGTATTGCTTCCGCTGGTCTTCATTGAGACAGGCTTCGAGGGCCTTGCGAGCCTCATTTAGGTCTATAAAAGGTTTTGGGGTTATATTAGAGAGTAAAACATGAAGGACTACTTACCCATCTGTTATTCTAACCTCCAATATTCTTAAGACCGGGTTTTCGACGTAAGGTAATGACAACAGGGGTTCCCAAACAAAGACGAACTTTTATTAAATTTATTAAGACAAAATACGAGTACAATAGAATTTGAAATTGGTAACATTTCTTTATATTAGATTTTCAAAGCATAACAATCACATTTACTCCAGAGGCTCAATTGAATCAAATAATATTTTTAAAACGCCCCCAGCCATCTTACTACCGTAGTGGCCTTTCCAAAACTGCGTATCTCTTCCTTCATGTTGAAAGATAATCCTGTTTACTCCTGGAGGATACTCACTGACAACCATTTCAACCTAAATAAACCAAATTGAGTTTTTAATTACATTTGTTAGAATACCTACTACTGTACCTTAGACCAAGTAGCACCAGCCCACTGCTCCACTCTTAATTCTTTCTGTTCAACATGGAGAGGTTCTTCTGTTTCTTCTTCTTCAGTGTCATCACTACTATATTCTTCATTAGATGTTTTAGAGCGGCTTTTAGTTTTATCTTGTTTGCGACCATACAGTTTACAAATCAAACGATAAACGCTGCCGCAATCAAATCTAGCAGCCACCCATTCACTTAAATAAATGTGTGGCTTATATTTCATAAAAATAAGTCTCAAAAGTCTGTTATTTAAAGACACGTCTTGGAATTTATTACATTCATAGTAAGAAGTTGCAAAACAGCTAGTTTTTCCATTAAATTCAGGAGTATCAGACGGAAGTGGGTCCGAACCACAAGGCGGGTCTTCAATTCTAAAGCCATCACCATAATTCATCACAATTTTCCAGTGTTGGTATTGGTTCTGTCCATTTCCATTTTTTATTAAATTCTTATCAAAATAATCACTTGTTAGAAGACAGTAATAAACGTACCAAGGCAATTTTTTCGGTTTTTTATTGTACTGTCTTGAATAAATATCGGACCAGAATGAATCAGACTTGATAATGTTGCACCATTTTTTGCAAACAAGGCTCGCTTTTAAAACTTGCTTAGGAGGGATGTAATTGAGGATAATCGTGACGATTTCTTCAGGTAAGTAAAAATCGTTGAAATACAAACCATTATTTGAATCTTCAGAGAACGTAGAATGAAATTTGAACGTTTCCACTGGCTCAAAGTCATCCGTTGCCTGATGATATTCTTCAGGAGTTATCATTTTCTTGAGATTGTTACCCATTAGATTTTCACAAAGTCGGCAAAAACAGTAATTTTAATGCACCAATGAACTTGACTCTTGCTTGGATTTAATGCAGCAGGGAGCTGTTTTCGACCTTGAATGAATCATTTCTAAAAAGCATCACATTTACCGGCGAAAGGCAATAATTTATTACAAATTTATATAACATAAATGTAGAATGTCTTATTAACAGTTATTATTATTATCCAATCATGATTTTGCTTATTTACATTACTAAGTAAAGAAATAGAAAATTCATTTTTTGAATTCGTTTAAAAGCTGATGAGTCGCTGTCACTTTGACAGTTCCCTAACCTCAAACCAGCTTTTTCAAGTTTGTTGAGTTGAGTTTACATAACCTACATAGTCCATAAGTCTATAACTCACATAACTACAATAATAAATAACAAAAACCAAGAAAAAAGGTTGAGCGAACTATTTGTAATTTTTAAATTAAACAGAACATTAATAACTAAATAAAAAATACAATAGGATCCTTATACCTCCGTTGTTTCGTACACGTAAAAATAGTTAGAAAACTTATAAACATGTATTTCCTACCTGCGCCTAAATAATTTTTTAACATTTGTTGAATTGAAAGTCTTGCTAATAAGTCTCCTCTGAAGGCTATTTTGATAGGTAATAGAAACAACAACTAGAGCTAAAATCGTGCGTAGGTATTATAATGCGACACATTTATAAATGTTCTGGGTGTACCTACAAATAGAAAGTTGTTCTTTGTTATTGTGAAAAAAATTTTTGCAAGACCTCTTAACAAGATTTTACGTAGTTCCAAATCAAATTCATATTTTTATTGACTTGATAAATAGGTACTTTTATTTTAATGACGAAATTATCTGCAATTGTAAAAAATATCTATTATCTATTCAAAGTATTATAACTATTTATAAATGCATCTGTCTTTTTTTGTCTCGTGATTAAATTAGCCTCTTCATTTATTTTTAAAATAATGCTTAGTCATTATTAGCACATCCACCTTGCTCCTGCAACATTATGTAAAATCTGCAATTATTAACAAGAGGTGCCGCCCTAACCCAGACCTTCATCGTTTGCGAAAGTGGACCACACCTGAGGCTCTCAATTGTGCAACAAATTTGTATAAAAATCGCCGAATAGTCGTCAACACTATCAGTCTTCACTAAACCAAAAAACCACAATGGCATTCAAAGTGAGTTCTTCCAACCCCATTTACCAAAACCAGATTTAATACAATTAAAAAAATTTCAGTTCGTAGTCTTCGCCGCCGCTTTGGCTTACGCCAACGCCGGTCTTATCGGAGCCCCCGCCGTGGCTTACTCCGCTGCCCCAGCTGTCAGCAGTGCCTACATCCACCAAGCCGCCCCTGTCGTAGCTGCTGCTCCCGTTGCTTACGCTCACGCCGCCCCCGTCGCTTACACTCACGCCGCTCCCGTCGCTATCCACGCCCCAGCCGTCGGTGCTTCTCACCAAAGCGTTGTCCGCTCCCTTGGAGGCAACCAAGCTGTGTCAACCTACTCCAAAGCCGTCGACAGTGCCTTCTCCAGCGTTCGCAAATACGACACTCGTATCACCAATGATGCTCTCGCTGTAGCTCACGCTCCAGTTGCTGTAGCTCACGCCGCTCCCGTTGTCTCTACCTACGCTGCTCACGCCGCTCCCGTATACTCCACCTATGCTCACGCCGCCCCAGTTGTTTCCACTTATGCTCATGCCCCAGTTGCTGTAGCTCATGCCGCCCCTGTTGCCACCTACGCCGCTCATGCCCCTGTTGCCACCTACGCCGCTCATGCCCCAGTTGTTGCCACCAAAACTGCCGCTGTTGCCTATTCCCCAGCTGCCGTTGTTTCTCATGCCACTTTCACCGGTTTGGGAGCTTCCTATGCCTGGTAAATCGAGGTCTGACTGCGATTTGTACAGATAGTTTTAGTGTAACTTATTTATGAAAATAAATAAAGAAATCATAAGAAAAAATGAAGCCTCTTTCATTTTTACAACAAAAATTTTTAAACGTAGATAAAAAAATTACTCATTACACTAAACACACAAGAATAATGCGGAAACATGAAAATACTCGTAGCTATTTATGTATTAAGTACGCAAAATAAAGTTTTAAGAGAAGAAGCTACAAAAGAGAGCGTTTCTCAATCTATTATTATTATAATTATAATATATTGTACCCTGCGATCAAAAAAAAAATAAATTAGAGTGATTCGGTGATTCAAGTCCTCCAGATGGCGATCCTGATTTTTGACATCAAATGTCAGCGGAAACTTTGACAAGTTTGAGTTTTATTCCTTTTGAGTGAAATAATGTTCACTTTAGGGCAGAAAATTTTTATTGCTGTACAAAAGGAAAACGGTGGATGGTCATTTTCACTTACAGTTTGTGTGGAAAATTTCCAGCCCAGATTCCCAGCCAATGTGTTGCCAACTGTAGAATTTAATCGACGCCTACTCTAATTTATTTTTTATTTGATCGCACGGTATTTGCGTATGTGATGCATACAAAATTTTTTGCAGTTTAGTTCTCTAAACCTTTGAATCGATAAAACTTTATTTAATTTCATACATTGAAATCAATACTCGAAATTCACATCAGTGCCTAAAGTGCTTATTTCATATACTGACGGCATTTCACGCACTGAAAAACAAATTTTGAAATATTTTAAATAATTAAATTTTATTAGGAAAAAACGATATTGTTTTATGCAAGACTGTTTTTAACGTTCGACTGCGGCATATTTTCACGGTAAAAAAACCAGTCGTTCACAGTTAATAAAGTATGTATAAAAAAAATGAAATTTTGGAAAACAATTAAACTTACAGAATCTATTATCGTTCTGATGATTTCATCTTATTTAATGAAACACGTTTTTGTTGATAAAAAAAAGGTTGTTATATTTTATTGTTTTACTAATTTTTCTGCTTGTAGAAAAACATTAATTTTAATCGAAAATTACCTAATTATTAATATCTTATGATTTTTTTACTTGAAAATAAGTTTTTTTTGTATATTTTTTAAAATACTGTAATTTTTTAGAAAAAGCAAACAAAATAAAAATGTGCTTTAGTGTTTTATTTATAGAAAAAATTCTAATATAAATTAATACATACAGGATGCGCCAGAACTCGTGCCGCAGAGAAAAATGTCATATAAGGTAAGGTACCAGGAAAAATTTTATCTATAAAAATTTCGAAGTTATGAGGGTTTAAAGTTTGCACTTTGACTCTATTTATTACTGTTATAAAAATATTTTTTCAAGTTTTTTTGCTATAGGCTATTAAAAGACGAAAGAAGGAAGCTGTATCCTAAATTGTAACTCTGTTCAATGTTAATTGTGGCTTTTATTGGCAAAATTTTTGTCCCTTTACTAAATAATTGTAAAAAAACATATACAAGATCATCAGTATCATTATATAGATATAAAAAAATGTCAAATGTCAAAAAATAAATGTCAAAATTTTTTTCGTGTTCTTGGTATCTTACTTTACTTGAAAATATGTATAATAAATTCAAATGGATTTAAAATAAGTTTTTTATTAGGCAATTGGTAATTTTTTTGGAAAGTTAGTCATAACAATTTTAAAGACAGGGATTGAAACTAATCTTTTTTTCTGTACCTAGGTGAAATAAAATTTCATAATATTTTTATATTTTTATTTATTTTTCATAAATAAATAACATTAAAACTATCTGTACAAATCGCAGTCAGGTCTTGGCTTACCAGGCATAGGAAGCTCCGAAACCGGAGAAAGTGGCATGAGATACAACGGCAGCTGGGGAGTAGGCAACCGCTGCGGTTTTGGTGGCAACAACTGGGGCATGAGCAGCATAAGTGGCAACTGGGGCATGAGCAGCATAGGTGGCAACTGGGGCATGAGCAGCATAGGTGGCAACTGGGGCATGAGCAGCATAGGTGGCAACTGGGGCATGAGCATAAGTGGATACAACTGGGGCGGCGTGAGCGTAGGTAGAGACAACGGGAGCAGCGTGAGCTACAGCAACTGGAGCGTGAGCTACAGCGAGAGCATCATTGGTGATGCGAGTGTCGTATTTGCGAACGCTGGAGAAGGCACTGTCGACGGCTTTGGAGTAGGTTGACACGGCTTGGTTGCCTCCAAGGGAGCGGACGACGCTTTGGTGGGAAGCACCGACGGCTGGGGCGTGGATAGCGACGGGAGCGGCGTGAGTGTAAGCGACGGGGGCGGCGTGAGCGTAAGCGACGGGAGCAGCAGCTACGACAGGGGCGGCTTGGTGGATGTAAGAGCTGCTGACAGCTGGAGCGGCGGAGTAAGCCACGGCGGGGGCTCCGATAAGACCGGCGTTGGCGTAGGCCAAAGCGGCGGCGAAAACTACGAACTGAAATTTTTGAAAAAATTGTAGCAAATTTATTTTGGAGTATGCCACAGACTTACTTTGTACATTGTGTTTGTTTGATTCTTTCTGCAAAGAAACTGATGCTGTGATCTATGTTTCAAGGGATTTTTATACCGATGCGAAATTACACAAGTACACGCGCGTTGAGTTCGGTGGTCCACTTTCGCTTTCGGTGAAGGTCTGGGTTAGGGCGGCACCTCTTCGTCGCGAATTATGTTATTTAAAATTTATGTCCCACTCAATTAACTTTCGACTTTTATTGTGGCAAAATTTCCATCTTGTGACATCGTAAACTTGTCCAGACTACTGGTACATGATCTTAACACATAATTTCAGATAAAATTTGTATGCAAATTAAGCCATTTTTAAATTTTTAAATTGATAGCCTTTTATTCGTTATTAAGTATCCACAATAAAAACCACTGATTGTTTAAGTTTTCTATTTTAATATTTTAAACAATAATATGATGCATTCTTAAAAACATTTTTGTACTTAAAACATTTATAACATTTGCCCAATTTTACTGCGTTTTTAACAAAACTAATTCGTATTCTTATTATAATCCTATGACTGCTGAAGAAGCTCAATTTAAGTAAAGTTTGATCATGACATGAATTTTCATGTGGAAGGTTTATAAATATTGATTTCAGAGGCTTCCTTCTGAAAGGAAGTTAAATTTTTAAAAGCTTCTACGATAGTATTAATGTCTGGTTTGTTTTAAAACAAGAATACAAAAATCAAAACACACTTTTCATTGTAAATAAATTTATTATGAATTTACTACAACTATTGTACAAGTATTTATTTAAATAACCACTAGGGTAATATAATACATAATATATATTATAATAAATCTATTTTTGTTACGCAAATTAATATTTTTATAAATAAATTAATTGTTGAACACAAAATTGCATTTGTATGGCAGCATTACAGCAACATCATTAAACTTTGTATGGGAAGGTATACCTATTTAATTACTAATTAATACATACATATTTGTAAAACGGCAGCAAAAAATTAAATCAAATTTATAATTAATAAACACGTAAATTATAAAAATGTTTATATTGCAGTGATATAAATGAACCATAAAATAAATAATAATTTATGTTCAAATTAAACTTTTGCTAAATGGGTTGTTGAGGTCAATTTCTAAATAAAACGAAAATGTCATTTCAAAGCCAACTTCTTGGCGAGAGTGATCTGAAAAATGCATTCACATTTGCAATTCTTTCTCATCCATAATTTACCCTGATTTCCAGCAAATCGGTTCTATTAGTTTGAATGACTCATGTCGTCCTCTATGAAATAAATATTAATAACCACTTGTGCAAAATTCCAAGACATCACCTTTTTGGCGACCTTGCTCTCGATATAGAGGGAATCTGCGGCACTCTAGACATAATAAATTTCACTAATTCGAAGCCTAAAATTATTTAAACTGACCTAGCAGCTGATATCCTTGACGCTATTGTAGCCAGCCTGAAATGCATTCATTACATAATCACGTGCAAAATTATAGCCCGAGATTTAGAGACTTTCTAATAATCACGTGGAGATCATTTAGGGAAATTTGAAACGTGTCTTTTTACCCATATTGAGTTTTGCACTAATTGTGTTAATTGAGAGTGGGAGTTTTTGTGTTTATTGATTTACCTTTTGGGAGAGCGAGCTCTTGAAGTTGACGGAATAGGCGTCCTGCAATTAAAAAAAAATTTTTGATAGTTGAAAAAAGTACTCACTTTGGTAGCGGTGGTAGTAAAGGTTCGCTACTTTGCCTAAAATTTATTTTTATTAAAATATTTCAAAAGTCATTTAACTCACCTAGGCGTAATCCATGTCGAGGGTTCGTTCTGGCCGTTTCGCATTTCACCATCTGGAGGGGTTCTTTCAAAACATTATTGAATCCAAAAGTATTATTTTAGCGTTGGATACTTACTCTGAAGAAGGGGTAGCCCACAATCCCTCTTCATCTATTCTCACCCCGTCTCTGGTGCGTCTAAAAGAACATTTTTCAACACTTGAATATTAAAGTCACTTTGATGTAGATTTACACCAAATTCTAATTAAAATAATGGCCTACCTATGTGTTATAGACGTTAATAGTTCTTCATTAAGGTCCCGGTAATGTTCGACTAAATTTAATACGACGGGTACAATGCCCAGGGATAACAAAATCAAAAGAAAACACGACACGGAAATTCCATTCTGAAAAAGCAATTTTATTAAAATTTTTGAATAAATAATTAGTCTTTCCTTACTGTTGGATTTACTATTAATTTACAAATGGAGAAACGCATCGTCTGGAAAATTTCCCAAAGCGGACGGCATCGACCGATCTCTTTTGTCACTTTTGTTGTTGTGTAATTGCTTAATTCCTCCAAGTAATTTTCTAAGCGTAACAAAAATTGCTTTGTAATCTGAAAACCGGAAGATTAAGACATGTGAGTAATTAAAATTAAAGTAGTAAGCGCTTTGAAGTTGGAGTTTTGCGACAAGCCAAAAACTAGAAAGCAATTTCGCACTAAGTTTGCCTACTTCAACAAAACTTACAAAGAAAAAAACTATATTTATCTAAATGCTCTCAGCATAAACTCTTTAAGCGTTATTAATTTTTACTCGTAGTAACGAAAAGCAAAAATCAAATTTTAGTTCTAAACAACTTTAGAATAATTATCACAAGTAACTAATTTTTTATAGGTACAATAATGGTTTATTAAAAAGTTTTTTATGTTTTGGAAAATTGTTTGTAGTAACTATTAATTTTTAGCAAAGTTTATTATTCCAGTTACATATTATTAATTACTCACTCTCTCGGCAATCAGCGCTCCTTGCGTATCCATAAACAGCTGAATATCCCTCAAATGTGCCAAAGACCTGTTGGCCTGTTGACTCAAAGGATGAATGAGAATCTCAAGGGCTGTTATTTTATAAAGAAGCTCATCTCTCAATTGTTTCAGTCGTGCCGTTTCATTATGAATAATTTTCCTCACCGTAAACGCCAAATTATCGATTCTTTTTGAACTCGTCGGATCCGTTAATTGCCTAGCGACTGTGTTTAGTTGATCAGCAAACGAATTCAAGTCTCTTTTAGTCAACGGTCCGGAAATTTTAGTCCGGTATTGAGTCAAATTAAGTGACAAAATGGATGCAAGAAACTGAAGGTTTAATTGAAGCGAAGGACTTAGAATTTCCACCGAGCTAGTTGGGATAGTAAAATTAGAAATAACCCTTGTGAAGTCGTCCCAAGACTTGTAATTTGTGACAGAGTTGGTGTTAAAATGGTTTTGTAAGTGAAAAGTGATGTAGGCGGGCTGGTTTCTTTGGCAGTTTCTGGAATAAGAATTTTGAGGGAAGCTCAGAGAGGAAGTGACTTACTTGAGCACGTCTTCGATATGTAAAGAATAGTTGGGTTGCAAAGCTTTGAAAACGCCCTCTTTGAGGATTCCTCCTTGGTTTAAGACCAAACTGAGGGTCTTGTATTGAGGTTCGTCGTAGAGAGGGTGACATAGCAAACATTGTCCATGAGTCCCCAGTAAAAACGCCGAAATTCCCATCCCCCATATTACAAAACATATTAAAGTCGTGAAGATAACACCTGATACTAGTAAAGGTATAGTTCTGGAAGTCGTTGTGTTTCCGCAAGGCGCCCCACATAACAATATTCCCCAAACCAGAGCTACCATTGTTGAAATTCCTTACGATAACAAGAGTTTATTAATGATAAACAATTTTGTTTGTGCTAATTTAGGCGGTATTATTGCAGTGATGGATCGATCATTTTGTTAAAAATCGCGTTTTTTGTAGTGGGGGGCGTCGCTTTGTACATATTTAATGTGTTATTCAAAAGTATTCAAAGAGTAATCACTTAGAGAATTTCATAACCGGCGGCACTACGTATTATGCAAAGAATACAGAGTGGTTAGGTCTATGGATGAAACAAAATAGGATGTTTCAGGGCATGCTGAGAAAGCTGCATAATTTAAGTGGAAAGTCTATGAAAAACCCAGTGCTGCGTTACACCAACATAAAATTTGTGAAAAGTTTTTCAAGTACTGCGGCAATAAATTATTTGATTCGAATATCAGATCAGCACCTGTCCTTGCAATTAATTGTACATTGTAAATCTCAATTTGGGTTACAACAAGGTGAGCGAGTTGAAAGAAATCGATCCCAATTTTATGAATGGAAAAATCTCTCTCCTCTAATTAAGAGCGTGCGTTTTAAAAACTCACCTAAAACCGATAACCATCGCCATAATTCCCACCTGTTAACCGTCTCGACGATTCGCAACGTCTCTCGCTGGGTATTTCTAATCGAATTTGACAAGGATCTTGATAACTCGTCTAAAGAATCAGTCGATTTGTAGATTTCACTGCGTCTCTTACTCAACAAGCTTTTAATTTCTGCAAAATAAAACTGTTTAGTGATTAACAACACTCGGAATAAATAATTAAAAGGCCTCAGGTGCACTATTCCCGATTCATTCGTATCACCTGCCACGTGGGAAGCTGTCTCCGTAGAAACCCTTTGCGGAACTAGTCGAAAAGCATCCCTAACATTTTCCACATTTTTCTGAAACTTCTTCTCTTTTTCCATGCGTTCGAGTTGTTTGATTTTTAAATCTGTTGTCAACTGAAAACAAAGTTTCTATATCGATTTTTCAATAAAAACTCAAGTACGTAGTCTACACCTGCATCATAAAGCTAAATTGTTACAGACAGATCAGCACGTAAAATATTACGAGGGGAATTATGCCGGTGCTAAAGAGCACGATTTCGCTATTATTTAGGGGTTAATAGAATAATAAAATTTGCACGAGAAGTTTCGCCGAATTGGTGAGTCGTTTTTTAGAAATATGTGTGATCGCGTTCTTCAGGAGCTTATCTTTATGGGCTCCTGATGATAGTGAACCGAGTTTTACGAGTGGGGCCCTCGTAGTGGAAGATTAACACGTTGGGAGAGTTGTAGGAGCTGCTTTCAGAAAATGATAGCTTAAGATTGTTGTGAACGAGTACGAATGTGCAATTTTGAAAGATTTTCCACGATATTTTGCATTTGAAAAATAAAATTATATGTATATATTTTTTTAAATATTTAAGTCTCTTTGATAAAACATTTTTTATTAAAATAGTGTAATTTGTTTTATTTTTCCAGAAATTTACAAACTTATATTAAAGCAAGAGTAACAAAAATATTTACTTTTTAATATTACACATACAGGGTGCGCCAGTACTCGTGCCCCAGAGAAAAATGACATGTAAGGTAAGATACCAAAAACACGGAAAAAATCTTTAAAAAATTCTATCTATAAAAATTTTGAAGATATGCGACTTTTGCATTTTGTCTTTATTTATTTCTGTTGGAAAAATAATTTTCCAAGATTTTTTTGCTACAGGGTATTAGAAGAGAAAACAAGGAAACTGTATCCTAAATTATAACTCTGTTTAATGTTATTTGTGGCTTTTATTGGCAAAATTTTTGTACCTTTACTAAATAAATGTAAAAAAACATATACAAGATCTTCAATAGACATACAAAATGTCAAATGTCAAAAAATAAATGTCAAAATATTTTGATAGAATTTTTGAAACATTTTTTCCATGTTCCTGGTATTTTATATTACTAGAAATTGTTCTCTGAAGCACGAGTTCTGACACACTTTGTATATCTAATATTGACCAATTCGGCCAATTTTTAGATAATTTTACTCCATTGCATATTTACCAATAAAATGCATTTTCCAACCAGCTCATAAATACTTCTAGTAATTGATCATATTCAGGCATAAGGTCCACAAAGGTCTTGTATGTAAATAGATAAATGTCCGATTTAAGCATGAAATTGGAGCACGAGAATGTAATTTGAGAAGGAGAATCAAATATAGCAGTGTGTATAAGCACAAATGTCTTTCTGGAATTATCTGGTAATCTATGGCTTGTGCTAATTACGAATCTAGATAGGGAACCAGAGACCGCGATTAAATATTACCTTGCGCAATAACTGCAAGTATGATATCTCCTGGAAGCTCTAAATTCTATGAATATTGTTAATTGCACTAACTATGCAAACTACTTTACTAAATTGATTTAAATATATTCTTGTGATTTTAAATCAATCATAGATTGTTCTATTTTAATCACTCACGTTGCTGCAAGAGAACGAGACATCAAGGCCTGTATACTGTAAGGTGTAACACAAAAGACGATCTTTGGGTCGGCATTGTTGTCTTGTGATTGTTAATTGTCTCGAAATGTCTTTCAAACGGTCTTGTAGCAACTTCTTGGCCACTTCTGCTAAATGACATTCCTCGAGCAAAGCAGAAACTAGTGAAGTAACTTCATCATTGGCTAAAATAACTTTCAAATTTTGCCACAATAAAAATAAATCAATACTGTGATACCGGTTATCAATTCATCGAGAGTATCCAGAGCCGTATCGATCCCCGTCTCGACTGCCAATTCTTGTTGAAACCTCCGCCCCAACAACTCCTCCAAATCTGTCAAAATCAACTCACTTAAGAAACCAGCGACTGTACCATTACCTTCCAAATCTTTCCTGACTGCTTCAATTGCGGCATCAGTAGAAGTAGTCGCGACAAAAGTCATCTGCATGTGAGTGTTTCTCAAAAAAGTGTCGAAATCGTCGAAAATCAGATTAGTTGTACTCTCCGAATGGGACATTTGCCTCGAAATCTGTTCATTTCCCAGAAAAATTAAAACGATCGGGAAACTAAAACCGCGTTCACCACCTAATTGGAAAGTTTACCCATACTTACAGTTCAAGTGTTAGAAAGAAAATGAGAAGAGCTGCTAAAGCTCGCTCTACACATTTGTCTCGGAAATCTAAAGAGATGTCAGATGCGTCTTCGGTAAGTCGATGAATGTTGCGTTTAGTGCAACAAAAGTAAAATAAAGTCATGAAAGGAATGCAAAGTGTCAACACTGTCCAAAAAATAATCCACAATAAGGTTGCGAATTCTAGCTTCAGGAGCTGTAAATAAAATGATTAAAGGCGGTAGAAGAAAATGGGATCATGACGATGCTTAAATTTTATATTAATTTCCGGCGAAGGATAAGTAAGGAAACGATTATATTTAGTAGTTGGTAACTCGTGCTATAAATTGGAAGAAGTTGAGGGGTATAACGTGTGCCATTTATCAGAGAGTCATTAGAGATTTAGGTGCAGTGGCGTCGGTAAGAGGCTCCTCAAAATAAAAGAATTTAACAATAAAAACACACAAATGTAAAGATGCGAATTTGAAAATCTAAGCTGGAAGTTAACAACGTAAAAATATTCAAACGTAAATAGAAAAAACATGACACGTAAAAAAAATCTATAAATAAAATATTTAGAAAAAGCATAAAACGGCACCTTCTTGTGCTCTTCTAAGCCTTGCTCATCTCAAAGAATCGTTGAATTTTGATATGTTTACTTTTTAACTAATGCAAATACAGTCCTGATGACAAAAATTCTGTTCCAGATTATGCATATTACAGTTTGCTCGTTGACTACACTCATAAATACAAGAAAACAAAAAGTACATACAAACTGGTCTAACATATAATATCAAAAACTTTCCCTGCTAGCCGCCACTGTTCAAAATAAATATTTTACAAAAAATATAGTTAACGAAACAAAATATAAGTAAAGTTATTATTAGTTTTAAGAATTTTTTTGAATTTGGTGAGATTTATTTCGATTTATAAAAATGCAATTTATTTAAGTGTTAGATTAAAAAGAACATTTTTACATAACTTGAAGCATCTCGGAATGAATTTTCAACTGTTAATTATATTATTCAAAACGAACAATTAAGTCTGTAAAGTTTTCTTTAGCAAAAAATTAGCCCAAACTGATTATAAACTTCCGCAAAGCATTTCATGCCAGTTCTCGCAGAAATAAAAAAGTCAGATAGCAGAAATGGTTGTGCATAATTGATACATTCCAGTGTAAATTGGGTTAGTTTAGTTGAAGTTCACGTCGCATCTTCAGCATACTTTAACTAGCCGGAATTTTTCGTCTAGTTGAAAATGATGCCAAGTTTTGCAACAAAATTCGAAGGGAGATAATGAAGGTGCTGAAACAGCATAATTTTCTCTCGAGGGTTAAGGTATTTAAAAGTTAAAAAGTTATGAAAATGGGGTGGTTTTTAGTCACGGCGCCGAAAGTTTGTTATTCCAGTCCGGCCCATTACCTGGAATGCTACTAGGTGAAACGGGATCCGCTTCTGGAAGACATCGCGGACAAGATCTGGAACAAACAAAACACTTTGAGCAATTGTGTCTTCGATTTTCTCCGAATTAACGCTTTCGGGTCACGAGCCTGACTTGAATTCGGCAAAAAGGAGTTTCAAAGCGGCTTAAATATTTAATTGTTCGAGGAGATATTAGCCGTTTTGAGAATTCGTTTTAATTATTCAATTTGTTTGTGAAAAAACAATTAGTCGCTTCTCGGTGCAAACCTATTAAAAATTTATATTTCACATGTAGAAAACTAGAAACGCTGATGTTTCACTCTAATGATTTTAGAGTTTCGATTTTGTTCTCTTTGTCGGCTCTCAGACCTAATGCTTTTACGACGAAAATTGATTTTCGATGAATGAACTTGTGCGTAACTGGGTTACCAGGAAATTAGGTACTGATCTAAAAATTATTCTCACAAATCATAAATAATGCCAAAACTTTTCTTTTTTCATTCATTAGACTTGAAAAAAAAATAATTGGTGAAAAATTAGTTTACCTGTAGGAAATTCGCTCAATTGTAGATACTCCATTAAGTTAGAGAAGACTTCGAATAATAAGTGCTCTCCTTCCAGTCTAAGGTTACGGATGCGCATTTCCTCTCCCTTGGGGACATCTAAGAATTGCAAACCAGAGATTCTTGCAGATATCTTTGTGATATTTTCAAATCTAATTTTCTTATCGCGTATTCGGGAATTGGCCGCTTGAGCAAAAGGGGACCCTAACGTGGAGCTAATAGATCTGAAAAACACAAGATTTTACACACATTTGCAAACACAGCTTTTTGATACTTTTTATTTTTTATTATTTAAAAATTATAATAAAATAAAATAAAATTTTCTTGTTTGTCTTTTAATTCGCTACTGTACAAGTCACTACTAAACACTATTATTGTAATTGTAAACCTCTTAAAATTTTCCGTAATTAAAATATTTTGAACCATAAGTAGTGAATGGTATTAGAAAAATTGTAAAAACTATGAACACGTTTATATAAAAAACTGGAGCTTTAATCGATTTTGTCGTAAATTTTTCATTATAATGTTGTATTGTTTAAATTTTTAATCAAAACGTAATAATAGAATTAAACGTAATAATTAATTTAGCAGTCAGAAATATCTGTAAATGAATGTATAAATATGTAAAATAACACTTTTAAACGTATAAAATAAAGAAAGTTTTGTTAATAGTTTAATCTTTAAATTGTATTTATAATAGAAATACCAAATCATTACCAATCCTGTTTTTTAAACAAAACTGTTTGCTTTGTCTATTTCCCATTATCACCGCCTGCAACAAAGGTCACGATAAGATAACTCGTTTTGTTTCAACAGTCAATATGTTGTCCGTCGCTGTGATAGGAGCGGGAGTGATCGGCCTCCCATCGGCTTTGGCCATCCAAGAAGAATTGGGTCCGAAAGCTGAAGTCATCATTTTCACGGACAAATTAAGTCCTCAAACAACAGGTGACGTATCAGCCGGTCTTTGGTCCCCCTACCTCCTCCAAAACACTCCAATTGACCAACTCACAAAATGGTCAAAAGCCACACAAGACTATATTCTCAAATTATGGAAAAACGGCGATGCCAAAGTAACGGGGATTTCCCTCCAATTAATAATGGCGTTATCAACTAACAAGAATTACAAACCTCCGGAATGGATCAAGATTAGTTTGGGTCATAGCGAGTTTTCGCAAGATCAACTCAAATATTACATTGAAAGATACGGCGAGAAGTTCACCGGTGGTTACGCATTCGTGGGGTTCATCTGGGAGCCGACGAAATTCCTTCCATATTTAGAAAAAAAATTCAAGGACAGAGGCGGCCAAATTCGGATGAGAAAAGTCGATAATTTTGCCGAATTATCACATTTTGATGTTGTGGTGAATTGCTCCGGGCTCAATTCACGCTCTCTCGTCCCTGACCCTTCAGTTCATCCCATCAGAGGTCAAATCGCCAGAGTTCGCGCCCCGTGGCAAAAACACACTTTTATGCTTGATACGGAACCTGGAAATTACATAATCCCAAACGAAGACTGTGTTATAGTCGGAGGAACTCACCAAGAAAATGATTTTAATATCGGTATCTACGACAGTGATAAAAATCATATTTTGACCGGTTGTAGAAAATATCTACCCTCGCTTACAAAAGCTCCCGTGATTAGAGATCAAGCCGGTTTGAGGCCGGGTCGTGATCAAGTTCGATTAGAGATTGAAGATCGAAAAATTGGGGAGAAGGTAATGAAAATTGTACACAATTATGGACATGGAGGAAGTGGAGTTACTTTGTCGATAGGATGTGCACTCGATGCTGCAAGACTTGTCAAAGAAGCTGCAGGCTTTGCTGGACAAAGCAAACTATAGACTAAACAAAAATTTTGAAATAAAGGATAAAACAATAATAGAAACAGGAATAGTGTGTTAAGTGCATTTGCAATATTTTTTTATTTTTAAATACAGAATTGACATACAGAAAATCCGACTTGTAAGAATATAATAATAAATCATTATTTTTCACGAAGTGCGTCTATTTTCTATTTGTGGAACATTTTTGGTTAATTAAGTTTATTATTGTCTTTTTAATTAATTACTAATTAAGTAATTAAATACAAAGTTGCTAAACAAATTAAATTTTCCTTTAAAGAAAGACATAATTGTACTCGTAAGACAGGTCAAAGTTGTTTTTAAGCTAAAATTTATTGAATTCTTAAAATTTGAAATATATTGTATTTTTAATTTAATGTAAATGAAAATTTTGATTTAGGGCAAAGTTACTACCAGGAAGATTTGTTAAAAATTATTACGTAGAGAGGAAAGTCTGGTTTCCCCGGATTATAATAATCCTTAATAGGAGAAGACTGCGGAATATTTTATCGGATAATGTTTGTAATCACCTCTATAACCTTTTACTAATTAAATTTGAGATTACACATCTCTTTAAAAAAACAAGATAGGTATTTCAATATTTTACAAGTTAAGTTAATATTTAATCTAAACCAAGTTTTAGGGAATTATTTTCTCATCTACTAAGCGAGCTTTTAGATTTAGATTAATTAAAGCTTACTAGTTGGTAAGCCCAGAGGAATAACTTAAACTATAATTAATAAATAATAAGCGAACAAATCAATTTCTTTTAAATTTTTGACAAAAACTTGTCGCATAAAATCGATTTATCTTTCGTTCCAATAATTGAAATTGTTTGTTCGTGCTTTAGCAATTATAACCAACAAAAACCTCCAATTTGAATACGTACTTTCCCGCTGATCTCTTTTTGGATTCCTCCGTAATTCCAGAATTTATCAATGCCGTTTCGCCGTTTATTGTTGCCGTTTGAAAGTTTGCACTGCAATTTGCGATAGCTGACTTTTCTTTATTGGACGTGGAATTTGTGTCGTTGTTTACTCGTCTGTTTAGATTATTTTCAAAAATGCATCCGTGAGATTGTTCTTTCGACAAATAAACTTTCTCGTCGCATAATTTGTGGAAGAATTTCGACTTCATATCGTCAGAACTATTCTTGTATGGACATAACTTTGTTAGGCAACAGTTTGTAGGTAAAAGTGGTTGTTTGTGAAGACGGAGCAAAGTTCTAATACAGTCCGTTTTTGGAATTGCTAAATCGGAATTTTTAAGTTGCTCAGATTTTGTTGAAAACACACAAAATTTAAATATTAATACGAGAACAAGCATTGTTATAAATTTTTACAAAACTAAAGAGAAAATTGTGTTATTCAGCCGCACAGTTTAAACTGGATTACTTGCAAATTCTTGGAGGGCGGGTGCTTGTGCTATGGCTTCCTTACGTGTCATCGATTTTACAGCCGTACTAATGGTTGCTTATTAGGTTAATAAGGTGTTAATTAACCTTATTAACAAATTAAAAATTAAAATTAGTTACGCTTACAATTTTTTAATATTTATTTTGTCCCGGCGCATCCACCAGAATTAATGACTGTTTATTTTTAATTATTCTCTGTTATATTCTACCTTAATTTTGCTCTCAATTTTAGTTTTAATAAAACTCTATTTGCAAAGTAAAAAATAAAGCTTTAACTTCTTTGATTTCATCACTTGAACCGCGTCGTCTCTATAATTCTCCTTGTGTTGAGAGAAGGGATAATAACTCGAGACGCGAAACAATACTGAATTTTGCAGTAAATGAGGCTGTAGTAATATTTCTAAACGTAAAGATTTTTAATTGTGGTTTCTTTGATGATGACAATTCCTTGTTTACTAAATTTAATTATTAAATTGTATTTAGTTTATAGCGAATATCGTTGAACACACAGAGATATTTGGTTGAAATGCGCTTGCTTGAATAAGGGAGGATCAGCACTATGCCAGGACTATGTCTGTATCAAGTTCGGAAACTGCAGTCGTTATCTGGCGGTTTGCGCGAATGGCCTTTTTGGGTTTGGTTCTAACAGTTACGTCGTGATATCGCGAAAACTAATTTAATTTTAATTTTGTTTTAATTATTTTTGAAGATTATTATTGGTACGTATTAAAGACAGTTTTTACATTCACACTTAGTATTTAGTTAAAACAAATATTAATTTGTTAAAAAATTATCACCAACCATGTATAATTTTTTTTTGTATAATCAATATTCTTTGTTAGATTTCCAAAGGTTTAAGAATTGAATTTAAGCTCGCAGCTTAATAAAAAGATAAAAAAATGAATGATTAGTTACCGCGACTGTATCGTTATTCAGGTCGCTTCCTTTATTTCGGAATGTTTTTTATTGCTTTACGCAGTTGGGTGTTGTTGAATTTTATATTAAAACGAAAAACCTTTAAGACGACTCGGAATAAATTCACCGTCAGTCGCGAGTTTAATTATGTTGTTTGGAAAATGTTACTTGTTTTGACGGAAATTTGTTTTGAGTTTTGAAATGGAGTGCTTTATTGTAATAATATTATATAAACTTTAGAATGGTTAATATTTTTAAACTTTTCAAACTGGACTAAATTCTACCTTTAAAACGGATCGTAAAAATATTTTGTTTCATATTTTATCAAAGGAAATGCGCTCGAGCAAAACCTAATATAAAACATTCAGAATTCAAATTTTCAAAGTCATACATACTTTTATTTCACGTTCTTCTTACTAAAATTTTTCAAAACTAATTTAATTATTTTGAAACGTTTTCCTTCTTAAAAACTTCAAATTGTGCAAAGTTTTTTAATTTAACCGAACTTTAACAACACCGGCTGTAATTTTTACTTTTTACAAAATTAAATTACTCCGACGTGTTAACAATGGCTTGATATTTTTTAAAATGAATTTTGATAGAAATTCCTTTAGGTTGAAAATAAAAACCAATTCCTAATGAGCGTAGCCAGTTTTCTTACCCTTTCAATAAAGTTTAATAATGTTGGTTAATTAATTAATCTCTGCAAAATGTTACAAACGGACTTTTTGTTTGGTTCTTTAAGATTCAAATTTCTTGTTTGTAAGGAAAACAATAATTTCGTGCACATCTATATGGTTGAGTAACTAATAAAGTTTTACTTATATATTTAGAGCAATTGTATCGATTCAGTTTAAGGTAATTTAAGTTGATGAAGTTAAAAATAAAATAACACGATTAGTTGTCAATAAAATTAAATTTTTAATACGAGTTGGTTTTTATTTAAATTTTCACTCACACGTAGTTAGAAAAGCAAATTTATTTAGTTGTAAATACCTGCCGAATGGAATAAAATGAAGAAATAGAATAAATTTGACTAATTGCATTCCTCAGAGCTTTGAAACAGTTCTAAAAACACTTAAATAAGTTTTTAATTAAATGTAGCCGAGAAGTTAAAATTTTTCGTTGAGCCTAGCAACATAAATAATAGTTATATCCTCTTCTTTATGGGCTAAAAGAGGCGAATTCTGGCCACTCTAACCTTAAAGAAATAAATCCAAAAGTAATAAAGATTGGATTGTTTGGAATTGTGGCTTCCTGTAATTGAGATCTCTTGATAAAGTCCTAAAGTTTATTCTTCTGTAAATGTAGGTTAGGCAGTTTCATCACACTTTTAACTGCATTTTAAAATTTTATAAACAATCAAATATTTTTGGTTTGCTTTTAAAACGTGTAGTGTGGGGTGACTGAAGCAAACAAAGGGTTGTAAATTTTTTTAATGACACTTCTGGAAAAGAACAACAATTAAATGCAAACCAGCCACTAGAAATCGATCGATTTTTATTTAACTTTGGGCCGGCTGGGTTGGAAAAGACAATAAATAAAATCTTGAGAATATAAGAATTGCAAACGATGACTGTTGTACATAAAATTACATTTATTCACCCTCAAAAAGTAAATAAGACAGAGAAGAAAAATAGCATTTTTGTGGTCGTCGTCCTTAACGTTTTCAATATTTGTGTCTGTGCAAAATTATGCTCTATTTAGTGATTTTTTGCCCTAAAATATGCTCTATTGCTTTAGACACATATCTCTATAAATTATATTGTCGAGTGTATCACATACATCTGGGAGCTATAAAAACTTATGCAAAAGCGTTTGCGTAAAGTGGAGCTTCGGTATTATTTGCTTAGGGCGGAAACTCCGGGTGATGACAAACCCTTCTAAACAGGTCGCCCTAGGGCAGTAAATGATTTGCACCCCCCGCTTACGACATATTCTACCTAAATAGGTCGGCCTCAAATATGTAAAACATAAATCAAAAAAGTTTTTTTTATAACACTGATGTCGATTTGGAGAATCATGCAAACAGAGTTGTTTTTCGCAAAAATTCTGAAATTTATGATGAGTTTGGTGCAAAGTAAATTTTTAATTGTATGGTAGAAAATGATTAAAACGCTCTTTTTAGAACTAAAAGCTGCAAAATAAAAATAATTAAAGCAGAATTGTTTTTGCAAAACTTTCCACTTTAAAATTGCTTTGTTTGGATTTTCCAATAAACCCTCTGCAAGAATATTTATAGAAATGGTCCATAAACAGAAAACAAACAATGTAAAACCTCTAAATTATGTAGGTGTCTAAGGGGTTGAGAAATATTGCACTAATAGTGGAAATAGCTGTGTGGCGTTCAAATATGAATTTTAAAAGCCTCTCTGGCTCTCTGCTAAAGCGGAATTAATGATTAATTTTATGCGAATGCAATGAACGACTAAATAAAAGACTCGACAAATATTTTCCCGGAACTAATTGCTAAGTGAACCGTGCATTTCCCGTTTTTTGAGTGATGGAAATAAAATATAATAATACTTGATTACTTTGCAAATGTATTTAAATGCGAGTCACAAAGTTAGAATTAAACAAAGTGACAAGCAGAAATTAAAATCCACAGAATTAACATTTCTGGCATATTGATGAGTTGTTTATATGTTTAAAAGACCGACTTTCTGTCAGATTATCCTGGTGGATGAGCAGTGTCGAGGGTCTTGCATAAATATTTTTATTTAATTGAAATTCCTTTCTTTGGGCCCATTTGCGGTCAATTGTTGCATCGCGGTCAAATAACACTGTGAGTCAAATCCCAAGTGGCAATATTCATCGAAAATATTTTCATTTGATGCAGGTCCGGTTTCGGCAGATGTTTAACTTATAAGTTGTTGAGTCAATAACAGAGCCGATTTATTATTCACGCATTTGCACTTGAATGCGATCTTCGGTTAACATCGGAATATAATGAAGTTTTCCAAGAAGCCGAGAAGTTGATTTCCGCATTTTCCGCCAAGAAAACGGTTTTGCAATTGCTTTTCATAACTCACTTATACAACTTGCTGATTTTTAGCGAAATCTGATGCCGGGAATTTTTTTCACAACGGCGGAGCGAATCTTAAGTGTTTTTTCGACGATATCGATCCGATCTAAGATTTATACACGTAAGAATTACACTTGTACTAAAGCAGTTTTTCATAATTTGCATGGGAGATGTGACAAGCTTGAATTTCGAGAAATCGGGTGGAAGTTTAAAGAAATGAACTTGCATCAAATTGAAGTGTCAGACACATGTGGCTGAAACCACATGTCAATAGCGTGAATACTATCAAATGCAGCCTTTTTCCCTTTTCCTCCACATATAAAAAACAGTATATTAATAATTACATATTTTATTTGTTCTTTTTATTTTGTGATTGTAACAAACTGATTTGTATCCATAAACTGTCATTCAGATACGTATTTCTTTTCAGAATAGACAAATTAAAGATAAAACTTAAAGATAAAATGATTATTTAGACCCAAACGTCACATAAGTGACCACTTTAATAACTAAATGTCACACGTAAAAGTTTTACTTTCCAGTCATTTGGAGTAAAAATTCTATTTTTGTGCTTTTACTTTATTTTTTACTTTTACCGTGACATTTACCAATTTGTCTTTCTTTTGCTGCTTCAGTAATTTCTGAAGAGGCATATTTTAGATCATCAGCATTCGACATTTTGCACTACTAACTGCACTAGTTAAATTAATAAACATTTTTGAAAAACTTAACACAAATTCCGATACTAGTGCGTAATGTTTCTTTATAAGAATAGTTATGATTTTATTAATTGCAAAGTGTCCTGATTATTTTGTTCATTTACTTACTTGTTACAGTGTGGTCTTTTCTCTCAATTTAAATACGTTTGAAAATAAAATAATATATGTTATTCGGAATAAAAGTGAGTTTATGCTGTAGTTCAGTTAAATTATTTATATAAATAAACGTTCAGTATTGCCGCATAAACTCACTTCTATTCCTATAATAACATAATATACTAGTGTTAAGTTATGAAAAAAGTTTAAAAATATAACAAAAAATTACGTTGCAAGAATTTTTTCGATAGTTTGACAATTCAGATACCTACAAAATTTTCCTAGAACTTTTTATACAAAATTGCCTAAATTTTTTTTTTGTTTCTAATTTAAGTTATATAGGTAATTTTAGAGTAATTCATTTATTTAAAAAGTGTCAAAACAAAAAAAACAGTCGTAAACATCTGTAAGCAGTTCTGTTTTTAGTTTTTGTTATTTAATAGCAAATGTTTTCAAAATGTAAATTTTTTTAGAAACTTGGTTAAACTCAGATTGATTTTAACAATTTTTATATAAAAATTGGATATTGTTTATATAAAAAAATGTATATAAAACGATAACAAAAATTAATTAATGTGATGAAACAAGCCGTTTGAAATTTTCAAAATATTTTTTTAGTAATTTCATATTTGAAGTTTTTTCACTTTCCTCAAACTGAATTTATCTTTTCGTGTTGAAACATATCGCCTGCTTCTGTATTTACTTATCTCTGAGTATATTTGTCCGAGTGTGATGTGAAACTGCAACTCAGGGATAGCTCAGATAAGGGCGGTTCCTCGATCGTGAGCCTCTGGGCCTCTAAATCACTCGTTATTAGGTGTTTCTTCTTTGCCTGCTTGCAGTTAATCTATCAAATCGAATCTGTCCTCCCCGAAGCCATTTCTTCCAGCCATTAATTAGCCGATTTTGTTCCAGCCTCTCCAATGTGTTTTGACTTGAGAAATTTTACTAAAATCGAGTGCAAGATGCTTAAAACAAGTGGCAGTGATTACAAGCATAGGTAGCAATAAAGTGAAAAAGTGAAAAATGCACCACAAAACTGCGATTTTGGTGGCGCCAGCACTGCAAAACAGCAGCTGTACGCATCCGAGGTATAGTCAAGCAAGTTTCTTGTCTTTGCTGGGTCTTGGAGATGTACTGCAGGCCCTGATTGTCTTCCTGCTAACTGTGGGGGTCCTTGCAGCGAATGTTTTACTCATCGTTGTAATCAACAGCAGGAGATACTCCAAGTATATTCACTCGCAGGTAAAATTTAGAAATAGAATTTTTAGTAGCTTATCAAAGACGGATTTTTTTAGAAAGTGTTGATACTTGTCGTGCTAATCCTCAAAAATAGGATTTGCAAGATTAACTTTATTACAAAACGCTGTTATTTTTAAACACTTACTCAAGAAGCTATTTACTGTCTCAAATATTATTATTTCTGCACATGACAAATTAGGATGTTCTTTTCCACCCTTGCGCCGCATTTAATTAAAATTAGAAATTGTTTTAGCCGCGTTATCTGCTCACGTCTCTGGCATGTAACGATCTCGCCATGGGTCTGTTGGTGACTCCCTTCGCAATTGTCCCATCTCTGAGGCACTGTTGGCCCTATGGAGAGCTAGTCTGTCAAATCCAGGTAAGCGAATTTTGTTAAGTTGATTGATATCGAATTTGACCATTATGTTTAGGTAATTACTATAACAGAGGATCCGTTAATTGCAACTGACGGCGATGAATTGGGGCAGCGACGAATTATCGGCGGAATGTTTACAAAAGAATCCGGTTTCTGGTTTTTAATTCGAGCTATTAATTTATAAAATTACAACGGTTTTTGCATAAATTTAATCTAAAACAATTATTTCGACCCCAATTACTAGCGGCATAGGTTGAGTAATTGAATTAAGTGTGGGTCAGTTCCGTAAAAAGCAAAATTTCGTTAGCAATTCTAAAAATAATGTTTTTAGTTTTTGAGATTTATTAAGATTAGTTTAATCCTTGTTTTCGGGTGAGTTTTGATGGTTGTTTTAGTCGCGTACCTGACTTGCAGCAAAATTGCGGCTCTTGCAACTTAGCGAACTTTCTCTCGCCATAAATTACACAAGTGGTAAAGTTAGCTTAATATAAATATTCAAACATTTTTTGTTTAAATTTAATTGTTTAATAGCGCGTGATTTATTTTCTTTTAGACTAAACTTCAATGAAAATATAATATGTACTTTGCTTTCGAGTGCTCTATTGACTTTAATAGTCTCAAAGCTTAGGCTTTGAACTGAAACCGACTAGACGGCGCTGGCTTAAATTCAAGAAAACTTGGTTTAGCCTTTAGGAATTTGATAATTTTATTTACATATTTCATGAACCGTAAATTTAGTCATATAGTAATATATGTTTTTTATTGATTTTCTTGTTGAATTTACACAGAATATGGATTCTATAGATAAAATGTCACTCTTTACAGGAAATAAATACAGCAAAACTTTCTGACATTGCAGGTCGTAAAAGAATTTAACTGACCCGAGATACAATGCACCAAACAAAATCAGCAATGTTCCTCTCGTCTATCTCTCGCGCTACAATGCTTCAACACAACTAATAATATTTTGATATTTTTCTCTAAGAGGCGCATCTGTTATCTTACGATTTATACGCACTCGATATATTCTCAAAATAAAAAAGCAATATTATGTCAGCTTTTTCCGAGACAAACATTTCTACGTAAGAAAATCCCGAACTGAAAAATATTTGCCCAATTCATTGTTTCTTAAAGCAAACATATAAAAATCAATCCTGAAAAAGTGAAGTTAGAGCGGAGTTTTTTATTTGTTTTGATAAATTATTGAAGTGGGTTTCTTTGTTTGGCTTGGTGTGGAACACTTAGTAAAATCCAGAGGATTAGGCTTCTAGTCCTCTCGATTACAAACGATTACCTTAGCCCGGTGATGACAACATTTACACCCAAACCTATTTACAAAAACAAATAGCCAGAGATAAAATTTATGTTTATGGCCGTGGTTTGTTGGACTGAATTTTCTATCAAGAGTTGAGAGAAGTTATTAGTAAAACAATTAAAAATGGTGGATGCGCCGGGCGATAATTAACTTGTGTTTATTTAACTTGTTTCATAAATACAAATATTTGCGTTTTGTTTTAATTTTTAAACACAACTTTTGCGCATTATGTTGATTTAGTCTTGCTACAAGCCACCGAACTAAAGCCTTTATGACAATAATTACCCACTGTCGCATTTATAAGCTCGCTTCTGGCATTTAGAATTAATTTGCAACTAGTACGGTCTGGACCAGCACAGTACAGATGCAATCAAATTTGCATAAATTGAAACATGTAAGAGTTGATGAGTGTAGTTATCACCCTGATAGGCATTATCCTGCGACAATGTGTTCCTCAATCAATTCGCTATCACAGACCATTAACTCCACCAAATGGAACAAAATGCATACGGATCCCGTTTACAGGGTCACCGGTTTGACACTGATGTATGTCTACAGAGCACTTAGCCAGGATTTTGGCCAACACGAACAACTAACTTTGTTCGCGTTAGGACCTTTTACCAGTTTGGAAACATGCAATAGAACAGACCGGACGGTCAAACAGACTTGCACAAAAATTATCAAAAAAAAATATAGCAGTATAATATAATGTTGAGATATACCTAAAAGCTTTTTTCAAATATTAGTTTTGAAATGTCTCTCGGAGACTTCTTTGTCTTAAACTGCCTCCACTATATGCGTCGCGCCGATCCGATTAACTCAAATAATTGATTTTCAATTATTACCAATCATGTTCTATTTTATATACATTGAAGATAAATTTTTTAATATTGATAATAACTATTCTAACAATTTACAAGTCCAAAAAAATTAATTAGATAATTAGATGATCTCAGAAGAAAAAAAATTAATTCATCATAAAAAGCTATTTATTTTAATAAAAGTACTAAAATACTTTCTAACGTTTACACCTAAAGTTCTACTTCAAATATTAGTTCCAAGAGTATTAGAGCAAAAATTAAAAAATGCCCATGCTTTTCACAAATATTAAAACAGTTAATAAAACGCAATTAGCGAATTATAACCGAGAACGAAGTTTTCTTCAAAGGAATTGCAGATTACATCTAAATAAACATCAATTAAAACACACGGAAAATACATCCAAAGCGGATATACCTACACATTCATTAAAAAAATCTATAACTGGAATTCCAAATGAACAGTTCTTAATGGCAAATCTTATCAAAAAATAAAACGCATCGTCAATAAATAGTAAGAATCTGGTGGTGCTTTTTTGCCGTCCCGTTAACTTATCTTGCGGTCAATCGGAGAAGCTATAACAGATTTATGGTACTTCGTGACTCGAATGAGATAATTCAATTTATTGTTCCACATTTCGAATTGGACCACTGACGGATTCTGGTGGACAGTGCGAATGGTGATTCTCTAGCTTGTTTGCCATTATTCAAATTGTGTAATCACTGCTGGGCTTGCAGAATAAGAGCATTGTTTAGACCAGTCGACATGCGAAGCAAATTTTTACGATTTTCTTTGTAGAAAAACTCAGACTAAAGAAAAAAGCCAAGAAATACCTACTTAAAACGGAACATTTATTAAATATTTCTTTGACTACTTTTGTGCATTTCAATGATAAAAGTAATTAATTTAAATATATTAAAAAATAGTAAAGAAACACACAACATATAAACGATACTATTTTAGAAATATTTTTACTATAGGTACGGTTTGTCTTTGATAATTCGTTCAGATTCAATTTGTGTAGAAAGCTCTGAAACCACGTTCAAAAATCAGTCTTGACTTTGCCATCAATTAACACGTTGTAAACGCGCACCCTGTAAAACAATATATTTTCCGAGTCCAGATAATAATTACTGAAAGGTAATCCATCTTCCCTTCTTCATGGAAGCTAATGAAAGGCACACTTGCTTGCTTTTTAATTATGATTTTTTTTCAGTTTACTTAACTGAAACTGATATTAATGGCACGTATTTTGTTATAAATCTGGGCAGCATAATTTATCATTAAATAAGCTTAAATGCATTTTTCCTCAAAGAGATCCGCGTTTCATTAAAACGTTATTTATCACACTAAACATTTTTTGTAAGCTCATGTGTGGCTTTAATGCGACAAAAGATTAATTTATTTAAAACCCTGGTAAAAACATGCAAATTTTGGGTTAAAAAATGTTATCGCAAGAGCGGTGGCGTGTTTATATTCTTGTAACATTGTCTTCATTGATTCTAGGCTTTGCTCAGAGGGGCTATAAGTCAGCAGTCTGCAGTGATCTTAATATGCATGGCCATGGATAGGTATCTCTGTATGCTTCATCCTGCCCGTTATCACAAACATTCCAGCAAAAAGGTGAGGAATTAAAATAAGGATCGATAAAATCTTGAAATGTGATATTCATTAAAGGCGCTTCATTTTTGTGAAAGTCGGCTTATATAGGAAGCGGTCGCCACTTTAGTTAGGCCACTTCAAAATTCAATTACTGATGGTAACAAACGTAACTATAGCCGAAATTACCGCCATATTGATTCTCTTAATTAATGTCTAAAGCCTCGACCATAGGATTTTGCGGTTTACGCCTTCTCCTTATCTCCGAAGCAATTTCACACACTTGGAATTAGAAGCGCGCTAATAAATTTTCTTATTTGGTGAAAAGCGTTTAAAAAAGCCTCGACGAGGAAATTGACCATCAATCATCGATGATGACAGCTCGAGTCCAGAGACCGGTACAAAAGCTATTACTGTTTTTACTTCGTAACCTAAATTTCGATGCACTGTTTACAAGAATGTGTTTACAAGAAGTTGCTGATTGTATTGACTAACAGTGACAAAACGGCCAAATCGAATTATACGCTTTTGTACAATTTTGATCACAACCGGTTCGAGAAGCTGAATTAATCAAGCAGTTAGTTAGTGAATAGTAAACGAAGCATGGATTCAAGTTTATTGAAACATGACAATGCATCCTTGTTTGTAAAATATGTCAAGAACAGGAGGATGAAACAAAAACTAGAAAACAATAAAACGATTATGAATAATTGCCTTATAATTAATCATCCAACTAATAAAATATGTCAACATTTAGAAACATTCTTCAGGAATATTTTTTTGGATTTTGTAACCCAATTAAAAGCACCATTTACAAAATCTGATCTCGGCCTGTTTCGGACATATTGTCACTGAAGAAGACAGACAGTCGTTTTTCTTGTAGAAGCGGAGCAACAACAAGAAACGCGATTTCAGCTTCGATGTTTCAACAGTAAATTGGCGTTAGTTTTCTGGATAATAACTTTCAGATTGACGGCTCACATTCATTACAAAAGAAGTGTAAAACATTTATCAAAATCGAGATCTTTATGGATGGATTTTTGATGAAAACTTTAAAAATAGTGTGTGTTTGAAGTCTCTAAACAACTCGATTTTAATATAAAGTCAGATCCAATAAACAACGTTGTGGAATTTTATTGAATACCCGGATATTGGCGTGTATACAAACCTAATGAAATGTAGATTTTTTAATAATAAAATAATAAACAAATATTGAAACCACGTTTTAACTTTTTTTTTCTGCTTTTCAATTATGATTTACGCAAGTATATATTAGGACTGTTTGGCTTTTATGGGAAGTTGTTATCTTTCCAACTCAGTGATTCAGAAACTGTCGTTAATTCTGTTTACTATGTATGAAATCGGTTGTTAATGCGACTGTTAGAATCAAAACAGATTAAAAGTGACTTTGCAAAATAATTAAAAGTCATTGTCAATCATAGTCGTTGTTAGTCGCAAGGTTATAAGTTTTAAGATGCAACTCTTGTCTATATTTTTAATAATACCTTTTACTGCGGCAGTAGTAGTTACCATTTACACACAGAACTTCAGATATGTAGTAGTCGTTTCGTTATTACGGCACTTTGAGGACTTTTATAAGTGTTTTATTCAATTATTTGCAGCGAAATAGACCTATTAAGTCTATAACGATATCATTAGCACACTTTCTTTTTAATTTCTTTGAAACGCCAGTTATTCTGAAAAGCTCATCAGCAGGTAAATTAAAATTAATTTTGATTGCCTAAAAGCATTTTCCTTTTTTTAAAACTCCATTCAAATTTTATCAGTAAACTTTTTCTTGTTTCAATCTAATTATTTTAGTTTCCAAATGAACAAACGGTGTCAACGACGTTATTTATGTTGTATAGTTAAAATTTTACTGCAAAATGAATATTTAATTGCAGTGTCACGGTTCCCACTTGGCAAAAAGCGGGGGATTAATTCGGAACAAAGTTAAAAGGCTTGTACCACATTATGAAGTTGCAAGACAATTTGCAACGATTAATTGCACAGCAGAAAACCACAAGTCTGCGATTCATTGTCTAACTAATATTTCATTCAATCTAAAGATAAAAATTTTCATTGAATCGGAAACAAGTGTTGTGGCTGCTTTATTTGTAATTAGGGTGAGTTTATCGGAGCCATTTGTGAACATTTTAAGCCGTTCAGTGCTGAAATTAGAACATTACGGGCAGATAGTGCTTCGGGAGCTGAAAAAATTTGGGAGAAAAATGACTCGTTGAGAGACATTGGGAGTTCTGGTAGAGTGCTTGATTCGGCTTTTTTGCGATTAGGGAGCGAAAGGAGAAGTGAAGGGAGGATAAGCACCTTCATACATTTTTAACAAAAGTTTTTTTATTTTGCCACTTTAGAGAATTAATTCCAGTAGAGTAAATATGCAAAAATATTTCAAATGTCGGACACAAATTTCGGTTGTCAGATTGCATACGGCGCAGTCGTAAATTCCTGGATTTTCAAAGATGATTTGTATGCAGCACCGCTTTTGTTATTATAGGCGTTAGATTTGAGGATGTCACAAAAGAGACTCTATTATACTACGGTACATGATGGTAATTGTGTTTTGACCAAAATAATATCATAATAGACAAAGTTGGGAGCTGGAGATAAGTCTAAACTCCGCATGTTACAAAGAACAGCAAGACTACAAAAAGATTCACAGCAATAAAAAATATTAAAATCCGGGTAACCTGAGAACAATGTCTTGCATAATTCCACAAAATCGGTCCAGAAAAGATTGTTCTCTTTCCACAAATCGAAATTTTATGACGTCCTGCGAGTGCAGCAGGATTTGTTTTTTTTCCATTATGTAAATCCTGTTTTGGTTGCAGGGCTGTGTCGCTATCATAAGCATGACATGGATAATGTCGGTAACGTTGTTCTCGATTTTGGTGCTACCTCGTGGCGGTTACTACTTTAATCCCACGGGAATGTTGGCTTGTGAGCCGTTTTACACCCGTGCTTCCATCAGAATCTTGGCCGCGTGCGGTTTTTACTTTCCCACAACCATGATTCTGATGTACTGCTATGGATCCGCTTTCCATGTCAACAAGCTGAGATTGAAGAAGTCGGGATGCAACACAATTGCGAGTCCTGATGACTATGGAGGGACCAGCATAGAAAAGGTATATCCAAAATATGCTTTCCAGTAGACATACTTCTTTTGTAGAAAGTGTGACAGAAATCCAATTATTTATTGTATAAAAGTTTTGTTTTTTCACGAATCGTCGTAAACAACTTTTAAAACTGAGCTTTATTTTTTTTCTTGTTTTAAATCTTACGTTGATTTCCACTTAAGTTTACACCTTTGCATTCTTATCTTCTTGAGTATCTACTTACACTTAAGAAATATTAATACTTTCCATAAATATTTTTATGCTCCACTTTTAGGTTTGTTTTTATACACTTACATTCTCATAACCTTTATTACCAACGTAAACAATTAAACATTTTAATAAGTCCCGACGTTATTATGTCTTCATTAATACTTACTTATAAGACAAAATAAATCCTACTTTTTTACTGTGTTATATTTACATTCTTAATTTCTCATACTATTAAGTATTTATATGTAAATATATTTCTGTATTCTTCTTGTTCTAATTTAAAAAAAGCTACTTTTATTTAATTTTTATATTCTTAAATTTTTATGTTTAGGTACATTTCTTGATTCTCAAAATTTCACGTCCTAACGCGTAGAAGAAAACATAGGAATTTTTAAAATAGGGTTGTTGCATCTATCGGAGTTTTTGAGTTTTTTTTACTTTTATACGTTAGAGATTACTTTACAAAGAAGCGATCCATCAATAAATTAACTTGGAAGAATTTGAAATACTACAATTTCGATTATTAAATTTGGGGTAGAATTTAAACCCGAGACAAATTCCAGCTTTACTACGTAACAATCCCAAAAGCACTGACGACAGTGCAGTGACAACTAGCAGTGGCAAGTGGAATTATATGGCAAATGTTTAATCACAACGTTTAAATGTACTCATTTTTGGCATCATAATTATTACTGTATGCACAGAACACAGATATTAAAATAAACAAACACCAAAATATAACGTTAAAACAGATCTGCAATCTGCATTACCGACATTCAAACAGCCAATGAGCGCAAAGAATAGATTATTACCTCACAGCAAATAAAATGCACGTGTTTTGAATGTATTTTATTTTACGAGTTTTTGAATTTTTTTGTACTAAAATTAGGATTTCAAAAAAAAAAAACATGGGGCAATTATTTTTTAATAAAGATTCAGAATATGCAATAAAAAATATGTACAACGACCCAATTGTTTTAAGTCATAATTTTTGCTGTTTTTTGTTTTGTATTTGTTTTTTGACAAGACCCATTTAAAATTTAGTAAATACATTAAAGCTACAATTAAGTACGAGTACATCCTTATTTAATAAATTATCTAGTTTCTAGACACCTGTATGTTCTTAATTTTAAAAAATTAGTTTTACTCAAATGTATCCCTTCTCGAACCTTCAGTGTTTAAAACAATTTAGAACGATAAATGTAGAACTCTTTGCTTAGGCCGCCTTTGAAATAATAAAGTGGATTAAATAGTCTTTCGAATTGCACTAATCCCGGCTTACAGATTAAGCCTTTGTTATTTCCGCCGATTTGAATTTTTGGTGTGTCTATTACAACTCGTGTTATAAAAGAGTAATAATTTGAATATGTCATGTAGTGATGGGTTATCCCACGTATAAATAACACCTCATTACTATTTATGTCGGATGCAATTTATGGCAGGCAAAGTTATGGCGTTTAAATTCTATCCAGCTCGGTATTTCACAAAACATTAAAAATGGAGTGGTTTTATGTTTTGTCACATCTCATATCTCATCTCCGGAATATCAATCGCGTCATTCGCCGATGAGTTATCATCCTGAAACAATTATCCTCGCGATTAAAATATAAATTAGGTGAAATATATCTTTAAACGAACAAAGCTAGAAGGTTTAGTGATAATCCATCAGACTTAACAAAATTAATAGAAATTTTGTAACAAAAATCGCAAATTTTTGATGAATTTAATGAAAGATGCGGAACTGCAACACATTTAGTGCTAAATTACTTTATATAAAGGCGCCAAATATTCTTGAACATATTGGCAAAGCGTACTGGAGCTGCGCCAGAATAAAACAAAAATTATATCGAAGAAACTCCTCTTTATTAACTTGGTATCGGTTCATTCAGCCAGACGACAAAATTGAAAAATTATTTAGACAGTTCTAAAAGTCGCTAATAATGAAGGTTAAGAGAAATCTCTAGCCATTTGATTTTCTAAAATCTAAATAATGAATATCAAAAATTTTGTCTGGTTTTCCAAAAGTTTTGTAATTTCAAATATTTGTTTCTATCTTATTAATAAACACACATCTGCACTAGTAAAATTAAGTTTAACATACATTATCATTATTTAAATTACAATTAGAAAAAAAAATAATTTAATTCAAAATACATGCACAGTTCTTACTTTTGAAATTGTAAAGTGTTCAGACAAAATAAAACATATTGACTGTAACGTCTTAACAAAGCGCAAAAATAGAGGTACTGAATGACATTAAAAATGCATCATACAAGAGTAATATGCTTCAATTCCGCAAACTTCTAAAAAGTTCTAACTGTTAAACATCTTGTGAAATATTATATTTTTCAGGTGCTTTCATTTTAATAAAGAGAATTGCGACTTTTCATTTTATATTAAATATGACACACTAATCAAATTACTGTCGTGATGTGCCACTTCGTTTCTTTGGAGGCATTAACCTCGAAGCAGAAATTTGTCGATTTTATATCTGCTCTATTCAATAATCATCTCGTAATATGTAAAGAGAATCGCATTTAATTATTTATTGGCATAAAAACAGTCTGGTGAAAAAGCAAATAACAAGTAAATTCACATTTTTCCCGGAAAATGCGCTTTTCATTGTTGCGGTTCTATTTGATAACACACAGTTTGAGAATGTCGAGATTATCGAAAACGATAAATAACGATTGAAAAATTTTAACTAATATTTTTTAGTGTTTTCTATTTGCAATAACAGTAACTGGTGACTTTTTTTGGTTTGTTAATTTAATAGAGATTTGTGTACCACGCACGTTTTTTAAATGAAACAGGTATTTTTGATGCAACAAGAAGCTTTGTTTCGAAAAACATCAAGTTGAAAATTAATTTCCTGTCGGTAAATATGAATTAATGCATTTGTTTATGTTATCTAAAAACACGTTTTACCAGATATATTATATTCAGGATGTTTATTACTGTTATAGCAAACGATAACATCCAATTAACTGAGAGTTTTGCATTTCAATAATCTTATTAGGGTCCTGGAAGCTTTGACTTGATTCGTAAAATATGAAGCTTTTGCATCGAGTTACAAAAAAGAAAATTTCATTTAAACATAATCTCTTTTTAATGTCCTCTATCAAATTTAATTTTGGAGCAACCACATGAGTTAAATTCTTTTCAAACGCATCAAACAGAGAAGAATCTTGGAATATTTTTTAATCGGTGCGTTCTTATTATTCGAGTTCTTTTTTTCAAATTTAAACAAACCGTCTGCATGATTTATTCATAAACGACGCAATCTCTAGAATTTTCCGCACGCAATAACGCGTACAGATTACAAATAGCTTAATTTTGGAAATAAATGGAGACATAAATTCGCCGTTTTATATCAATCTTACCGGATTTTCGATTATTGTATAGTCTAACGGCTTTTTTATTCAAGGTGACGGCTCTTTAAGTTTTAAGGGCACAGCTTGTAGACATAAATCATGTTTAGCGCTCGTGAAAATTGTCAGCTTAGGTAAAAAGTTTCATTTTTTCGGTTTTGCGATAATTCGCGTATGTTGACCGCAATTTTATTATCTCTCGGCCATGTTGACCACGTCCATTGAAAAAATCGCAATCAAGCTCTGAAAATTTTTGTCGGAATTTAATGATCCGCAAGAATCGGGTATTATGACACATGAAAAGACGGGGGTTGCTTTAATATTTTATAACACTAACGCGAAAATTGATGACCTGGTGGAACATGAATAATGGAAGCGGAATATGATAGCGTTTCTGTATGGCTAATTCAGACTCGTATGTTACATTCCCGGCTTTATCTTGGAAATAGGTGCGAATGGGATAATCGCCGGAAAAAACACAAAGCCGATTTACGATACTACCCCAATATTCAGATTTTATTGGTTTCCGTGTAATAGATATTTGCTAAAGGAGAATAAAACAAAATCTTAACAGGACTGTTACGTTTTTATAGCGCTGATATAACAAAATGCAAATTTCGGAAACGACTGCATTTCGAGGGGTGCGAAATGGCTTCATTGTGCCACCAATAGTTATACAACAAGGATTGGATCAGCCGAGATGGGATATTTGATATGGGAGAACTGACGGAAGTTGCTGTATCGCGTTTCCGGTGGCGGGACGATGGCCTTTAACACTCCCACCAGCGGGATTAAGAGTTTAGAAAAACTGTAATAAATGAATGCAATCTAACTCCTGATTAGCTAAAGTTTGATGATCAACTAAAAACATTTCTTTTTATATCTGCATCGTAGATTTCGAGTTTGTTGTCCTAAAGATTGTTAATAAAAATTCGTTTCTCATTTGCATTTTATTAGTGAGTCATATTTCGTGAAATGGGTGCTTGAAACTCTGGCAGTAAATAAATTTTCGATCTAATAGAGCTTATTTTTATTAAAGTGATTTTTAAAAGCATCGAAGAAAGTGGAGTGACAGAACAGTGTTGGAGTAAAAATCGTTATTGCAGGAAATATATTTATGTCTGTAACATTGTCTGAAAGCTCTTTCGCAAACTTTACGCTTCAACATCTCAGATTGTGATTGCCGGTCGAGTCTATTGTTATAAATTTATGTGTCTGCATAACAAAATTATTAAGTTATTTCACGGTTAAAAGCCCAAATTTGAAATTAAGTTGCATTGCAGTAGTCGCAAAGACTGCCATATGTTACAATAATATTTCATTTTCTGTGGCAATATGATTCGTTTTTGTCGTAGCAAAGTTGTCGGTTGTTTGCGCTGGATTTGAATAAATAAACGAAGAGATCAGAGCTTTTACTGGGACGCTCGAGGCCATATTCGTAGGGTGAAAGAACGATAACGACTGATTTTAGCTATGAAGAGGACACTTTTTATTAAATCGCTCATGAGGTCGAGGAAATTGGAGCAGTAACACACTCGAATCAATAGATGGAAGTTTTCTCAACTTTTTACGAACCGAACTAAATAAATTAACATGATATTGTGATTTTCAGAAGATAAATTAGTTGCGAGAATGATATGAAAAACGATCTTTTTCAAAGGCATGAGAATCTAATTAAATTCCTCGGTGAAGTTTGAAATAAAAATATTCGTTAATTGAGATTTGGTAAGCCCGGAGCGATTCAAAGGAAACAGTATTGCAAACCTCAAAGAGATAGAAAGTATCATGTAGGCATGAAAAATCAAGATTTAATTAAACTCGTTGCGAGGCCATAAGTGGATCTCTTGGATTTAATCATCTTTATTAATCGTCCTTTAGAGTCTAAACTTACACCCCAGAAGACTAGTGATAGTGGTGGCGCTAAATTATAGACTACCGGCAGTGTCATGTGGCAACATATTGTAACTAAAATGGCTCATCATCAACATAATTGCGTTGTATTTACATCAAATAATGAGTGATAGAGTGTTTACAAAACAAATTAATGCCAGTCAACAGGTCAAATATTTACCAGGAACAATTTTATTTCGAATAAATCTGACCAGTTATTTGCCAGTTTCAGATATTTTTCTGCTCTGATAAATTGAAAGAATTTCATGTTAGATTTTTGTCCCAACAAAAACTACAAACTTACTGAAATATTTTCAGACTTCTCATTATTCAAGTCAACAACAGCTTTGAAATGAAAAATCTCCCAACTTGTACAATTGGTGCAAATACTCAAAAAATACTACTTGACAATTTATTAAGCCACTTGACTTTATCAACGTTAATATTAGTCACCTCACAACGCTTCAGAATCACAAATAATTAACTACTAAATTCGTCGTTCTTTACAAATTACTGGGATGTCAAGGAATAGTTTAGAGCGGAGCAATGAAACCAAGGAGATTTTCCACCCTACAAAAACATAACGAGCTTGACGAGGGAATGTAACTTAGGTTAAATGATCTCTAAAAGTTATTCTAAAGGAACAAAGTGCTACATCATGATCGTAATTTGATTTAACAAAAATTTAGTTATCAGGCTTTTGTATTTATTTTCTCTATAAAACAATGACTTTTATACCAACATACCAAAACACTTATTAAATTTTTTAAAGAAATTACTTTACAAAGCCTCTGAAAATATTAACAAGGTATTTAAAGGTTACTTGAGCTATTCGAAACAGACAATACTTCTTTTATTACTTCTGTCGCGTTAGAATAAAATAAACCTACACAGGGGTTTGCTTTCGTTCCATTAATCCGAAAAAGCCTTAAACTCGTGTCATTGTTAAACGCAGAAAGGACAAAATATTCAAATTTAATCCGGCGTCACGGCCGAATCTCCGCAACATCAATTAAAATATGATCGTTGCTGTTAACTATTTCGGTCTGTCGGAAATAATTTAACTAAAACAACGAAGGTCAGCGAAAGCAATAATCGTCTACATAATTCATAATGTTTCCTAACAAATCGTCCGTCAAAATCTCGTTGCAAGATCATAAATATCCCGACAATAACGCAAAAAACAGCCCCACTGTGTTGTTATTTGCTTGAGGATTATTACAGTACGTGTCTGGACATTTTATCTTGGCGAGAATCAGGACGTGAGCTATCGGAAGTTGTCACCTCGGAGGTAAATCCGGTGAGCCAACAAAACCCTTCCGATGTCATCTTTGGATAAGAGGAAGCACGAAATAATCATCCGAACAACTAATTATAACTTGTGACGACCGGATAAACTCCTGGATTCAGATTTATTCCGATTTGATGTCGCTTCGAAACAAATCGTTTTACCTATACGGATGTCAAGTAGCAAAAATATAAATTCATACGAATATAAATTACATTTTTGCTAGCGAGTTACATATGCGTAAAAATGTCAACTGTGTGATAAATTACTCGCCGCTTGCGTTAAATATCGTTGATTTTGAATCTGGGAGTTTTGCTGACGGCAAAGTTGCAAACAGCTTAATTTAATCTGTTTGCACAATCACTCCATCACATGACTATTGTTGTAAAACTTCAACATTATCACCCCCCTTAGATAATCAGCTCCACTACAAAGCTCGCCGAACAGAACCAAACACAATTATTTAAGTTTAGCCAAGAAACATCACTTTTCGCAGAAAAATTGAATAATAATAAGCACTAGATGCTAAAATTATTTGTCATTTTTATAGTTTTATTACAAAATACATTTTATTTTATTTACCATCAAAAATTGCAAATGACTACGATCCGAAATCTTATTTGTTATGTCTGTTGTGAACAAACAACTTTTTTTTAAAAAAATATTAAATATTGATTTTGATTTTATTTACCAATTTCCGACAAAAAACGCAGTATTGTCGAATTTAAAATAATCCAGTTTTAATAAAAGAATTTGCATTTTATTAAAAACTTTAAGTTTGAATAATTTCAAATAACCTATCGATCTTGCATGATTAATTTAGAAAAAGAAGTTTAATACTCCTCAAACCTGCTCTCTTTATTGGGGTAAATGTTTTGTTTTCGCAACCTTTAGCAACCAACTGCACTACGGGGAATTAAAAGCAGAAGAGGTAAAGTGTCTCCGAGTTGAACTCGGTGCTTGATGTGGAATAATATTAGTCCCTCGACATGTCACCCACACGAACTTTCAGATTGTTTTATTCTTTCACTCTTGTGGTGGATCTGTTTAGACATGTTAATTGGCAACAGATCCTAGTTCCAACTCCGCAATTGTGGAGTCTACTTGTAACCTAAGTGGATTTAAGAGAACTTTACATAATTCAGTGTCAGTTGCACAGGAGTCTAATAGTCTAATTCTGAAACAGTTCTAAATCAGTTATTAGGCGCGTTTTAAATAAATGTACATATCTGAAATGAAAAGCAAATAATACTTGGCAAAGGGAGAGGTAACAGGCAAAGACGTGAGGTTTTAATTTGAAAAACCGCGTATTTATTTTGTCTGACATGCATGATCGATAAGCATATTTCATTTCTTTGTGTATTTGCTCGGTTAATGTTCGATCGCAATTAAGGAAATTCAAGGCAATATATGAAGTTCTTGTTTACAGTTTGGCCGGATTTTGATCATTATTACACGCTAATCAATTTTTGAATAAAAATATTTTTCAGTTGGTGACTCAGGAGAGACGGTTGAGTACGACAGCCTCCAGGACTATGGCGGCCATGTCCTTAGGGTTCATCGTCCTTGTCACTCCTTGGACTATTCAGGAAGTAGTCGCTGCTTGCACTGGATCGAGAGCCCCTGCCGCTCTGGACTTTTTGGCGACTTGGCTTGCGTTAAGCAACAGCTTCTGGAACCCTTTCCTCTATTGGCTTTTGAATAATAATTTTAGGAGAATCAGTAGAGAACTTCTATTTAGCAGAGTAAGTGTCCAAAATTCGAAAATTCTACTGATTCTGCATCATATTAAATATTTAAATAATCTCAATATGTTTTTACATTTTTTGCCCGGAACGGCTTAATTGCGGCCTGAGTTTGTGAATTTTTTTTATTAGCCGACAAAAATGTATAGCGAAAATGACAAATCTCTTTATCGAGAATAACGAGCTTTCGGAGTAGATGAGAGAAGAGAAAATGGAAAGAAGGAAAAGAAACGGTTTTTTGAGGAGATATTATCTGAAAACCTGACTAAAGTATTACACATGATTTATGATAAAGATTATATAACCACTCTGCAAATTATTTTTTATTATGTAAGTTTTTCGGATTGATTACCGTTATATAATATGAGATGAATTCGAATTAATATTCACTTTTAAGTCAAATATTGGGTCTTTTTATATTTGGAATTGATTGTGTCGCTGAAATTCCACATTACATATTGGAACATTGTCAAGCCTGTCCTGAAAGCTCTATTATTTCTTACGTTGTCATCCGCTCCTAATATTTATTACACTTTAATGTCCTTCTCTTTTAGCTCTTCTGTCGCAAATCGAAGGAGCCCAAGTCCCACCAACAGCACTGCTGTAGCAACAGCAGTTCGGGTGCTTTCACCCATACTCAAGGCTGTGATCTCGAAGGACTCTCTGAGAAATACTGGGGGGAGATCCTCGAAAGGACTTTATCGTCCAGTTCGCTTCAAGCCCTCCAGCGCGCCTACTCCCACCCCCGCATGGAGCGGTGCAACGGTTTACAAGAAATGAAAGTGTTCGATACTGCCGTTCCCGATTTATGAAAGTTGGATAAGACCACACAGACTTTCGATATGGGTGCGTCGGAAAGCATGGGCAGTTCGTGCGAAACGGCGACGCTATCGAAATGATTTCGTGTGGTCAAATGCAAAACCGGAGAGAAGAGAAATAAAACGAGACTAATAACGAAGTTCGGATTTGTTATGATCGTAAAAAATGCAATCTCCGCTTAATATGAATTTAAAATTCTTTGTACGGATAGTTTGAAACTAAAAAGAATTATTTAAACACATGCTTTATGGCACTTTTTTAATCCGACTAGAAGCAACAATTCCAATTTGCATGTTCTTTCATCTTCTAAATTGTTTCGTCTGCGACTCATAAAAATCTCTTTTAAAACAAGACTTGCATCATAATATGTTGCCATATTTTTTCATTGCTAACTTTCAAATTTAAAACTTTTAAATTATATGCTAAAAAGCCGGCCTATTTGTGTTGTCGGAAAAACTTGCCAAAACCTGTGTACTGTGATGAAATTTTTTCACACATCTGAAAACCCACCGAAATGTGTTTAATGTCCACAATAATAATTGTAGCAATATTGTACGTTTCATAAACAATGATATCAAGTACTGTACATTTTAGTGATATGTAAAAATGTTTGTTAGAAGACGTATGTAAATAAAATAGAATCTTTTTAATACAATACGAATATACGTAACTTGACTTGCGAATGTTATATTAACTATTGAGAGTGTGATATTTGTTTATTTCAATAAAAATGATAAAACTATTTTTATTTCATTTTGAGTGAGCCACGAGAATTTAAAAAAATCTAAACTAATTCGTACTTAAGCAAAACACTTGTATTATATATGCAACTAATAATACAGCAAAATAAACGAAAAAGTTACACCTTGTATAATAAGATCGAATAAATAATAATTTTGAATCTCGTTTTGGTAATTATTTTAAGCCTACTTAAAAAGCTTTGCCTTGAATATTTCTGAATAATTCTTCCGGTTTTGGTTTGAATTAACATTTTTAAGCAGTTTATCAAATAAATATTTTGATTATTTTATTAATGATAATGATATATGACTTCCGACAGAAGGTAGTTTTAAGTGTAAAAGGCCGTCAACCTTTAAAGCAAAAATGATTAACTATGATTAATATTTTCCAAGGCAAAAATCTGAGACTTGACCGAATTTTTAAAAATCACAACATTGTATAAAACTGATGAGCAAATTATGAACTACATTGAACCCGCGTTGAAATCCTCTGCTGTCAAGAGTAAAAATAATGGAAGTAATAAATTACTACAAAGGAAAATTTTGCCGTGTTTTTGAATGTCACACAAATAAAAATTATTTTTGTGTATTGAATAAATAAGATACAAAAAATACAGTTTCCGCATGACGTAGTTAAGGTTAACATGAAGTATTACTATATAAAACGAATGATACCCTTTAGGTATCACCACACGATTTTTTTTCTGCAGTAACAATGTATCTTGCAGTCTTTGTAGTTGCAGTTTTTTTCAGTCAATGCAATTCCGTTGCATTACGTGAGTACCAAATTTCGAAAAATGGTCCCAATCTAATTATTTTTTTAGCAAAATACATCAAACTGTGCAGCGGAAGTGACCCAAATTTTGATAAATGCGGCCTACAAAGTGGCAAAGAAGCCATCAAGCATTTGGTGGCGGGTAAGACTTTTGTCCTCAATCAGGTTTTAAATAAAGATGATTTAACTTCTCAAAGTTAAAAAAAAAACGATATCTCCACCTTGACATTTAGCATTTTTGTCTTTTTGCAGGCGAGAAATCGTTACGTCTACTACCTTTATCGCCTCTAAAACTGCCGTTTGTGCAATTGGAGGACCGGCCTGATTTCCAGTTGAACATCACCGATGCTGAAATTATTGGATTGAACAAAGCCGAGCTCATTGATTTCCAGTAAGTCTTGATGTTGATTGATTTCCAAAGCGTTATCAAATATTTTTCAGTGCCGATTTGGATAAACGCGAGGTCACAATTGTGGTTCATTTGGATGAAATTTTGCTTAAAGGACAGTTTCATGCTCAGGGCAGAATTTTAATTCTGCCAATTAAAGGAGACGGCCCTGGATCGGTCAAAGCTTGTAAGTTTCTACAATTAAAAATAAACCCTTAAATTAGTAGACATGTTTCAGACGGAGGTAATTACACTTTTATTTTTCATTACGATCTAGTCGATAAAAAAGGACAACAGTATGCCAAAATTGACAAAAACGAATTTAAATTCACTATTGATAAAGCCGAGTTTGCTGTCGAAAATGTATTCGGGGATCCGACAATAGGTGAGTTTGTGTTATATTTTAAACTTGTTATTAATTTTTTGTCTAGGTCGAGAAACAAACAAATTTCTTAATGAAAACTGGTTAGAGGTCTTAAAAGATTTTGAACACGTTGTTGGCCAGACTATTGGGAGCATCTGTAATAATATTGCCAGCATTGTTTTTGAAAGAGTGCCATACAATGAAATTATTTTACCTTAATTGTAACTTGTTTAATTTAATTTATTTTGTTAAGTGATAAAAAATTGTGATCCAAAATAGTACTTTTCTATTTGTGTTTTAAATTAAAATTTTTATTGTCACTTGTTATCTTATGTTCAAATTTTGTAGTGATAAATATTTTTTTTTAAAAAACGTGTTTTATTTTAAAATAGATCTAAATTGTTAAAACGTCGGAATTGCCAAAATCTCCAAACCGAAATGATTTAAGTAATTTAAATTTAAATTAATTTCCAGCAAAAACAAAAAAGATTACTTGGTAGTGTCCTTCATAACTCTCAAATCGAGTTATACAACAATAAATTAACACTTTTTTCTAAATCAAACACTATTTAAATAAATAAACAATCTTTTTTTTAATAATTTTTACAATTTTTAGTCCTTCAAACACAAATTAAGCTGCAAAAATTGTTTCATATGTTCTAAATCTCTCACCTTTAGACGATTTTTAAACAACTTCAAGACATTCCGGTCTTAAAATCGGTAAAAATTCAAAAACCAGCTTACAACTTATAAAATGAAGTTGATTTCCTCCGAGTCCCAGTCTCCAACAGGATGAAATATTTAGTAGTTGCATTTACTACAGTTTCATGCATTTCTGCATTTTCACAGCGTGAGTTATGAGTGTTTTATTTAAAAAATAGCAAAAATAGTTATTTGCAGCCGATTATATCAAACCGTGCTATGTCACAAAGCCCGATTTTAATAAATGTGCATTGGAGCACGGCAACTATGCCATTCCATATCTCGTCAAAGGTAATTTTTAATTTTTTCAATCAGCGTTCCAGAGATTGTTTTAGGCGACAAACAACGGGGAGTGCCCAAGATGAATCCAATGAAACTGCCTTTGGTCGAAGTGATCGAAAGTAACTTTAGACTAGCTATGAAAGATTTAAGTGTTTACGGGTTGGAAAATTCAACTCTGACTGATATTAAGTAAAGGTTCTAAAATTTTTTAATGTAAAAATAATTGAGTTGTTTTAGAATGAATCAAACATATCTTGAACTCACGTTTCATGTCGATAGACTAATGTTTATCGGACAGTACGAAGTTAATGGGAAAATTTTATTTTTGTCCCTACAAGGCTCAGGGCCTTGTAATTTAACCTCTAGTAATTATTTCAAAAACTAAAAAATTACCGATAATAATAATATTTGCTTTAGTTGGAGGTAACTTTAAATTTATTAGTATTTTGCAAGATTATACTGAAGAAAAGGAGACTTTTATAAAATTCAACAAACCCAAAATGGAGTACACTCTAGAAAGAGCATATTTTTACTTAGAGAATCTCCTTGATAGTAGCGACCAGCAAATCGGTAAATTTCATTTTTGTCAAAAATTTTTCCTCAATAAGGTTTCTAGGGATTGACATTAATAGAATATTGAATGAAAATTGGGAAGACGTTCTCAAAGACATAGACGTTCCTCTGAAAGAAACAGTGACGACGGTGGTCGAGTCAGTCGTTTCAAAAATCCTCAGAAACATTCCAGCAAAAATGATATTTCCTGAATAATCACCAATCTGTTCACTAATCATTATCAATAATTATCATTAAATGTTCTCATTTGCAACACTGGTTTTTTGTTCAAGATGATCTTAGGACCGTTTGAGTGGAAAATTATACAAACAGTTTTTAGTGACTCGTCAAGGTTTTAATTATACGTGTTGATTAGCTTCAGAAATTATTTTTACATAACATACAAAACTTCAAAAAAAAAATGATTCTTAAAACCTGAAATTGTAATTTTCCCTGTATAAAAAACTTCAAGGTGGTTATGGTCGCATCGTGATATTGTTTTCGATTTAGGAACTTTCCTAGCAAATTCGAATTTTATGCTCACAAAAACTTTGTTGATTTATTTAGACACTGATTTGCAAAAAAAAATGAAATCAATCATTGCTAATACTAGTAAATAGCTGAAAAAACAATGAACATGAATAGAGATGAAATCAGCAAAGCGTAAAAAAACGCTTTAAATAAATTAAGTGGTTTGCACTGTAAATGATTTGATTGTTCATTAAAACACAATGTTTAATTTAACCTTAGGAACGTGTTCCGGTATAAAAAAAATGAAACTCGCATTCAAGACAAGTATAAAAGAGTCATTTTTATTTCGCCACGTTTAGTTCTTAATTGTACGCAGGATGAAATATCAGGTTTTGGTTTTAGTGATCGCGCTTTTTTGCACACCTGTTGTGCCGCAGACGGTTCAAACTAGACGTAGGTTCCTGCTTTTTCATATCGCCAAAACTAAGTTATTTTTTCAGCAAGTTATATTAAATCCTGTAATGAGAAAGATCCAAATTTCAAAACTTGTGCTTTGGAAAATGCCAATTACGCAATTCCTTTCATAGTCAAAGGTAAGTGGTAATGACTTTATATTTTGATTTATTGTAATTTTAATAAACTTAAATTAGGTGATAAACAAGTGGGTATTCCTCGTTTAGATCCACTTCACTTACCATTGATCGAAATCGAACATAACGATTTCAAGTTATCCTTGAAAGATGTTCAAATATCTGGTCTCAAAAATATCAAAGCAACAAGTATAGAGTAAGTATACTAATTAAGTTCAAAAAAATTATTTATCACACGGATTATTCTAGTCTAGGGAGAACGGGTTTTGACGCAGTTTTTCACATCGAAAATTTAAACATTATTGGCACTTATGATATTGATGGTAAAGTTTTGCTCTTGACATTAAAGGGTCAAGGCCCGGCAAATATAACAGCAGGTAAATCTTCTTAACTTATTTCGATAAAAAAAACAATTTTTTTGTTAGTCGGAGGTGACTATCACGTCAAAGCCAAAATAGAACCATACACCAAAAATGAAGTCGAATATCTGAAATTTGTTGATCCTCAGATTGATTTTACCCTAACTCGGGCTTATTTCAATTTTGAAAATATCTTGAATGGGAATCAAGAATTAGGATCAGAAATAAACCAGTTGTTAAACGACAACTGGAAAGACGTTTTGAACGATTTGGGAGCTCCAGTCAAAGAAACCGTGACCCGAATTATAGACTCTATCGTATCGAAAATATTAGAGCGAGTGCCAGCAAATGAAATTCTTTAGTTAGACTTCAAAGTGATAATAATTATAATAATTTTTATAATTGTACCTATGTCAAGTTTAGAAACAAATAAAATGATGTACTATTTTTATAAAGTTTTTTATTTTATTTTATTCCAAGCAATCTGATTAGCAATTAAATCATAATTTATGCCACAAACATATTAAAATAGATCACTCATGACGTGCATTTATAATAAAATTTTCCAGAAAGAATTTCGGTCAATGTCAAGGTGATAGCTTTCCGGTTTCTGCTTCATCGATTTGGTCCCTTTTATTCTATAAAAAAGTCACTAATTTTCTTCATCTTGTTTAACACTCTTCACGTTCTTCTGAAATTGAATAAAAAATTTCATTTCTTCTATAAGCTGTTTTTTGAAGACTTGTTTCGATTTTTTTGTGTTCCCATACACACGCATTGCTAACTCAATAAAAGAAATTAGAAAACCAAGAATGGTGCCCACGAAAAGTACCAAAAAAACGCCACCTACGTTTTGTAAATTCAGAGGGGTTGCGGCACTTTCTGAAATTTGTGACTAGAAAAAATAAATTAAACAAACAAAAAACACAAAAAAAGCTGACATACACCACAATTACTAGCACCACGTTTCTCTTTCCACCATTTTTCTTTTAATCTTGCTATTTTGCCGGTTTCTTGCAATTTAAGAATGGCAGCACTTAAGTCATTTCTGTACGATGAATCTAAAACTTTTCTCGTAGTCAAGCTTTATTAAATTAACTTTCATTACTTTTTTTCATAGCTATGGCATATCCTTTGTCGTCTAAAGGTGCCCCAATACTTGCCAAAGAGCAGTGGCGTTCAATAACATACTCAATAGTTGTAGACTCCATAAAAAAAGCGTAATGTTGTTTTTCGGTGCGATCCACCCCTTCGTCATTACTTTCAGTCATTTCTTCATCATGGGTAGCCATAAAATGCCAAATTTTGCTACGCACACTGTCATTTCCTGCATTCTACACACACACAATTAACGAAAAAATTCGTGTTGTAGTACCTTAAAAAAATTTGCAGTAGCGCCTCCTCTTTTGGCCCCGTATTTAATTTCAGTCTGTTCTGACAATTCCTTAATATTACTAAAAGGTGTTACTAGTGTTTCAACAGTGAGGAAAGCGGCCAAATTAGCCGTGTATGACGAAACCATAATCAGAGTAAAAAACCACCAAACACCAGCTCCGGTTCTTGTCGAAATACCACTAAAATGTCACTTGAAAAAAAATTAAATCAAGTTAAGTAGCAATACATTGGTGCCAGTTCTGTTCCTTGTTGCATCAAACTCCCGATTGTGAACCACAAGCTATTTCTAATACTAAATTGGTTGATCAAATATTCAGGTTCCTCAACGCAAGGAAAAGGATTAGTCCATTCACTCGGTGACAATCGCCCCATTACGAAAAAACACAATGAAACAACAAAGTAAGTCACCACCAGTAAAATCCAAACTGTGTAAGAGAAAGGTGAAACAAACATAAACAAACTTGGAGGCACAGGTTTAGGCTTTTTGTACAAAATTGAAATTCCCAAATTCATAAATTGGAGAGTAAAATCCACAACAGATTCACGTTCTGCGGTGACAGTCAAATCGGCGATTGCTAAATCAGCTTTCTAAAAATTTTTGATTTTAATTTTCTAATTTTTTGCATGAGTACGTACGTACACCACTCAAAATTGCACCAATTAAACCGTTCCATTCCCCAGTTGTTGCGTTATAATTCCCATTGTAACCATCTTCCTGAATTATAATAGTGTAATTAAAACCCAGCATGCTTGACAACTCGTCCATTAAATCAATACCAAAGCCTTCAAACCGGTCATTGCCCAAAAGCTGTTGCGTTGTTTCCTTCAACATACCATAAGGAGTAGTCTAAAACCACAATTCAAAATTTTAGTTACAAACTGCAATAATTTTACCAAACATGTAATGACGGTGAAAGTTTTATTTACAAGATTTGTCTCGTCGACAATTTTGACCACTTCTAATGGTTTCGGTGGTCGATGAAGACTTAAACCAGTAGAAGGATACCAAGCACCAATTCGTAATAAACCACCAAGTGACAATTCTAAAATATCTAAATCAAAGTCTCGACGAAAACCTTCATTGTCAAAGTGGACAATCCCGGTAAGTCCTCTAATGGTTTGCTAAAATTTCAAGTCAAATTATTGTAAAAATTAAACTAATTTGTTACCCCTTTCATATAGTTGACTATAGTGTGGCCACTGTCCCAATTGTTGGTAGCATTGCAATACAAAATTTGACTTTTGATGACCACTTGTTCCGAGAGTGTTAAATCAAGCACTGCATGATATAACAAATCGACTGAATCGATTAAAAGAGCTGTTCGGTGTTTAAGTAACCATCCTGCAGGAATCTCTTTGTATTTTTCTTGAGTGTAAATTTGATCAGCTATAGTCATAACATCCTCATTTTCGGGATTAAAAATTCTAAACTAAAAAAATCATGTAAAAAAAATCAAGGCTAGTTTGAAAATAAATTTTACTCCTGTGATATTAGCTCCAGAGAATTGAAACGGTGCCAAATCTATTGTTTGCAAATCAAGATTGGTGATGAGATAACTATGGCGTTCAGTCATCATTCCCACTTGTTGTGCTTGTCTAAGAACCGCCTCCAAAATTTCAATGGAACATTCCAAAATAAAATTTGTTTCACCGGTTTTTTTAATACTAGTCAAACTCGTCCTGTATGTGTCATACATATCTAATTCAAGTCGGCTTAACGTCACTCTTTGTTTACAAGAAGATGCAAAAATACTCAATTTTGAGAGGCTCTCTTCCGAGTCGTAAATTACAACAAGACTTTTCCAATTCCACTTATCCACAATTTCGAGATAAGCTTGTGTCATAATCGACGAATGTGGGTGTAGATTTAGTAAACAGTCGTGTCTTAGGAGTTTGCGATCCCAATATGTCTCAACGTGAGGTATTTCTTTTCTGTCGAGGATTGTTTGAATTGTTAGAGATGAATGAATGGAGCTTGGGCCAAAAATCGCAATAACGCTCTTTTGCAAAAGCTCGCAAGTGGTGAGATAAGTATTATAAGCGTTGAAATTATCAACAAGATAAGAATCTGGAATTAGTCTTATAGTTGAGTTTTTGTATTTGCTGTTAACGAGGTTTGTAGCAAGATGAAACGCTTTTTGCTCGGTTTCATGTTGAAATAAACCTCCTGAAAGACAGAGTTATACAACCAATAATACGAACACATGACTTACCTATGTGAAGATTTTGGGTATGTGACCTCGCTGGTGCATGAAAGTTTATAAAATAAAAATACAGCAAAAGTAACATCACAGAAATACACGCGATTTGCGCATTTTTTTCAAAATGTGAGAAGAACTAGACTGTGTGTGTCGGAGTTCCATGAACTCGGTTTACTCAGATATTTTTAGAATTTCCACTTATTTCGTACAATCAATCTGGCGTTTGTTACCAAGTGAATTTAATTGGGAAAAAAATTAAACAAAAGGTACGAAACAGTTGAAATAGTTTATTGATGAGATTTTCTTGATTTATGAACATGGACATGACTTTTTACAATTATTAAAAGAAATATTTACAAACATAACATGGCAGTATTGTTAACAAAACAATATTTATAAAATCTGCAATAACTTAATCTACTAATACCAATATGATACATTTCAATTAAGCTAAGAAAATGATATGTTTTCGAACTAAAGTAAATCTTTGCTGGTTTTGTACTGAACTTGGTCCGAAAAAAAGCTTCGTATATTGTCTGTAGCAAAATAGGAGGAACAACGTTTTAACAATTTAATTAAAATATATCATATTTTAATTAATAGGTTCTTTATTAGTAACAAAACCATATGACGTATATGATCCCAAGGGATGAAACCGACCGTCATCAACCCCTATTGAAGCATCACAAGGACGTCCCTTCTTACGAATTGGTTTTGTCGACCCTTGACAACGTAGGGCAAACTTTAATTCATTTGCCATCTCAGCACACAACGACGACTGAAAATCGAAAAATACGTCACAAGGGAAATACATTTTACTAAAAATAATCCTGAAAGAGATTTTTAGGTAAAAGAAGGAAATTTGGATTGATGCGGATAACTTACCTCCTACTTTTCCGGAATACAAAGTAAGCAAAAACATATTTCAAAATAAACTTAGATAGTTATCTATCAAAAGGCTATACACTAAGTTTTGCACACGTACAAATTATTTGTACGGGTGTTCCAGAATTCTTTAGCGTATATGAAAACATATTGATGTGCATCAAGTACATTGTAGAAGTCTAAATAGATCTTTAATTTAAAGGCCGATTTACACAAAAAGTGTCATTAATGTCATTCAGAACAAAATTAATCACATCAATAATGACAAAAATCTTCATGTTTGCTATCTTATGTTAATTACGTTATTAATTTTAATTATTTTTTGCAACATGGGGTACTCATTTATTTGAAAAAAATAATTTTTAGAGAAGTTTGGAGTTGTTTAAATTTTCGCCTGATTGCCACCATAAAATGATCCCTTTCAGCAACTACTTCGATGCACATTAATATGAAAACGAGTATAGAAAAATCATAACTCTGCTGAAAATTTATTCTAGAACACCCTGTGTATACTTTACTAAAAACTTGCTAAATAGTCTGTTTTAGTAAAGTATACTTTAATAAAAATTACATTCTCTTGATTGTGACAATATATGGATCGATATTGTCGATAAATTCGTTTCTCTAAATAAAAGAGCGACCCTGATCTTACAACAAAGCTCGTATGTATATACAGTTTGTGTTAATATTTACTAGAAGGATTGCAGATCACGTGACCCTTGACCTTACAAAACAGCGAAATATCATGTCGGATATTATTATAAAAATTGTACAATGTACAACATATTTACAAACTATTGAGCTTACGTAAATAAAATATCTTCGCAAAAAGGCGTTTGCTATCTGGCAAGCACCTTTTTTTCGTTCAGGACAAAATTATTAACTAAGTTTTCTCTTATAGCTACGTGTCGTGTAGAATGCTGCTCACCCTTTCTTCCACTGCAACTTTCCTTGATTTCCATACAAATTCACACACTGCTATAACACACGCTACTCCCATTCCGCCCATCAGCACGACAAAGACTCCTCCTACGTTTGCCAGACCTAATTCATTAGCTGTGCTGCTGGTTTTGGTCGTATCATCCTATAAATAAAGAAAAATAAAGAATAAAACTTGAACTAAACCGGATTTTTACGCGGCAAGCTCCTCCGCCCCGTTTCTCTTTCCACCACCGTGTTTTCAATATGTGAAGTTTTCCCTCTTCTTGCAACTTTAATATTGTACCACTAATTGCAGTCCTGAACGGGGAATCTGTGCACAAAAGAATGAATAAAAAAGTTGGGGGAATTTTTCATTGTATACTTGGAGGCATGGCGATGCCATATCCTTTCGAATCGAGCATTCCTCCCACTTGGGTCAACTCGCAATTTCGCTCTATTACATATTCGATCGAAGTGGATTCCATAAGAAAAGCATAGCTGCCTTTGCCTTTAACGACACGTTCTACTCCTTCAACGTTACTAGCGGTGAAAACTGACGGTCTTTGGGACTCCATAAACGACCACATTCGTTGATAAGTCGAGAAGTTCGAGTCCCGGAAGAAGGCAGCAGTGGAGCCTCCTCGAAGTGCCCCGTATTTAATTTTGGTCTGTTTAGCTAAATCATCTGCGCTTTCAATGGGTGAGTCCATTCTCTCCACAGTCAAAAATGCAGCCAAGTTAGCAGTGTATGAAGAAATCATGATTAAAGTGAAGAACCACCACATTCCGGCTACCATTCTTGTGGAAACAGCTCTGCAAAGAAATTATTTTTTTCAAAATTTCAGGTTTTGGTACAGTAAAACACAATGAAGATGTTCTAGAAAACGATGATTTGTTTGACATGAAGACTTACTTGGGCGCAATGTCAGATCCTTGTTGCATCAAAGACCCAATGGTGAACCACAAGGAATTTAAGAGAGTGAACTGGTTTTCTAGAACATCCGGATCGCTATTGCATGGATGCGGGTTGTCCCATTCGTACGGACTGAACCTGCAACCACAACTCCAGCTAAGTTCTACAAGGCTTACTTGGGTAAAAAGTCGCATCCTTGCTGCATTAAAGAACCAATAGCGAACCACATGCAATTAAATAAAGTGAACTGGTTCTCGAGATGGTCCGGATTGGGGTTGCATGGGTGTGGGTTCTGCCACTCGTAAGGAGTGAACCTAGAAACGGTTAGAAATCCAGAATCATTTCTTAAGTCCGAGTTTACCTGGCTAAAATGAAGAGTAAAACCGAAACTCCTAGATAAGCCGTCGCCATGTATATCCAAACGTCCAGAGATAGAGGCGATAAGAAGGAAAAGAGATTCGGTGGCTGCTTTATTGGCTTTCGGTACAAAATACTGATGCCTAGATTCATAAAAGGCATCGTAAAATCTACAGCTTGTTCTCTGTCGTAAGTGATAGTCAAGTCAGCGATTGCCAGATCGGCTTTTTGATCTAACAATTCTCGGATCATTCCGTCCCATTCTTTCGTTTCCCGATTTAAAGATCCATATCTACCATCTGGTGCCAGACGGATGGTATAGTTGAAGCCCAGGACTCGCGATATCTCGTGGATTAAATCGACGGCGTAGCCCTCAAACTGAGCGTTCCCGGTCAATTTTTCACTTGCCTCTTTACGCATCACATACGGAGAACTCTGAAAACCAAATTAACAGACTCTCATTCTCCTTTCACATACATTTTTTTAATTATAAAAGTCGGAAATAGAAGCTAAACACTCCAAAGTGTAAGTCATTTCGATGAAATCGATAATTTAAAAATCACGTTTTTAAACTTTGAGCTTTTATGAACTGCTAGTGGTAGGTGATAGAGATAAAAGATGAAATTTGAATAATTTTATCAAAAATGCCTTACTAGAATCGTGGTGACGACAAAAGTTTTATTCTGAATAATCTCCACGATTTGAGTGTAGGCCTCTCCATAAGTCCTCGTAAAATTAACACCTTCGGTCGAGTTCCACGTCCCAATTTTCTTGAGCCCTTCCTTGTTCAACTCGATGATATCCAACACGAAATCACTCCTAAATCCCTGATGGTCAAACTTGATCACTCCGGTCAAACCCCGCATTTCGACCTACAACACCCGAATGCACTCTCTTATCCTCCAACCCCCAAAACTTACGATTTTCATGTAGTTAATGAGACTGTAGCCATGAGGCCAGGTATCCACGGCGTCGCAACTCAGAGGTTTGATGTCGATTTGTTGGCTGGTATCCAAATCATGAAGTGCTTTCGCAAACAAATGCACCGCGTCGTACATTAAGGCCGTTTCTGCCTGGAAACGACGTTTATGGCCGGTAAGATATGTGCAAAAATGCATCGACGGCCTAAATGCAACGTAAGCTTTGTTTGCAAAATGTGATTCATTCGAATTTATGACTCGGAAGGGAATTTAATTTATAGCGCGTTGATTTTTTAATCTGGTGTTTACTCGGAAGCTATTAATCTCGTGAAGGAGAAAATGAATTTCAAACTTACCTTTACAAAAGTATTATTATCCTGTACATTCGTGCAGCATAAATAGAAAACAAATCGTAACTATACTGATTGTATAAAATTGAAAAAACGTTTGGTTTAAAGGTTCAAATCGAGTTGGAGAGTTTGTTTGGGTTTCCTTTTTTGTTAAACTTAGGAACTAATAGGACGTAAGTTTTGTACCCGAATTATTGATGAAATTTCTCCTTTCTTGTTCTTTGCTTCGCTTAAATTCCATTCTCGTACAACTTTACGAACTTCCGGTCCATCAGGATCCACGAGTCGGAAAGCCGTTATATTAGTACCTCCGTATTTGAACTCCTCCAGATCCACGCCGTGCAGATCCTGAAATACGAGATTTAAAGGATCGTGTTGCTCTCAGAGATTAAGATTTTTCAACAAGAACACTTGGAACTTAAATACAGTTTCGAATGTAATTTCGAAGCGCTGAAACTTGTCTGAAATAGTATGCTGAAATTGTTTTAAACTTTGTTGGTATAGCCGCCGGTGAAAAGCACCACTAAATGATTAACCTTTTCAGCTGTTCTCAGCTAAAAGCAGCGGCGTAGTTATATGAATAAAGAAAGATTCATATATACTCGTACATTTTTTTAATTAATTTCAACAAAATTAAAGTTTGTACTCGAGTTTGGTAATTCCGAGATTAAATTTATAACAAAAGTAACAAAAACATTCTCATTCTAGAGAAATACCAAATGTCTGCATTTATTAAAATCATTTCTTTAATTAAATAAGTATAGATAATACATTTAATAAGAAAACTAAAATTTGATTTGATCAAAAATTTTATGTCAACAAATTTTCTGTATTTTTTTATTTGATTTGATATTATTTTTTTTATTTGTGTATCCAATAGAAAGTAAGGCATTTTTTTAACCAAAAGGTTTTCTGTAAATCTTCATATAAATACAATTCGTAGGAAATAAGGAATAGCAAAACCAATTTGTTCACTTTGTTTCGCCCAAGTTCAAAGAGAATGAAGGAATCGTCTGTACTGCCATTTACGGAAAACATTGCGGTTCCGAATAAGATACATTCCCGCGATTCTTTAAAGAGTTTTTATTAGATTTTTACGAAAAAATCCAATAAAAAGAAAATTATTCGTTGAATTTATTCGTTTACATTTCATGTGACGTATCTATTTCCATAAATGGCCCGCATCGCTTAATTATAAAATTCGGATTTTGACGATCGTTTATATCGCAACGGAGTGAACATTCGTAGAATCTGCATATGCAAATCATTTAGGACGAATTCCAATTACAGTTTAATTTGATCCTTTGAGAGCTGAATTACGCCAGATGTTACTAGACACGTTTAACAACACAATTCGCCTATTAAAAATGTATAGCTAATGGGGAAAGTCAGGATAGGGCAAAGTTTGACTTACTAAAGATGTTATGAGATAGCTGTGATAGTCGCTCATCATCCCGATCTGTTGCGCTTGTTTCAAAACATCGTAAATCCTCTCCGTCGAACAGTCTAAAACGATATGCGACTCTGCAGAATTCTTGATCTGCTTCAGCAGTGGCCTGAAACAAAATTCGGAAATTTATTTGGCGACAGCCCTAACACAATGTCCCCCAGTTGCGTATCTTCTTAACATTTAAATTTATCGTTGAAGCGAAACAGAGTTGCTTTAATGTACTCGTACATAATAAATAAAGTGGAGAATAGGTTACAAGGTGCATTCCGTGTCAACCCGACTTCCTAACTTACAAAATTATAATCATGTGCTGGTAATAAATTTTCCAGACCAACTTTTGACGCTTGACTAATACGATTATGGAAGTCTTCCACCTAAATGCATAATATTCATCGAGTTTTCGCGGCGAAAAGCCCCCATGTGAGGCATTTGCTAGATATTTATGCACATTCTTTCCCCCGAATCTATTCAAAACAAAATTCTAAAGCGGTTTTGTTAACTTAATAAAGATAAATCGCTGGCGTGTTTCCTTAATCAATTTTAATCGCTGAAAAATAATGATAAACGAGGGCTAGAAAAGAAACGGGTTTCTAGAAACGAATACGCCTAATTGTTAGAAGCATACTAAACCGGAAGTATTGATCAACTCATTACAAGCTTGTTCCAGAGGGCGGCCCTAAAAAGGGGACTTTATAGACTTTATACCTATTAATAAAATAATGAAGCTACTTTGTAACAAAATTGTTTTAGGGCGGCTTAAAAGCTCCAACAAGACTTGCGAGCTTTTAATTTTTCTCGTGATCTCTACAAAATCCTTATAGAAATCCGAAAAAATGTATCTATTTTTGAGATGTTCAATTTTAAAATTAAAATAAAATAGTTCATTAGACAAATTGTTAGACACACTTTGTACTTCTTATAAAAAAAAGAACCAGAATAAATTAAAGATATACACAAGAATTTTGTGTTACAAATGATCACATGTTGGTAATTTTTTCGGGACTCGGAATTTTACGTATTTGTTCACAGGTTTCGATAATTCGTAAATGTATAGGGAAAATATTTTGTAAATTTTGATTTTATTAAATGCTAAATTGCAGCTTAAATTAAAGATGTGGAAAAAGGTCACATTTCTGACATCATTCGGAATTTTCCAGTTTTTAACGAATTTCTATAATTTTAAAACATTTTTCGCAAATATTTTGTTTTAGGTACTCTTCGTGCGACTTTATACTATTTAACATAAAAAGTTATATCAAAATTTTTGAGGTTTTTCAAAGTACACATCTTAAAAATGCAAAAACAATTTTTTGGAGGGTATTTTCATTTAAAAAAATCGGTTTTATTTTGACTATCTATGGTTCAAACACTATTTGTTGTAGAAACCTTTTCTTTGCAGATTGTAACCAATTCAACATTAACAACATTATTTCATTTCATTTCATTACCACTGCGTGGTAATTTTATAAAAGTTTAGGATTGTTTCTCTTAACGAACCTCTTGCCCACTAAATTAATTCTCACTTTTAGTCACGTTTTGCTTCTGCAGCCAATAAGCCCCGCATCCATCACCGACCATACAAAAACCGTCCAAGATTAACAAGCTCCCAACTCGGTCGAAGCTAATCATTTGTATGTGCACGCGGGTTGGTAAATAATACCGGTTAGGATATTGTGGAGTTAGTAAAACCGGGTGTAAATACCTGTAATCAGAGCTTTCCCCAAGCTGGCGTACTGTGATGGGAAACTCGTAGGGACCGTGAGCTTTCAACAACTCCTGCAACCGCACCAGACCCTCATTATTCTCGTAAATTATAGTGAAGGATTTCCAGCCCCAGGCTTTCACTAAATCCACATACGCCTGAAACAAGAAATACAATTGTTCTGCAGGCAAAAACTTGGATACTTAATAATGGTTTCATCGTGTTTGGTGCAGGAGTTTATGACGGGAGGTGATGATGAGAGATAACTTATTATTGATTGATGGTGATTTCCGGGTGGGTGATTTAGTTATTTTAGCCGAGGTAATTTCCATGTTAGTGCATTGCAGGCTTGTTAATTTCAGCAATTAAGAGAAAATTTGAACATCAGGAAATTAACTCTAAACAGCGTATTTACGAAGCCAAAATTTAAAAATCAATTAAAACATTTCAAAAAATATTTGGTCGAATGTGAGAGGTCTGGAATACAAGAAAATAGCCGAAAGCCGTTGTGTTTTTAAAATTTAAAGCCAAATCTAAGCTCTTCCACATGCAAATCGATACGAAAGCTCATTTCTACCTTGGACAGCGTAGTGGGATGAGGATACAGGTTGACTAGACAGCTTTCCCTCCGGAGTCTATAGTCCCATCGGGTCTCCAGGTGCGGGATTTCCATCGTATCACATATTGACTGCACGTGACTGGCCGTATGTGCCGACTGAGGCCCGAAGATGGCAGCCACTCCACTTCGCAATAGGTGACAAACTGGAACAAAATTAATTATTCATACAACATTACACAGTTTCACTCACTCGACGAGTTTTACTGCTTTTGGGAACCCTTCTAATGGAAACGTGTCTTTGACGCTTTATTTATGTCGACAAATGCCGACATTTAACTACTCGCTAATTTTGTATCACAAAAGAGTGATTCATCCAAAAACACTGGAACACTCTGTATTTTAGTGATCAAAAATACAACACCAATTGATGAAAGTGGCCGAAAACTATGACCTAATCCCGAAAACGCACTTTATTTTTATCACCTAGGGACCATCACCGCAAAATCGTACCAAATATCCTGTGGGATTTCCCCATCGATGTTTCCAAGCAGAATGTCGTAAAGACCTATTTCATGATAATAAAATATAATGTTATTGAAATGTAAACGTGACGGAGTCATAAAGAGATGAATACAATTTAATAATGTGCCATTTTCATATTCACACTCAAATGGAATTGGCTGAGATAAGAAAGGAAAGAGACACTGTTATTTTTCCAAAAGTGGAAGAAATACAACTTAATTTTTTCAAGGAGTTCATTGCTTTCGGCTCGGATGGAGCATTGATTTTTGGTCCGGAGGTCGGACAATGAGATGGATACGAAGTTTCAAAAGAAAATTGTTATTGCGAAAGAGAGTGGAAATGGAGAATTAAATTATTCAGGTGTTTTGGAAATGAAGGACATAAATTGTTTAAATAATTCGGTCAGAATTAGAGAATATTAATTATCAGATAATTCAACAGTTTTTGTCAGTATTGTATATTTCATTTTTGTTATAGTAATTACAAAACAATGTGTTTGCGGTTTTAATTAAATTAAAATTAGCATTATAATTAATAAATTCACTGTCATGTGTAGCATTATTATAATTTTGCACCCATTGGTGTATAATAATTAAACCGTGTAACACAACTTTAATTAACACATTATTATTTACCTCTCGATTTAATTGTTCAATTAATTTGTAAATAAAAGTAATTTTTTCAAATATGAAACAAAATTAACTTTTACCACAACTGAACCAACCCTCAACTCGTCCATAAAGTTCACAAACCAGCAACGACAAAATTATTTTGTGCGAAGGAAATATATTGAAGTAATTTCTAACAGATGTTGAACTAAAGCAAACTTAGATACAACAAAGTTTTCTAATCAGTAGGCACGTTCCGATAAATAATATTGCTTTAATAATAATAATATAGTGAGACCTTATTAGCGTTATTGTAATCATGCCCATATAACAACCAGAAAGGTACTTAAATATAAATGAAATGCTTAATCATAAAACTTAAAATCTGTAAGAGAGTTTACAGGTTTAAAACAATATATTTAAACTTAAATGGATTTAAACTTATTTATCCACAATCACTCTATAAAGAGACTTTATTCCACACTTTAGATGCGTATAAAGTACTACCTTATCCACTAGTGGAATAAAGTAACTTTATTCCACTGTTAGTAACCAGCGCACCGCGTAACAGCTTACTACGTTTAAGCACATTTGGCGTGACGTTTATATGTCAGTTTAATTTTTAATTAAGTTTGGAATAATTTGAGCCTGTGATTGTGGATAAAGCGTTGTATTGCAGTCGTGTGTTAGTCGCGTTTTATCCACTTAAGAAAATTAACCGCTCGATCTGACGTTCTCGCGGTTAAACATTCTTGCGTGGCTAAAACACTATCTAACACACTCTTACAATAAATAAATATTAAAATACGAGTATTTGCGAAAAGTCATTACTAGGGGCATACCTTTTTTCGATGCGTGAAAGCTGTCTTGCGGGGACATTTTCTCGATCTGTGCACTGAGTTTGGATCTCGGCAGGATCATCCGATCGCTGTTGATCTTCTCCACCGCATATCTAAATGCGATCTCTTGCTTATCATCAGCAGGATGAAACAATCCACCTGAAACAATCCGGAGATTAATGAAAATTTCTCAATGACCAGCGCTCGGAAATCACTGTCATCAATTTCCCCTAATTTGATTTGTGAAGGTTGCCTCTTTGCTCTTTGTGTGTAAAGTTACCCGAGCCATTAACTGTCAATAATCCTATTAGGTGTAAGTCGCCCTTTGACGACACGGACACTATATTTTCAGTGAGGGATTATTACCGGCCAAAAACCCCGAATGGAAATGTTAAAAAGATTTTTCGGAATGTCAGTGCCACTGCCTAAAAGCAAGAACTTTTATTCAACAAAAATCCTGGAATTTGCTACACGCAGCTGGAACTTATTTTTAATTATTAAAGTGCGCCGGAGGGATAATGTCTAGTTTATTCAAAAGCGGAAACAATTAAATAAAAACGGGATTATTTTTATAGAAACGGAGAGAACAAATAGCGCAAAGTTGCTTTAATCGTTGGCTTTATACGAGCTTAAAGAAAAAAGTTAGATTTTTTGCGATAAAATGCTTGCTATAGAATATACAATACAGGGCATGCTGAAAGGAAGCTTAGGGGAACCAAAAAAGTTTGATAAAAGCGACAAAAGCTCGGTTTTGTCTTGCGATGAAACACTATTTTGTTAATAAACTCCTGGGGTTAGATAATCCAAAACTAAAAATTAGGACGTGGCTTTTATGTTAATTTCTGGGTCTTTAATTCGACTATAATGAAGTTTCCAGGGTTTATTATCCCTTTTTTGCAACGTTTTTTTCCTAAAATGGCTTACCTATTCGGATCACGTCTGGAAGAGTGTTGGAAAATTTCATTAGCGGAAGCACTAAAAGCAATTGCGTTAGCCACTCCATCATGAAAACATCTGTAACAATAAAACATAAATTTAACTTTTCCATTTATCAAAATATGAAATTGATACGAAACGTTTTAATAAAACTAAAAAATTACCGTCGATAAAAGCACGACTTTTCTTCTGCTATTTCGTAATAAAGTATCCAATCGATACTTTAAAATTGGAAAAATGATTGAGATTTTTCGCATCATTTATTAGAACTGTTTTATCACAGCTATCGTTCGTAGTTTTCTAGGACATAATTCACAGTTATCTTCAACTTTATTTTTAACCACCTTTAAATAAACTCTGAACTTGTTGATACCCAAATTGATTAATTAGTTGTCAAAACATGCTAGTGACTAATTTGTCAAAAGCTCCTTTATCAATGACAAATAAAATTTAAGGTAATTGCTTTTAAACAAGGAAACTTAAAGACACTGTTTAGACCAAGAGACCCCTTTAAACATTTATCGAACCGACTGTAATTGTCCCAGACTAAACGACCATTACACCCTGACAAATGTCACCATTTAGTTGAAGCTTTAGATTTAAAATTTTTCGTAAACACTGTTGAACAAAATGTCAAGCAATTGCTTTCTGTATGTACCCGTTTGATAAAAACCCTTGGGACACAGAGATGAAAGAATTTCAAATAATGAGATGATGTAGTATGTATGAGGAGAGCTTAGACTTGCCAGATTTTACCAAAAGCTCGAACATAAACAAAGCTTGTTATTCGATAAATTTTTGATCAGTTTTATTTCCACCAAATGCATCATTAGTACTTATAGCCCAACCAGATTTTTCCCAAACAAAAGCTCGCTTATCTAGCTAATTACACTTTAAATCAAGATTAATTAAAACCATTTGTTTGGTACATTCTGCGCCCCCAAAACCGGACATATAAATCACTCGAGAATTTTCAATGTAAATAGTTAGGAATAGTTAAGGCCAGGATATGTTTGCCTTAATTTTGGAGGAGTACATGATCTTGGAGAAGATAAAGCACGAAGTCATATTCACACACAGGAATTTATTTCAATTTTAAACTCGGTTACACAAAAATGTTTTAAAATAGAGGAAAAAATTACCAACATGTCTTAATTTTTTTGTAAAGGATAAAAAAGCTGTTCAGCTTGAAAGATAATTTTAATAAAGAGCCATAATAAAATAAATAAGTGAACACTCATGATTCATTCTGTACAATAAAAAGTTTATTTCGCTTATATTTTGGCGAGACTAAAATGTCTAATATTTATTTAAGAGAGCCACTTCTTTCTTACTCTGTTCTTTTTGCGTTTTCTTTTTATACTTTAATTAAATTTTAATTACATCTTGTTTGTCATTATTTTTCAATAAGTGACAAATTGCCAAAGTAAATTTTAAAGCTTTTAAAAATTTCTAATATAACTTTAAATTAACTGTTAAGATACCACTATTTAACTATAACTGACTGAATGTTGCATTTAGGAAACTTCTATACAACAGTGTTAAAGCTTTTGATAGTGGAACATTATTTATGTATTACATTTTCTAAACTGTTACAAACATTACATAAAAGCTCGAAGTAAATAAACATCAATTAACTCTATAAAACCCTCCAGGGAAAAATAGTTCTAAGTGCAACCATTGTAGTCAAACATGTCAAATATTGATACATCAAATATTTTTCCAACACGGAAAATTAGAATAGCCTCTCTTTCGACCAAAACAAAACTTATTTTATTGAAAATAGTATCACAATAAGAGGTACAAGCTTTTTTTAATTTTAAGTGCCATATGTGTCTTACTCCGGGCCCTCCTCGACCCCCACAACTTCCGCCCTATCTCCTCGGCTTATATCTTCACACCTACCTGCAATTCTTCACTTTTTCTTCAAAGCACAACACTCAGAACGTATCGACGCGACCGTTATTGAGTGGCTCTTGCAGACCCGCAACCCTCACTGCAGCCGGGATTTTATTCCCAGCCTCCGGATTCCCGGAGTCGGCGCTGTTCGGTTCCAGAACCGCTCCGATGATAAAGACGGGATATGTCCACGTTGTGAAATATCAAATACACACCAGAAATGACTGGATCAAAATAAAGAAAACGGCCGACAAGCTGTGCCGAGAATCAAAAACAAAATTTATAGGTTTGGTTTCCGGTATTTTGCGCCCGAAAAGTTTACTAAACTTTTCGGTTGTTTTAAGCGACTCAGATAAAATTTTTATTGATTTTGGAGAGTTAATTTATTATATAACTGATCTGCGAAGAAACAGATCAGATTGGGATGCCAAATTTGGGACAATGGTAAAGTTTTTAGATGATGTTGGAAAATAATAAATTAGAGTGAAGTTAATTTGCATTTTCGAGGAACTCTCGCCACTGAACTGTACTTCCCGAATAAATATTAAATCGTCTTCATCCACGTGATGAACAAAATAAGTAGGATGTAAAATGTTACTTCTGTACCAGGACATTTGGCGTCTCAAAAAACAAGGAAGAATCCTACAAGTTTAGCTGTTTTCCCAAAAGTAAACATACAAAAAATATCTAAGAAACTTACAAAATGCCTTGCCCTAAAATGGCTTTCTACTTCTTTCTGGACCAGGACATTTGGCGTTTCAAAAAACAAGGCAGAATCCTACAAATTTAGCTGTTTTCCTAAAAGTCAACAACTGAAAAAGGCCTAAAACCCTTTAAAAAGCATTAATTTTTATGCACCCCAAAAGTGTCCAAATATCTGTAGACTACCAAAAATTGGGCACACGAAAAAACTGTTGAAATCTCCCAAAATCAACACCAAATCAAAGAGATAAATTTGGCGCCTTACAAAACAAGACAGAATCTTAAGAATTTATGTTTTCCCAAAAGTTAACAACCGAAAAAGACATGAATGCTTCAAAAATTATAATTTTTTATAAACCACCAAAAAAAAATTGCGCCTGAGAAAATTGTTGAAACTCATACAAAATCATACATATTTAATTACATTAAAAGCACCCAAAAAATCTTACAACAGTTATATTTTACCAACACACCAATTATATACAGTACAAGAGGAAAAAAAATTTTATCTTTGATTTTAGGCCAATACTGTAAAGGAAAAACATTTTTTGCTTCACCTGAAACGAGCAAATCTGTACTTAAAACTTCATTATTCTGATTCAGTGAAAAAAAAGTTAATTTTGCTCTTGATTTTGGACCAGAAACGAAAAGCCATTTGAAATGTCTAAAAACAACGGATTTTGTAAGTTTTTTGATTGCTTTTGAGATAATTTTGCATGATTTTAAGAAATTTCAACAGTTTTTCCGTGTGCCCAATTTTTGGTGGTCTACAGATATTTGGGTACTTTTGGGGTGCATAAAAATTAATGCTTTTTAAAGGGTTTTAGGCTTTTTTCAGTTGTTGACTTTTGGGAAAACAGCGAAATTTGTAGGATTCTGCCTTGTATTTCGAGACGCCAAATGTCCTGGTTCAGAAGTAACATTTTACATACTACTAAAATACGCACTAGTTTAATATTAAAACACAATTTTAGTATTTGCGGGTACTAATGCTCTGATTCTTCGTATTTTCTGCAATCGCAACAACTAGAATTATTCAGTGGCAACTTGCAATCTGTTCACTCTACAACAAAACAACAATATTCTTTTATTTATTTTGCGAAGCGGCCCTCTAGACTTTTAATCACGATTCACCAGAGCCTTTACTATATAAAATGCGGAAATAAATTATTACAATAAAAAAATAGGACAAAATATTTTATCCTATCGTTTAGATAAAATCTGTTCATTGAAGCATGTCATAGTCTACTAGACAAGAGTCCAAAATAAATTTGTTAAAAATAGAAACTCGAAAGCAAACGAAACTAAACTTGTCTCTCTTGAGTTGAGTGTGGCGTTTAGTAAACAATGATTTTATCGTGAGAAACGTTTATTGTAAACATTAATTATTAAAATGTTTCTATTGACGACATCTTTGAGTTTTATCTTAGTTTTAATGGAAACTTGGGCTATTCCTGAAAATCCTAAATCACTAAAAGTTGGTAAGTTAAGAGAATAAATTCAAAAATTAAATTAACCGTAATTTATTTAAGCATTTTTTCTGAATGAAGATGCTGCGCTCGACAAGCTTGCAATTACGAGTGCGACAAACTACATTAATAATTACGCCGCCACTCAATACTCTCTCAACTTCATCCTCGACCCTAAAATATATCGAATTAAAAAGAACGAAATATACAACGTTGGAAATCTCGGTAAGAACCGAAGAAATGTCAACATTTCCTCATTGTTTAACCCTCCGTTTCCCATTATTTTTTGATGAACTATTTTATTGCAAAAACTTCTCTATTAAAACTTCCGACCGTCTCGGAAGTGTCTACAAGTCTGGAAGAATTCTTTACGAGGTCAAACTTTCAGCTTGCGACGCTATAAGGGAGGGCATCGCGGCCATTTTCGGTCCAGAAAATGGTGAAGCAAATGAAATCATTCAATCAATGGCTTTAAGTCTTGAAATTCCGCAATTTCAAACGTACTGGAATCCAAATTTTGCCTCTTACGTCGACTTGGGAAAGGCCGACAAGAAGGAAACATTCAACTTTAACTTATATCCAAGTCCAAGCATTCTCTCGAAAGCTTTCGCTACTTTAGTCAGGGAGAATGACTGGAAGAGTTACACCATCATTTACGAAAATGATGATGGACTTGTTAGACTTCAGGAAGTTCTTAAGGCGCTAAGTCCTAATAATCCTTCGGTTAGGTACCGGAAGCTGGACTTTGGGCCCGACCACAGGTTCGACAAAATAACACAAATTTCATTACAATGAAGTGTTTGAAACCCAACTTTCGTTTTAATTTATTTTTGGTAAAAGAAAGAACATTAAACTTTTTGTCTTAAACTAGTCTGGCGCTAGTTTATGAAGTACAACTCCAACTCCTAGACCGTTGACTTCTAATTACTCTCCTAAAATGAATTATTGTTAAACTAGCCACAAAATTTTGTGGCGCAGAAAATTTTATAGCACGGTACAAAGTAAATTTTAAAAAATTTGAGACATTTTATTATGAGAAAAGTTATGTTATAATCCGAATAACATGATTATAAAACTTTTACGAAAATACAGATCTCATTAATAAGTTGATGGAACAATAACACTTTGAAGTTTCTATACAAAATGTATTAAATTTCCAGGCCCATCTTGAAGGAAATTGTGGCTTCGGGTGCCCTTCACATTATCTTAGATTGTGAAGCCGACCACACTATTGATATTCTCTCGCAAGCAAAGGAAGTAAAGCTCTTCGAGGAGTATCACACTTACATGATAACTTCATTGGTAATTTTCTACTCTAAGAGTTTAATAATTGTGTTATTGTTGTGTTTTCAGGATGCCTACACTATAGATTTTCGTCAGTTGGGGGAAATAAAAACAAATGTTTCAATTATACGAATGTTAAACCAGAAAGTGGTCGATACAGTAATTGACAACTGGGAACTCGTTGATTTAGAACGAAAGCTCAAAATTCCCAACAAGTTGATAAAGGTAGTGACATTTATTCACCGGAAATAAATTACATTTGCGGGTTGTGACATTTCAGTGCACAAAAAAAAAGTATATTTAGTATGAATTCACAAGTTTATTTGCCGCTTCATATAGTATTTCTCTTGTCCTGGTAACGATTTATTTGCATCTCAAAACTACCCCTTGAGATGCCAGTGATTGATAAAGGCCGGCTCTGGGATTACTAAAGTCTAATCGACTGGAATTAACTTGGAACAAATTCTTGATTTATAATTTAACAACAAAGAATTAAAACAAGTATTTACAAATATTTGGTCGGAATGAGAAAACGCTTTGGCACTGAAACTATTCGTTAAATCTCCATGAATCTATTTATAATTCTATGAAGGTGCCGTGATAAATTTTCTGCCGAATTTAAGTTAAACGGTATATTTAAAATTAGATTTTGCTCCCCAGAGTTGTGAAAATCGATACACTTAAACAAAAATTCATACACAACCCACTTTACAAGCTTCTTATGCTGGTTGCAGGTCAACACTGCTTTCCTCTTCGATGCTTTAAATTTATTCATAACTGCTTACTCAAACTTGGACCGCGAGCAAGAAGTGGATGTAAAATCACTGAGTTGTGGCACAAATGAAATTTCAACACACGGTTATCGACTGTCGGCTTTTATTTCAATGGTAAATCACTGAAACGAGCTTAAATTGAAACGTTTAAATTTTCATTCCAGCTTAATATGACGAAAGGAATGCTGGGGGAACCGATATCGGGTCTTTTAAATTTTAATTCTTTAGGACAGCGAATCTCACTCAAATTACAAATCTTGGAATTGAAGAAAGATGAATTTCGAGTGACGGGAATTTGGGACTCGAATACGCCCGATGTGATTCATTCAACGATCACTTCCGAGGATCGTGAGAAAGAATTGGAACAACAACTAAAAGGGAGAACTTTCAGAGTAGTTTCAAGGTTTATAATTACTAGGATTATGTGTGCTGTTGCAGTCAGACTTTTTCCAGAATATATCCCCCATATTTGTCGCGCAAACCCGGAATTGACAGCAGCGTAATGAGCGGAAATAACGCTTTTGAAGGATACGCCATGGATCTGATGAAGGGCATTTGTGAATTATACGAGTGCAACTATGTCTTTGAACTAGTTCCGGACAATAATTACGGAAAATATGATCCCAAAACCAAAGAATGGAACGGCTTAATTGGACACTTATTGGCTAGAGTGAGTTTTAAATTGTTTTAAAGCGAGCTTGATTTCCCCAGCGATTAAAAAATTTGAGTTTTAATCATTGGACAAAACGACGAGAAAAAGTTTATAAATCAAATGAGGTATACAACTTAATTTACAGGGAAAATTAAGAGAAAGCACAAATTACACAAAAAACACATTTTTAATATTTTAGTTAGGATTTTTTATTTACAAAAATTTATAATAAACGTGTTTTTTGACCGTTTTTTTTACTTTTAATTGATAAACTACATTATTTTTGAATTACAGAAAATACTACAAATAAAATTGTGAAATGTTTTTGCTTCACCTTTTGCTGTTCTATTTTCTTTTATCTTTCTTTATTACAGAAAGCCGATTTGGCTATTTGTGACTTAACGACAACATACGAACGAAGGAAAGCGGTAGATTTCAGCAACCCTTTTATGACTCTTGGTACGTTTTAATACATGTATGTATAAATAATTGTGGAAGTAATCCTCTATTGTTATGGATATCATTTCATTGTCTTCTCTCTGTATGATTGCTTTTATATAATATGTTGCAAAGCCTTGTCTAAGCCCATTTCAGGGATCAGCATCCTGTATACAAAAATCGTTAAAGAGCCTCCCGATCTGCTCTCCTTCACGAATCCTTTATCTCTCGACGTTTGGCTTTATATGGTAACTGCGTATATGGTTATATCTATGATTATTTTCCTCGTCGCGAGGTAAGTCCCTCTCATAAAATTTTGTCAAGATAAATCCCTGTCTATAAAAGAAGCACCTTTCGTTTCAATCTCCACATCGTAAAATCGGAATTAAATCAATTTTTCTGAAATTTATTGCAGACTGAATCCTAATGAATGGGAGAACCCTCATCCGTGCAACCCAAATCCGGAAGAACTGGAGAATATCTGGAACATAAAGAATTGCTTCTGGTTGACATTGGGCTCCATCATGCAGCAAGGCTGTGACATATTGCCGAAGTGAGTTGTGTATGCGTGATCTGTAAGAAAAAAAAATTCTATTCGAAACCGCCATCAATATTAATAAGAGGTAAAATGAGGCTTTGAGATGCGTCGGTTTCGGTAAGACTTCAAAGCAATATTCTGAGAAGCGCGTGCCAACTAGGGTTGGCATGTAGGTACTGAGCTTGTAGCCGGTCATAGTTTATGATATTCTGACCACTTCCTTGTACAGAAGAGACTCCTGTTCAAAGACACCGCACGTCCTCATCAAGGCGTCTTAATATCCATATCTACTTAGAGAGATGTCTACATTCTCATCATTACAGCCACACGGAGATAATTCACCAACAATATGAGCAAACATTTTTTCAACAACTTTCGCATTCCTAACACACCCAGTGTTAATTACCTTTTTAGGGGAATTTCGACCCGGATGGTGGCAGGCATGTGGTGGTTTTTTACCCTGATTATGATCTCATGCTATACAGCCAACTTGGCCGCTTTTCTCACCCAAGAAAGGATGGGCCCCACCATTCAAAGTGCTGAAGACTTGGCTGGTCAAACGAAAATTAAATACGGCTGCCTCAAAGACGGAGCCACGGCGTCGTTCTTCAGAGACTCCAACGTCACAACTTACCATAAAATGTGGGTAGCTATGGAAACAGCAGACCCCAGTGTTTTTGAAACATCAAATATCGATGGGGTCAAGAGGGTAATCAGCAATAAGGGAAAATATGCATTTTTTATGGAGAGTTCTTCTATTGAGTATGAAGTGGAGAAACATTGCGAGTTGGTGCAAGTGGGAAACAGGCTAGATACCAAAGGATATGGGATTGCTATGCCCACAAGTAAGGGAGAATCTCGGTCAAAAACAATCACTTTTAGACAATAAAATTGCACTCTATCATTTTTAAATGTTTCTTAAGATACTTGTTTTGCATTTTTTATTATTCAACCAAGTTTTTTCACCAAAAATGTTAAAAGAATGTGTTTTTGTGGCTCATAGCAAGAAAGCGCGAAAAGAATCACTCAAACCGTATTCACTCAAAGACACTTAGCTTTATTCGATCGTTTATTTTTAAACCGCGACATTCGAAATTTCAATTAAACAACCGCCCGTGGTTTATTATTGCAACAAGTGGACCTGAAATCGCAATTAATTACTTGTAAACCGCTTTATTAGTGAATTATCTGACTCAAACCGCGAAGTTTTCGCTGTATGTTCGAGATTGAGTTAATTCTCGGTCGAAATAAATAAAAATAGTCGAATTCCTTGCGGTACAAAGGCTCCCCCAACCCACACATGTGTCAGATGACTATTAAGGAGATTGATAAACTAGGGGCATATTTTTGTTTATAACATGACGGCCAGGCATATGCGCGTATAAAGATCTGCTCGTATAATACTCTGGCATGAAAAGCATTCGTCGGTGGTTCTTTGCATACGAAACAATTGGACCCCTGCTGGTCTTTTACGATAGTTGAGGTAACTCTTCAATAGTTCCGACGGTTTATGGTTGCTTTGTTAAAGAGCCATACTTAATGTCTTAAACTCAATTACCTAATAAATTTACCTCGACTCATATTAAAAAAATATAAATTCGCGTTTTGTTATTGACGAAACTATCCGTAGATGCTCCCTACCGAACGTCAATAAATCAAGCGATATTAAAGATGCAGGAGATGGGCCGGCTGCAGCGACTCAAAGAAAAATGGTGGAAGGAGAAAAACAAAGCTAATACTTGCAAGGTAAACAAAAAAATTACTTCAAAGTTTCGCTAAATTGTACAGACGGGAGCAGTTTTATAAACAACACAGCCGTAATCGTGTTATTTAACAAAACAAACGAGACAGAATTTTAATCAGATATTAATTTAGAAAGACGAAGACTCAAAGAGTGATTCGGCCAACGAACTGAGTTTGGCTCACGTCGGAGGGGTTTTTGTCGTACTTGTCGTTGGGATGAGTATTGCCATGGTTATAGCTGTTTGTGAATTTTTATGGCACGTTTGGAAAATTGCAGTTACACAACACGTACGTCCACCTTATACAAATTAACAAACAATGATAAAAATATTGCAGGTAGCCCTAAAGGAAGTCTTTTTGAAAGAACTTAGATTTGCAATGGATATTTGGTGTCGCCAGAAACCGGCGAATCCTGCCGCCAATTTGAATCTAAGCAGAGAGACTTTACGACAAGGCGATTGAGCCAAATGAAAAAATATGTGAAATAAAACTTTTGAATAAAAATAAATTGTTTGAAAACTTGTGTTTACATTTAACAATTAACTGCCCTAACAACCGATTGCTGGTACGATTTAACCTCAGTTAAAATTTAACTTTTCCCTAATTGCTAAATGCTAAGGTAGCGATGATCTGATCGATGTTGCTATGGTTTAACCGAGGTTTACATTTATATGTAGATGTTTCCACAAACAGGGCCTAAATCATTTAATTTAATTATCAGTGCTTTACAACCAAATACGCTCTGTATTCGACAATAAAAATACAGATTATAACTTTATGATCTGGTTTTAACAAAATTTAATATACAAAGTGATCCACAATTGGCAATCCTGACCCCAATTTTTAAAGCTTACCATTAGAGTACGCAATCTTATGGGGTTGTACAGTGGCGGTCATTGAAAAGTAATACACGGGATTTTGACACATTCTCTCAAAATTTAAAAAATTGCATAATGTAATTTTTTGTCGTGTTTATCAGTGTCACTGAAAACGTCACTTTTGACAAATCAGTAGTGATAGACGCCGTCAGGAAAATTTTAAAATGCCGCAATTGTCGAATGTACAGAATCTATTATTATTACAAGATTAAGGAACAATGTCCCTCTACGAGTCATCGCAGAAGAAATAAATGTGAACAAAATGACTGTCCTTAAAACAAAGAAGAAGATTCTAGTGACATTTTAAACATGACAGTGATTGTCAATTTCAAGGGAAAATTTACAACGCCATTTTTTTTTTATTTGTCAAGTGTATTACTTTTCAATGGCCGCGACTGTACGTCAAGTATTTGTCAAGCAAACCGTATTCGGTTGCAGTGTTTCAAATTATTAACAAAAATACTTTCAGTCTTTCTGAATCACTTCGTATTACTAAATGGACAATTAAAAACCAAAAAAAAAAAAAAACTAGGTACAGCTACATTTAAAAAAAAAAACGGGAAATCAGATTTTTTTAAATGTAAATTTGGTTCTAGTTGTCAATTATCAACTTATCAACCTATCAACCTTTATCAACCTATCAAAAATATTTCTATCAATGGCTTTAAATTTATACCAACTTGTGTAATGCCGCATTTAAGTGACGTAGAGAAAGTCAGAATCGTCGCTCACCTGGAAAATGATACGAAAATTATGAATTTAGCGGCAGAATTTAGAGTGTCATCAAAATATTTTAACCCATTTTTAATAAAACACGTTCACACCATGGAAAAATTGAAAAAAAAACATTGACATTTCCCGTTTTTTTTTTTTAATGTAACTGTACATGTTTTAATATTTGTTATTTTCAAAGGCCAACTTGTATTTTTATTGTTTACTTCTTTCAAAATTCATTTTCCTATCATGGCCGATATTTGCTTTTATGTTTAATATAAATTAATTTCAGAAATTGGAATATTTCAAGTACAGTGGCCTGGCCTAAATTTTGTTAAACTTTTTGTTGGAGTAGCAAGCTTGTAATTAAACTAAATGCGCTATTAATTTTTCTGGGGAGTTCTCCATTATTCCTCCCATTAAAAAATCGTGTCTGAGGTAAATTACGGCCGTTGCGTCTCCTAAACCCGAATAACGGCCTTCGTTACTGCCTCTATCAAATTAAGAATATTAACGCCGGTCCTTAGGCACAAATCACACAGTCCATTAAAAGTCGCCACTTGCAGCCATCATAACCGTCGTCAAGATGAGCACTTCCGGCCGGTCCAAGGTAAACATTTCGCAAAGTCACAAATCCGAGTTAATGTCTTTGCTAATACCTGATGTTTCGGTAAAATATGCTATTGTCTGTTATCAGCAGGAGATGAAAGCGGCCGCCAACCGAGTCGATTCTTTCAGTCAAAATACTTATCTATTCTAATCCTTCTCAAAAGTGAGATAAGTACGTGTGGGTGGTTGGTCCTCCGACGTGTGCGGTCACACAAATAAAGAATTACTACCGCTCGAGAAAATTTAAATGGCGGCTTTGCTTATCTCTTGCAACGTTGCTCACTCGTTTGTCTTAATTATATGCTCTGATGGGTCAGATGAGTGAGGCACGATGCCTCGCTTGCAAATCGCACCGAGGAGGTTTATTACCGGCGAAGGACGAGGTGGTTTAGACGATCGTTAAATGGATCCGAGTTTAGCATTCGCCAAGGGAATGTCATGCACGGAGATAAGGCTCTTAGGACGTTATAATTTCCTACGCAATTATGCACACCAACTGCAATTACCGATAATAACGGCAAATTTAAATTCAATCTCTGAGAAATATAGCAAAACGAAATCTGCAAGACACCACGTGGCGCTACCGTATTTTTAACACGATGCCATAAATTTTACTTTATACGAGTACTGTGTAGCCACAGTTTTCATTTGCTCCAACAAGAACTCTTTATTACGACAGAATTTATTACACAATTTTCACTTTTTCTCTTATAAATTGTAACTTTAATAACGGCGGACTTTCCTAGTTTATGGCAAGGATAAAATCTGATTTTTCAAATAAAAATTACCTAGAGTATCAATCAAAGCAAGCAGATGCTGCTCTCATATAAAGACACTTCTTGCTCCAGTGAGGCACCTGCCTCACAAACAGGTTTGTTTCTCGCGATACTTATGGCTCAGAATAATTAATTAAAATATAGGAAATCACTCAAGAGGCAGCTTGAGACAGTAACAGTGGCGGAACAACGTTATGGCCATGGGCGCCCACAGGGGGGGGGGGGCAGTGGGGGCCGTTGCCCCCCCTGGGACAATAGTGGTTGCTATTTTATATAAAAAAAAGATTTTTTAAATTTTTTTCAAACTCGATCTAATTTAAATTTTCATGAACGAAATAAGAAACTACTATTTACATTTTTATCACGAACTGAGTGATATGAAAACAGACGAATAAAACGGTTATTATTAACTTCGACTCTTTTTTTGCCCCCCCCCTGACCATAATTTCTGCCTGCGCCCATGGTTATGGCTGTTTTATTTCTCCACAAAAATGACCAAAAACTCTTGAAACTCAATTACTTTGTAATTTAGAAATCTGTAGTCATGCGTCCATATACTCCTTTTCGCATATTATGTTGTCATATCATTGCATTGCAAATAGGCTGTACATTTTAGAAAAATCAAACTATTTTAAAATTAGTATAAAATCTAAATCAATTTTTATTTGTTGTTTTGTTTCAAACGTATAGATTAGAAGAAGTTTGATTTTCTAAAGAACTTACAATTTTAGTTCATTTTACAAAACATGATGCAGTTTGAGAGTGTATGTCATTAATTTACTGTAAATTGTAATTAATTTATTGTACCTATTGTACAGATGAATCCAAAATGTATTGAACTTTTACAAAAAGAAATATTAAAAATAATGATGCGGAAACAATGAGACAGTGTAATAAAGTTTTTTATCAGTTTTTTTTTAATCTTCATATTTTTATTCTTCTGGCTTGTGAGTGTACTGAGTGTAGTGTAGAGGGTATTTGATTATGAAGTGTGTCTTGAGGCACTAAGTCTTTGGATGACTCCCTCCAAGTGCTCGAAATTAATAAAATCCCTGGCGTCTTTGGGATTTTTTCCAAACCGCCATATCTCATTTGCGGGATACTTTACGACCGGTTAGGAGTATCGGCGACTTCAAACGTTCGCGTTGTTTACATAATAGAGGTCCTCGGCAGCCGGAAACAATATGAGGCAGGCGCAACGCGAACATCAAAGAAGTGCCGCCGCAGCTGTCCCCGTCCTCCACTCCTCTGGACTCCATGCACCTGTGTGAGGAGCGGCACAAAGCGTGAATTGCCCCAGTTCTGATAGCGTGGCCCCCTCGTGCATGCCGATTCTTCGTCCACCACGTGGTCGCGGGCCTTTTGATCACGACTAGATGTGCGCATCGGCGCCGCGCAGGCTCGCAATTAAGCCTTGTTTACCAACAAGTGCTCAAATGACCTACATTGACCTCAGACAAGAATAACAAGCCAGATTTACAACGCCGAAATTGCACGCAACCAACAATTGTGAGGTTAGGGCGTAAATTTTACAGAAACTGGGGCCAATCATAAAAAGAAAAAAAAATTCTTATAATTTTATAAAAATAAAAATCAATACGCTTTTGCAAATACATTTTTAATATTAAGTTTTGAGTCAATTTGAAATAATTGTGTTTCGGAATCAATGGGTGGTGGGACCCTTGTATTATACCAAACTTATACTAAAGATTTTACTCATATTGAGACCACCCTAGTATGTGGGTTCGATACTATCAGCGGTCCTTTGCCCAATTCCGCCGTCCATTTTTCACTCTAACCACAGTATAAATATTGTGAGTCGGCTTTTGCTGATCGATGTGGTTGCAGATGACAATTAATAAAGAGGTGGTGCCTCTAACGCCTCTCAATCATCCACATCAAGCATGTCACCGACAAAATTCCAACGTGACGGTGACAGATCAGAACCGACGGATCAATCTCCGGAGAGCAACCCCGTGATCAGTCATTGTCGCTTCCCAGAAGCCGTGTTATCGATGGACGATCTGCACCAGGTTAATGGGGACGGACCTATTCGCGGCAACTTCACACGATTGTTGACGGAAAACGTGTGCTTTTTTCGATGGAAAAATGTCGCGCTGATGGATCGATTTTTTTCTGAATTTTGCTGGTGCGGTTTACGAGTGTTATAAGATAGTTTTGGAATTTGTTTTGCTGACATCGACATGTAAACAAGTTTACGACGAATAAACGCTACAGCGAATGCAATTTAGTTTTATTTTTATTCATGTGAACAAGCCTTAACGTTAATTGGGTTATCAGGAACAAGCACTTTGTCAGTGTTAGAGAAATTTCATTCTGCGATAGTTTACTGAAAGCTATAATCTATAAAATTGCGAAAGTACAGGGAAACGTTTTTCCGATAACAGTAAGGAAATTAAACCAGTTAGATGAAATTAAGTGAGTATAAAAAACTGACATCAACGCAAAAATGTTACTACTGGATACTGGATTAGAACGATAAAAAGTGAATAAGAAAAATAAATAATGTCAAATTCTGAGACT